AAGCAGCCTAAAAAGATGACGCCAATTGCAACCCGAAAGCCAAAACTGAAACCGCCTTAACTTATTAATTTAACCCACTTTGCTGCTCGTGTCGCAGCCTAATAAAGCAGCCAAGGGAAAAGATTGTCTAAGTAGATCTAGGAAGCTTTCAAATAATGGAGACAAAATGAAAAGAAAGTCTAGTTAGGTCAGCTGGAGAAGGAAAACTCAAGATTTTCTTTGTTGGAGAATATCTTAGTGTCCGTAATATGTAGAAAATTATATGATGCCAAAAGATTTAAGTTAATTGTTGTCTGGGTCAGTTTTAAAGATAGTTATATACCGTCAAAGCTTCTCTTAAACTATATATGTACATACTTATTAAAAACCTTAAAATTTAAACGCGAAACAAAGCTAAGTAAAGTAAACTAGTATTTTCGAAAACTCTTTTAATTTTAAAGTAAACATTTTTGCCAAACGTAAACATAAAGAGTATTTTTACCCAAAGAGAATTTGCAAAAGAGAAGATTTTAAGTAAATATCACAAGAGTTTTTGCGGATAAGCAAGCCTTTTCACAGAAGAGAGTCTTTTTATAAGCATGAGCCTGTGTGAGTGGGAGTCTAAAACCAGTTTGTTTGGCGGTGCTCGATCTCTTTTGCTCCTTGTATGTTTTATGCGCTTTTTGCTTTGCCAGCAACTTTTTAAATTATACGCCGTTGTCGCGTTTTCCATCGTTTCTTCTACTTCTGCTCCTTCTTCTTTCTTTTTTCTCTGCTTTGTGACTGTCTTTGTCGCACAATCAAAACAAATGCGCTTTTCGATCGTTCTCTGTTTTTGTTTTGTTCTTCTTTTTGGTTTCTGTTGTTCTTGGGGTCGATTTTGTGGTTGGTGTTGTAGTTCCTCTTCCTCTTTTTCAGCTCATTAAACTTTTTACTGCTACTGTTCCCCTGTCGGCGGCCATTCCCCTTCCACTTACAAGCACTTGAAGAAAATGTAGAATTTTTAAACCCAATCCTCTAGACTCTGAGTAGTCCATCTTGAACATCGGAAACTATACAAATTTCGTTAATGAAAATTCGTTTAAAGATGTTTTGTCGAAAGTACAAATATTCATAGCTTTAAGGTTTAAACGATTTTTAAGAAACTACTCATTTTTTCCAGTGCACACTCGTAATTAATTTCATTGGCCGCGAACTGTTTGGAGCACGCTCAATCGTTCTGATAAGCCGTCTTATTGGTTTCGTGTTTTAAGCGGGTTCTACGCTTAATTGACTTTCCTCAAATCGAATTAGATTTTACCCACCGTATTTGTAAAGGTTGAGGTATTCGGAAAAGTACAGAAACATTTTCAGTTTAACTTCTTGGTATCTGCTTAATAATATAAAATTGTATTTTATAATCTGGGTATCTGCTATAAGTGTGTGTGAAAGTGTTAGTAATGTGTTTGAGGAGAGGTACATATAAGGGACTCTGTAAAGTTGGAGTTATATTGTTTAATTTAACATTATTATTTTAGTTATATAATGCAAAGTAAATCTTACCACCCTGATATTAGGGTACCTCCAAGTCGAATTACCACTTTATAAAGAAAACCGCGGCCGATTTGCTTGGGGATCGTCATCCAATCTCCGTCTAAACCTGGATTTCTATGTTAAAGCGGGATAGTCTCATTTAATGTGGCTCACAGTTAGATTCAGATGATAGCCATAGGAAATTATTTGTTATTCCTTTCTTCCCAGAACTTTTGTGCCGCGATGAGATGGTCGGGTAAATTGGGTTAAGCTTTCGGCCCACGGAGTTAACCAGATTTTGTTGGGCTTGTCCGCCTAATTGATACGTCCACGTAGGAAAACAGTTTTGGGTGTAGCTGCTATCTCAAAAACAACTTCATCGCACTGTGAGTTTAAAACAAGTTTCTTCGTTTAATAACTATACATTGTTATATTTTTTACTTGTAAAATTAGTTTCAAAGACCTCATAAAGATAGTTTGCAATGTGAAAGTAATATGTCTACTATCTGTTTATTGTGAAACCCGTCGTTTTTTTCCGTAAGTCTGCAGTTTCGGCGACTTCTTTAGGCTGAAAAATAACACTTAAGCCTCGTTGGGAACGCTTCAGCTGTGGCACATTTATGCAGATTTTGTTCGGTTTAGGCAGGCATATGTACATATCTTATCTGGCTGCACCACCCACCCACACGGTGCCACACGGGCGCACCGCACACCGTCCACATAAGTTGTGTTTCTTTATGGCCAGACTTGTGTCAATATAGTTATGAACTGATACACGGAGAAAAATTAATGTCTTTTAAATTTCCTGTGTAAAAATATATTTTTCATAGATTGTTTATTGATATCCCGTGTGTAGATGCAACTCCCTGCTGCCATCAGAGCTGCAAGCAAGATCTGAAGCCGATTTAGAGATGGAAAATGCAATAATATAATACAAACCAGCAAATTGTGGCCAAAAGCAACCACCCTGAACTGAAAACCAGTTGGGGAACTAACGTAAGAACCGACCGACATCGACCCACGTCAAAAAAGGGACATGGCCAACATAAATGCAATTGAAGAGACACGCCGATCGTTGGGTATCCTATAGGATGTGGGGATATGTTGTGTGGATTTGTGCCGTCTGTCAGTCAGTCTTGACTGAATGGATGCGCGTCGAGTGCGCCGAGCCCATGACAACCTGCAATCAAGCGCCAGCAGGCACATCCAACGGATTGGGCAATGCCATCAATACACGACAAGAAAATATAACGAAACTTAAGTTTTCCTTTAAAAAAACTACAAATTTATATTTTATGAAACAAAGAGTTAATGCTAATATTAAAAATTTTTCTATTCTAAAAATAAAAATATAAAACATATAAAAGTATCTTTTACCTTTTCCCTTTTAAAATCCTATGAATCCTCATTTAATTGTCTTCTTCTTGCCATCAATTGTATGCAACAAAACGCGTAGGCCAGCAACAGCAAACGAGCAACTGGCCGCATGCAACATGCAACAGGCAACGGACAACAATGCGACATTTGCACGGGCTTTAACTTAAATGATGCGGCAAACAAATAAGGTCTCGCCCAGTCTCAACTTTGGAGCCAGTCTCATAATGATGCCATGAGGCCATTGGCAAGTTGTTAATGTTAATGCACTTAGAGAAAAAATGGTTTCGCCTTCTTAAAAGATTACTATTTTCTTTTCTTTATAACTTGGCTTAAAAGTTAACCCATTTAACATTCCTTATTCTAGTTTTACAAATTATTAAAATCTAGTTAATAAAATACTTATTTTCTCCTAGTGCTTTACAGTGGCTGTGATGTTGCCCGTTGCACAAAGTCATGGCCACAGTTGTCGTTTTTTTTCAGCTGCATTGGGGTTCCCGGACGGATGGCAAAAAAAGAAACAATGTCAGCAACCACAAGAAACAATTAAGTTGGCTCGACACAATGAGGAAAGCTACGATCAACAAGACAGTTGGATCAGCGTGTCTATGTGCTGCTGCCTGAATTGGATTCGGATTGGGTTTGGAATTGGGACTGAGAGGGAGCCATAGCATCATAATTGCCATTTCTGCTGCGCTTTTCCTATGAAAAATTGGTTACAGGATGTTAAATCAAGAATATATACATAATAATAGAACTATAACCTTTTAGCAGAAAGAAATATAAAATAGCAAGAAATTATTTTCGATTAAAATATCAAAAATCGTATATCCAGTAAATAGAAATTGCTTTCTTTTATATGGTTAAAACAATAAAGTTATATTTTTAAGTGCTTAATTTTTAAGAGTGTTTAGTCGATGGTTTACTGCTTTCAAAATTGCCCTGATAATGTTTGGTATCTGGGACATCTAACAGTGGGAAGCCTGTGGAACCCCTTGCTCCAACAGCTGCTGCGGCACGAGCCAAGCGTCATTAAAAAAAAGACTTCTGGATGGCAGAGGGCAGCTTTTTCGATTAAGTGACAGGTTAAATGCTAAACCATAAGTTTTGGCCACAAGCAGCTGGCAATCACCAAGCACGAGCCACAAAATTTTGCAGCCGGCCAAAAGCAGGAGCCAGAAGTTTGCACAGAGAAAAATGTATAAAGAATATGTTTTAAGGATTAAGTTTATTACTATTAATTAGAAAATTGTCTACCTCTAAAATTATTTCTAGTAATATTTCCCCTAAATTAGTTAATCTTTAACCTGCAATTGAGTAGTTAGCTTTGGGAAAAAAAAACTTTAGTTTAGAGAATCTCAATCTAATTTAATATAAGTTATAATAAATACAAGCAATGTAACACACAGATCATCGAGTTTATGACCGATTTTAATGAAATTTTTTTATGTGTGCAGACTGCAAGATTCGGAAGACAGGAGAATCATTCGAAACCGGTTAAGAATCTCCCACAGGCACCTTCTGTCTGATGCGACGACGTGCGTCGGCCAACCATTAGTCGCAATCTTTGGCCAATTGTCGCTGATTGTCGTCGTCCGCTCTGCCTTGGGCTCGTTCCCAGTTCGAGATGCAGATGCAGATGCTGTTTCCAGTTGCAGATACAGATACGTTTTGCTGTAGCAAATGCCTGCTGACCCAGCTTGATTAGCTAAAAGTGCGTGCGAAGTCTACATAGGAACATATCGGAGGCAATTGTAACCCCATTAGTTTAATCAAATTAATTTAAGGGTTGCATCTAGCATAAATAAGTAAATATATCATGAATTTACATATGAATTAAAAACATAATAAATTAAAGAAATATTATTATATTTAAAACAACTCTTTAATATGTTCATAAGCAACCAAATATAAAGAAATCTTGAGCATTTTGAATATTCTTTAAGGTCTTCATATTCATTAATAAAAGCATTTTAAAGCATTTAAGACATTTACATAAACGTCAATAACATAACATCAATCGTCTATTTTTATTTGAGCTGCCCGCCGACCAAATCCAGGGCTACCATATATCGCTTATCTATCGATAATAAACTTCCAGTGTTGCAAAACCTTTCCGCGATAGTAACGAATATAAATTAATTTTTGTTTCACCTCTAGTGAGGAAAACAAGCGCGAGGCGAATTTTTGGACATTTTTTATAATATTTTACAATAAAATAATACAATTTTAAGCAAGCAAATAAAAAACAGCGAGGAGCACATCGGAATGCCTTCTAGAGCAAGCGGAGATATCTCTAGTGCTACGAAGATTTCCTCAAGTTCTCGGAAAACAATCAGTGGCCCAAGGAGCAAAAGGATTGCCCTAAGCAATAACAATAAAAGTCTTGCAGTCGAGAACGCCACTACAACCGCCCAGGGGCAGCACACGTTCCCGCCAAAATCCGAATACGAGAAATTCTACGAAACTGTGTTTTTGGCGGATGATCCCCAGTCTGTTGAAGTGAGTCTCTAAATGGAAGATATTTTGGGTTAAACATGCCTAGAACCTTTTTGCTAGTTTGCTATTTGTGTTGTCCACATGTTTCTTATGTACACATTTGAAGTCACTTATGAGGCTACCACGCTGAAATTTTTCTAACTTATTAAGTTTTAAAATTAATTAAAATAAACCAAGAATTAACTGAAATACAATTTTCAGGAATCGATGATGGAACGTCGCAGGCCAGGACCGCGATCTAAAAGACCACTGCACGTCCTTCTAGACGATGATGACTCCCAGTCGGGGAGTTCGCGGCCCTCAAATAAAACCGTTGAGCCGGTAAATCGAAATAATGGCATTTCTCCAAAGCCCAGATCCCAAGGACGACAGGATAAATTTGAGGACTACTACACGAAAACGGAACGTCATGTCTGGAAAAAGGATGCTGAGAAAATGTTATTGCAATTGTGGGCGCAACATTTAAAGGATTTTCGCGGCGAGTCAAAGAATGTTCTTATCTATAAGGCGATGGCCAAAGAGATGAGCCAGTTTGGGCCGAGTCATACCGAACTTAAAACGAAAATGGATAACATGTCGCGAAAGTATCGGTAAGTAACACATGGCATTGAGGTTTGCATATATTATTTGTTTTGACTTGAAGTGAGTTATGTAAGTTATACAAATATTCAATAAGATATTTTTAATTTACAGTATTGAAGCTGAGAGACTTCGTGAAACCGGAATACCATCCAAATGGGAACACTTTCACAGGCTTCAAGCTCTTCTAATTGGCACAAAAGCCGTAGATGTCTTTGAAGAAATTATGTGCGATAATCCAGGTAAGTCGATATCGCAGAATTGTTTATGTAAAAAGAGAAAAAATTGAACTTTGTTTTTTAGCGGAACAACTTTTTAGCGATCGGGAAGAATCGGATAATGAAGAAATGGCTTCGATGAACGATGAATCCATGGCAGAGGACCAAAAGGATGAAATTGAATTGGTTACGAAGGCAGTCAGAAAAAGAGGACGGTCTTCCTCTCCCAATCTCACAGATACCCAGGACGAAGAGTATGAAGTGGAGGATCAGCTGGAAGAGAGTTCGCCTTTGCCTATTCCAAAATATCGAACCAAAAGGAAAATACCGGTTAGCTATTCTGAAAGAATCCTTGAAATAGAGGAGGAGAAACTAAATATCGAACGAAAGAAGCTGCAGGTTATGAAGGAAGCGCTTGTGGAGCTCAACTCATTCCACAAAGACATAGTTCATTTATTTAAACAGAAAAATCATTAAAATTAATTATAAGTGTTATAGTTTGTACTTTCTGAGAATATAAAATTCAAAGTTTTTCGGAAAACTTGACCTCTTAAAATCTACTAAAGTAATTTTTTAATAAATCGAGGAAATATATAACGGTCACACAAATTATAGTAGATATCTATATTTAACATGTAAATTAAATAAAAAGAAGAAAAAATACAAATTTAAGAATTTGGTTTCTGAAAACAACTTTTCTTGTATACATTATGTATTTTTGGTAGATCAAACATTTTTTTGTTACAATACATTTTTCTGAATTCAATATAGTTAATAGTAAAGTGTAAAATATTCTTATTTAATATATATTATTTTTTAAAAATATATACGTATTTCTTAAACGTTTACTCGCCGCCGATACTTTCTATTTGCCGCATTGCACATCACTAGCAACTACTTATGCAATAAAATATCGATACGTCACGTCCAATTTATATTAAATGGACGACAACAAATTCTTATTTCATTCTGCACTTATAAATAATAAATGTAACTCATCATCATGTAAATTCTCTCTTCTTAGAACTTTTAATATTCTCTAATTAAAGGTTTCTGACATGCAAGTTTAAATTTAGTGGGAATTTACAACTGGTGAAGAGCATTTGGTGGAACCGCTGTTTGAGAATCTGGTAACACTGGCTGTACGCATTTTGTTTATAAGAATTTCTGCGTAGAACGAAATGATAGATGCGCGTACGATGGAGGACGAGTCTAAATTCCAGGAGCCCAACCGAGAAATCTCGATGAAGGTGTTTAGCGGCGAGTACCGTCTGCTGAGGAGAAAACAGGGCAGCAGCGTGTGGAAGGTTTACCGAGAAATAGTCCGCTCCGACGGTGCCATTATAAATGGTCTCTACTTCTGCACCGGCTGCAAGCGCGTCATGCGATCCTTTAATACAACGAATCTACGCGCCCACAAATGTCACGTGGATTACCTGCGGAGTCAAGATCCATCAGAAGGGACATACGTCGATATGGAGCCACAACCCAGGGAACAAGTAAGACATCCTATGCTCGAGTTCTTTGCCAATTAATCCAATTGCAACTCTTATTTTCAGGGAACGTATACATCGGAGCGGCGGCCGAATTATTATCAGCCTCCGGAGTGGTCGTACCAAGCAACCGACATGCTCCTTGAACTTTGGGCAGCCCACTGCCGTGATCTGCGAGATTCTCGCCGGCGTGTCAAAGTTATCTGGAAAATGACTGTCGAAATGAAAACTTTGGGATTTACTTTTACGGAAATTAAAAACAAACTTGAAGATATGGCCCAGCAATATCGGTAAGAAAAAGATAAAGGGATATATAAGTACAAATTAAAAGTTTGTTGTACGTATTTTGTTTCAGGCGAGAAGCTCACATTGAGAAAACGACCGGGGAACAATCTAAATGGGAGTATTTCGAGTCCATGAAAACGATTCTTACTTCTGAACATAACCTAGTAGAAGATAACGCTAGAAATGGATTAAGTAGGAACACTTCACTTGATAACTCTCCAAAGAAAAAGTACATAAAAACTGAGGATGATGACTACAGCGAAGATCAGGAAGAATCCCAGGAAGACGTAGATGAACTTCGGGTTCTAAAAGACAATATCATACGGGAAATCGAAGAATCCTCAACCGTACGTTCCCAAGAAAACTTTGAAGACGAGCTCGATCAACAGACATCCAAGAACAGCGAAATAAAAAGAGCTAAACGCAAAAGAACGGCGAGAATGATGGAAATAGAGGAGGAAAAGCTGGTCATAGAGAAGAAAAAATTTAAATTGATGAATTATTTTGTACGAGAGATGTCGTCATTTCATAAAAGTTTGTTTGATCTTCTTAGTAGTCCGAAGAAAGGCTCAAAATCGTGAAAAAATTACTTTAATTATATACAATGTTTCCTGTCATTAAATATATTGAATAAGCATAATAATTAATCTATTACATTCAAATTTATTTCCTAAAATTATTTATAAAATGCCCATCGAAACTAAAGATTATTACATTTGACACAAATTTTTGCAAATTCAAAAATGTTTAATTTGGCATTTGCCCAAGTTAATAATTTAAGATCACGTGATTTATGCGAATTAAATACCTAAGATTTTGTTTGAAATAAATGTGAATAGGTTTTCTTCTATCTAAGTAATCAAATGTGTGCAAATTTAATTGACTAAAATCTTGCCAGTCGGTCGGTTATATTTTCAGAATTATACATTTATATCGTTTTGTCAAAGAAGCCATAGAAAACTACGGGGAAATGGAAATCAAAACCTTTTAAAAGAGTATATGTTTAAAATATATGGTTTGAATATTCAAATTATGTTTAAGTATATACGATAATCATTCTTTTTCTTTGCAAAAATCGATTATTTTAAATTGGATATCGGGTTTGTATTAAATCGGGAATCGATACTGTGATGCCACCCAGTTTTCTGCTCCGGCTGTTTGTGTTTTTGCTATGACCATCAGGATTGCGAACCGAAATATGTTTATCTTAAATGCCATCGACGAGGAGGAAAAGTGCACGGAGGCCCAGCTAGACATCCTGCTCAAGATCAACACAGGGGAATACCGGCTGGTGAAGAAGAACAAGCGGAGCTCCGTATGGAACGTCTATCGGGAAATAGCTCGTTCTGATGGGACGAAGCTGAAATGGAGGTACTATTGCATTGGCTGCAAGCGCGTAATGCAGTCAACCGGTGGTACCACTTCCAATCTTCGTATTCATAAGTGCCACGTGCGTTACCTCAAGCAGAATGCCCTAAACAGCGACAAGAGCCCCTCCTACAAACAAGCCACTGTTCACAATGCCGCGCCATTAGCGGTGCGAAATCAGAGATCAACAATCCGGCGACCAACGCCATCCTATGTTACCCAATGCCAACAACTCTTCGAAGTGGCCATGGATCCACTTAGCCAGTACAGTGACGCGGAGGACGAAATAGAGGGCCATTTGGAAGAGGAAATTGCCGTGGAGCAAACCGTAAGTGTGTGGTGGTCAAGAGAAATACAGCTCAGTGACACCTAAACTTTTGCACTGTCTTCTACATACCATATTCATTTCTAAACGAGTTTAAACTTTTAAATTTCAGCTCAAATCCGAGAGGGATCTGGAATCCTCAAACCCCCGTCCGCTGTTAAAGCTATTTTCTGATGAGAACTTGTCGATTCAGGCAGAGCCGGAAGAAGAGATTGAAACAGTTGAGACAATAGAGCAGGTGCCCATTGAACTGGATCTAAATGATATCCAGCAAACTTCGTCAGACTTTGGACATGAGGCAATCGAGACGAAACCAACGGAATGTGGCATCGCGTTCGATGCCAGTTCCCTGTCCGAAGCTGAATCCTATGCCAAAGCCTGGGCACATGCCTTCCTCCGCTTATCCGAGGATCAAAAGTTCTATGCCAAGCGTTCTATTGACGAGCTACTTGTTTTGGGACGTCTAGAGCGACTGAATATTTCGACCGTCACATCTTTGACCACAAACCTATAAGCACCCAACCACGCCAATAATATCTACCCTAGAGTAAGCAATTTACAATGCAGATTAAATGATTTGCTCAACTAATTTTTAATGTGTTTCCAAATGGGATGGCAATGGTTGCCCATTAGAAAAATTCAGGTTTTCATAAACTGAATTGAGTATTAAAAAAAGTCATTGGTGTGTTTTTCAATTTTTTTATTTTTTCCAATAAGTTTTTTAAAGTTTTTTTTTACTTTCTTTTGTTGCCATCTTGCAATTGTATATTTCTTGCTTCTTTTACAGTTTTTTTTTTTATTATTTGTTTGCTGTGAATTACATGATTTTTTCTCACTTAAGTTTGTTTGTTTGCTCTGCTTTGCTTTCATTTTCGATACATTTAGTGGGGCCTCGCTTCCGCCTGATTCTTGAATTTCTCGATTTAAGATGATGTATTAATGGGACAAAAATTGAGTGTGGTTATAAATGATTAATGTTGATCTTTGATACGAGAAACTTATTTATTGGGTTCGCTTAACGCACAACGTAAAAACGTTCGATAAAACGAGTTTCAAAAATAAATAAAAAGTTTTATAAACAATATAAGGTAAATTGGGGACGCTATCTAAATTGCTGGGCGTATTTGAATTTATTTTTTTTAATAGTTTTGGTTTCGTGTAATACAATTCGACATTTTTGCAATCATTGACGGCCAGGCATTATAGATTTCTTTTGAATTTGATAAAAATTTGGTTTTGATGTATAAGTTTTACAATTCGTTCTGCTGTCGTACGAAACAAAACAAAGAAGCAAACAAACCGAAAAAACGCGGCGGCTCATTTAGCAAATTTCTGCAATATAATTGCTGATGTTGTTGCTCCATTTTGCAGTGATTGCTGATGTTGATGATGTTGTGCTGCTGCTGCGATTGTTGTTATATGCTACTGCTACTGCTGATGTTTTCTTTGACGGTTAGACGGTCCTTTTTATGCAGTGCTCTCTGTGGTTGTATTCTGCAGCTCTTGAGCGCCGTTCTAAGTATTTTGTGTGGGGATAACGAGGGGCAGAAATCATAATGATAAGTACAAAACTTAAAATTTCAAATGTTAAAAGTAAAATGCAATTTTCGTTTTTACATTAAATGTGTGTTTGTGTTTGTGTTTGTTAGCCAATTAGTTACAGGTAAACTAAAAATAAAAGAATGTTAGACCCAAAGCCTCTAAGTTAAGTGTTAAGGTTTCTCCTCTTTATCGCTGATTCTCTGATTGTGTGAGTGCGAGTGGCTGTTGATTTTGATCTGGTTAGTGGTTATTTATGAATCCATCTGTAATGCATTTTAGTAAGTCTTTCATTTGTAAAGAGACCTCCACCATGTTATTATTGTAGACTTTGTTGTTATAGTTGCCGCTAGTTGTAGTTGATGTTTACTATTTAGATGTTGTTATCGTAGTTTTGCTTTGGCGAAGAAGTTTCAGTTGTTTCTGCTGTGGTGATTAGTTCATTACCTGCTGTGGCTGCTGCTCCAAACCACCGCCAGGGCCATTTGGTTTCCGATTCTGGCGACGAGGGCGTGGCTGTTGAGGGCGTGGTGGTCCCTGACCTTGAACTGTAGGGATACATGTAATATTAGGACTAGAAAAATAGCAAATCGTAGGGTACTAAAATACTGCTTTTTTAAACGATCTAAAATCTAATGCATGTATCTTTAGCCCGGGACTACTACTCACTATATTCTCCGCCATCGCGGCGTTGTGGCGGTACATTGTTGTAGTTGCGTCGGAAGAAGCGCCTCTGAGGTCCACCTGGTGGGCCACCACCGCGACGTGGTCCCTGACCCTCGCCTCGCTGCAGACCCTCAGGATTCTGATCGTGAACGCCGGGTTCGGCGCTGCTGCCATCACCGCCTCCAAGTCCGCGACGCGGTTGACGCGGATAGTAGTTATTGTGACGCCGGGGGCCACCAGGAGCGCCACCAGATGGTACTCGAGGGCCACCACGAGGTCCACCGGGTGGTGCACCGGGTGGTAATCGGCGGAAGTTCTGGCGGGGATGACGCGGGCCGGACTGGAGCTGCTGCTGCTGCCCGTCAGCGGATGGAGGCGGCTGCTGCTGCTGGGCTGGAGATTCCACCTCCTCGCCTTCTACTTCACCATCCTTGCGGCGATTCTTCTTCATCCAGGGACGGAAGTTACGGCGCTTGTCTGCTGCAAACTGACTGCCCCGCACCGGCTCGCCGGAAGGACCAGTCACGTTGGCCGCCTCGTTTCCTTTCTCACCAATGACCACGTCGAACTCAACGACCTCACCATCGCCCACCGAGCGGACCGCCTTCTTGGGGTTATTCCGCGCAATGGCGCTCTGGTGCACGAAGACGTCCTCTTTGGTGTCGTTGCGGTTGATGAAGCCGTAGCCGCTCTTCACGTTGAACCACTTGACGGTGCCGGTAACTTTGGTGGCTGCAAATGGTATGGGTAAAATTATGTATTTAATTACTTTGTTAATTTAGTATTATTATCAATGTTTCTAAAATTTGTTAGGAACCTGTTGCAATGTTTTTCGTTTGAATGAAAAAAATAACACACTGATGCGATTAATTATGAAGATTAAGTTTTAAGGAAGAGTAAATCAATAAAATATAAAATTCTGGTTAGCAACAAGCTTGGCCCCATGATCTGACATTTGTTATTAATTATGGTTAACATTGATAATTCGGTAATTTTCGTAATAATAGTTGTAATCTCGTAATAACCAACAGACTACCAACTACGCAATTTAATCGAAAGAAAACCTAATGCGTTGTTTTTCAAAACTCAATGAAGCGTGTGAAAATGCTGAAAATTCGAGTGTGGAAGAGTTTTATTACCACAACTTGCTGGGTAACAACAGGCAAAAGTTATTTTTATGTTTTGGAAGAACCAAATAGGTTATATCAATTGCTATAATTTCAAATTACTTTGAACGATACATAAAACATTAAATCTATAGTTACTCAATAATTATTTAGGGAATGATTTGGTAAAAACACTTAAATCAATTTATTTCGTATTGGTTACATTATAAGTCTCGTGTTTTGGATTCGCATTGTATGTGTGTGTGAGTGTGGTGCGGTGTGTACAAATAGATGTACCAAAACAATGGACACACACATCCGAACCGGCTGTCTGCCATCTCGCTCGCACTCATTCTGCGCGCGCATTAACAAATTGGGTTGCCCTGGCTGCCTCTGTGTGTGCGTGTTTGTGTGCCGAGTGTACGAGTCTATGAGGGGGTTTTTCAGGGGGAAACAGGGAGGGTTGGTAGTGGGCGGATGGGCGGATAGACAGACGACCGGCAAAAGGCAGAATTTTCAATTTGGTTAGCCGGCGGCGCGAACATTTGTCCATACATATATATATGCGTTGCCTTTAGCCGCACAAAATGGCCGACGCGCGTATATTTTAAGACCCAAACACACACACACACACAAGCTCAGGGAGGCATGTTTCTTCGGTCTTTTTTTTCTCCTTTTTTTGAATGCTATTTTGGTAGCAGCCGCCATGTGTTCTTTGCATATGAATGAAATGGGTTGGGATTTGGACTTAAGGCTAGAGATTCACTCTTACCAATGACTTCCTTGGGCGGCGGAGCGGGCTTGCCCTGCTGTCCCTGCAGCTGCTGCTCGTCCTGCGGTTCCTGCTCGAGGTCCTGCTCCTGCAGATTCTGCTGCTCCTGCTGTTGCTCAGCGGCCAGTGGCTTATTCTCTGCATCGGCCATCGTTTATCGTTGTTATTATAACTGATTATGAGTTATAAACGAAAAGCGGGAAAAGCGAGCGAGGCTGTTGATGTTGTTGTTGGAGGTTTGTGTGTGTGGTTGTGAGTGCCGCACACTAATTATCCGTCTTCCCTGCTGTTTTTCGGGGTCTCTGGCACTCTCTCAACTGCCACTAACCACTTTGGATGTTGTTTGTGAGTGTGATCTTAAAACACTCGCCACTCGCAGGGTTTTCTTTGCCTTAGCGATTCTATTTTGTTCGCAAGCTCCGGAAGTGAAACATGACAGCCGGAGGCAGGGTTGCTTTCGTGCAGCTTATCGATATGTGAAGCTATCGATATATGACAAAATAGTGGTATCTAGCGTGCTGTTAGGCGCAGACATTCGGTCCACAACGTACTGTTAAAAAGTCTGTTAGATTTGAATTTAAATCAATTTTATATGAAAAGTTGGACATTTAGCTTGAGTTTAAAAACTTCATTAAGATACGCTTTAAGCTTAAGACTTGAAGGTAGCTTTATTTAAAGAACAAATATTTGTAATTTGTATTTGAATCTTGGTTTGGGTTTTCATCTCCTCTTTAAGATCACTGCTTAATTTATTTTCATCGATTGTTTTTGGCTCTTCCAGATTCGATAAGCATGCTCCAAGATGAATCCTAGGCAGCTGATCCCGATGCCCACTGACCAGAGATAGAAGGCGCCCTGCAGGATGTCCAAAGTAAGAACCACTTTCTTATTATGACGAATTGCCGAATCAGTGGACGCTGTATCCGTGTCAGTCTGATCTCCCAGATCCTCGTAAAACTCCTCGGCATTTGGTGATGTTCCGTCCCGGGTAATCAGATCCATTTGACGCCAGTGCTCAAAGAAACCGTGTTCGTGAAAGCCACGGAAGAGAGAGTCCAACCGCTGACGAAAGGGAGATCCTCTGGGCAAGATGTAGGTACATATCATGGAGCGCAGATATTCCTTGACGATGTGGTAGGCAGGTCTCTCCGCCTGTGAGTTATATGTGAGAGCCAGAAAGTCTCGAGCATGAAAATCGCGCATAATAAAGGCCGATCGGCGATCTCTCCGGCTTACCAACAGTTGGTAATAGGATGTAGTCAATCCCAAGGGCAACTGGCGACTACGTTTTTCAAGCAGACTATATTGGTGTTCAGACAGAGCGACCCTCACTGCATCATACATGGTAGTTACTGCATAGATGTGCACATCCAAATGAGCTAGACCTTCTACCTGGTCCACCTGCTCCTCGTAACTAGGACGCACAAATCCGGACTCCAGTTTGGCAAAGTAGATGGTAGTAAGGACGTAACTAAACAGGATCCAACCCATGAAGAAGGTGCGCATCGAGCTGAAAGAAGATAGTCTCCCTGCCGGCTCACCGACATGTGTTTTACCAAACATCTCGAGAATCTCGTACCACGGGGTTTGAAAATGAATAAATCCGCTGCGCGGAATCCTTTTCTGGAACCGCTGCATCACCCAGAAGACCAATACCACCACCAAAAGGGTAACCAGCAGCAAGTGCCAAACGGATCGCCGGAAGACGCGCACAAATATCAAGTACTCCGGCTGAACTTCAGAGGCGGGGACCACCAAGTAAAGTATGCGACGAGTGTGAGGATAAAGCACTTCAACTTCTGGCCAAATACAGTCCAGTACAAATCGAGAGTTGGGAGCAAAGTGGGTGTGACCGCCTGCTATATCTCTCACCACTCCTGTGTAGTTCCCATTAGGCAAACACCGACCGTAGGATTCGTTATCTTCAGGTAGGACGTACGTAACGGTGGCATTTAACATACTGGCAGCCACTCGGGCAGCCACTCCATCCACCGCTCTATAGCCAGCACTTTCCACAGGATTATTTGGCACAGCCATTAAAGGATCCGTAAACATGGAGAAACGCAATGGGTAGCCCCTTAAATCCATCATCTTATGGGGGTAATATAAATCATTTCCCGACAGCTGCACCACTTTAAGACCCCCTAATGCAAAGGGATCAAAGTCAAAGGTACCATTATCCTTACGGGTAATGGCCAACCCGTAGAGCAAGCTCTTATCCCAACTACCTTGAAAAAGTCTTTGGAGCTGATCTTCCCTGGCGTCCGGCCAAATAAACAGATACTTATGCAGATGTTTGCAAGTCTGGCGGGGATTTAACAAGTTTAAGATACGGCGAACCAGTGATTCCCCTTTGTCACCAGCTGGGATGTGGAAGATACTCAGACTGTCCGTTTGTCGCAATGGTTCTAGTTCATGTGCCTCGATATTCCTCGTAATGACGGGCAAACGATTGCCCACGCAGCGATACAGTTCCATTTCCAGAGCACAGTGTTCCGGATCAAAAGAAGACGTACAGCTGGAACAGCGGTACAGATAGGTAACCTGGGCATTCTGTTTCTCGGCTATCCGGCAGGCAATATTGGCCAGGGAACAGATACCGGGAAGATAAAATAAAAGCAGAAAAGCAACCAACGACTCCATTTTCCAAAAAGCAACTAACAAGGTGAATCTTTTGCAGCTGGCCCTAACCTGTGGATATGGTCCCTTGGGTACTGTAATCCTCAATTAGGAAAAACATTGCGTGATAAGTTCATTAGTTAAGATTTCTTGGGGTGTGTAACTAAGTACTTTTTTATTGCTGTTTGGTTTTTAATAAAGGCAAATTATGTTGTAACAGGTAAAATAAAGAACATATTTAACAAAATAATATTATTTCAATTTGCTTTAACAAAATCACCTGGCGACTTTCTATATGCCATATTGGCTAGTAGCTAATCACCTGAACTAAATTATGGGTTAATGAATACTTATACTGATAAGGTGTTGTTTGTTCTAAATCTGCATAATAGGCTCTATCAGGTGAATCATATCAATATTCAAAGTCATTGTGAAAGACGCAGCAATATTCACATTGATTAGGGTATAATATTTGATTAGAAGAAATCTTATTTTAAAAACTTTGGATTAGAGTTTCTGTATTCCTAATGTTTTATTTTAAAGGAACATTAATGGTTTCTAAAAATCTTTTAGTTACTATATGTACAATAAAGAAGCCCTGGATTTTACATTTATATAAAATATTTCAGTTTCAGGTTTTTTGAGTAACTAAACAAATTCCAAACAAATTTCTAAATTCTCAACTTTTTTTAATTTATAATCAAGATTTTACTATGGATAATGCTCTACCTTTTAATGGACCAGTAAATCTATTTATATATCTAAATTTTGGCCTTTTTATTAAAATAAGTTTTGTAGTTCTTAAACAGCTGCGAGATGTATCCGCAGCGAAGGACAACCGAATTCTATAGATCTGTGGAGCCACGAGCCTCTTACCAAAGTCGACAGGCGGAACATCCTAATGATATTCTAAACGAAGTACCCGACCAAAATCGGGAGCTCGCCGTAAGATTGCCACGTATCCAACCGCCAAATAACTCCGATAGTAATATTCTTCGAAATGGTTATTTTTCGTAAAATAAAATTTGTTATTTAGAAAATTTATATAAAGATTTCGTGAGAGAATAACTTTTCCGAATGAGAGTGCATCCGTATTCGATTATGTCAATTGAAGATTAATATATGGATCTGGCTTGGAGACTGGTAAGCTATAGGTGTAAGGGGGATGTCATATTCCGATATGTTCTTGATTGGACTATGGGTCTTTCGATGGTCCATTGTTCTTTGTTGTCTACACGAGTTGTTGTCCCAGCAACATGATTAATGCTCCGTGTTTTGCAATTTGGAATATTTTTAGCATCGATTGATAATGGATGCGCCGTAATACTTGGCGGCCAGGCAAACAAAGCCGACTGCAAGCTTATCAAAGAGCTGCCTAGTAACACCTTAATCAACAGGTGATCATTTCACAATGTAATCCTAATCGCCTTTGTAGTGGGTTAAAGAAGAGGGCCTGTCAAATGTTGATAGGTAGAAATCAAAATTATTACAACTTGATAAAGTAAAAGTCATTGCACGGAAAGAAATAAAGTTAATTTTTAAGAATATTATTATTAGTATTAGTATATTTTACGCAAAAGGGTATAAGGTTGTTGTAATTTTTTATGTCTCTTAATAAAAGACAATGAATAATATTTGAATGGTTCTAAAAGTGTTTTGACTGAAAGATTTATTTTTTAAGAAATAAAGAACAAAGACTTTTAGTAGCATCCAAATATTATTCTTGAGTTTTAGATAATGTCTTTTTTTATGCGAATTACTGTATAATTTGAGTTCTTATCGCCTGCAAGTATGGATGCATCATGGGCTTTGAGATTTTTGAGTTCTAGGGGTCGATCAGATCCGGCGGAGGAGTGTCAAGGCTACGGATACGACAGGTCGTTGGCCATTGCAATCTGTGAATAGGCTAGCTTGGGGTATAAATACGGGCTGCGAACACTGCATCAGTACGATTCGATTCGATTCGACAAGATGAAGTCGTTCACGGCGATTGCAGTTGTTACTGTGGCCTTGCTGGCTGTTCTGGGCCAGGCTAAGCACTTGGACTCCAAGGTGGCGGACAAGGACTTTCTGGTAAAGCAGAAGTTCATCTTCCAGATGCTGCAGCATATTTACCAGGACGATGTCTTTGTGCACCAATATGAAACCAGCTACTTGGAGTACAAGCCGTGGGAGCATGTGGCCGACTATATGCATCCGGAGATGTTGGAGCACTTCTTTGAGCTGTGGCAACATGAGCCCTTCACCGATGACATGCCGTGGTCAGTGATGTACGAGAAGCACGAAGAGTATGTTGTGGGTCTGGTGCGTCTTTTCTACTTCGCCCAAAACTGGGAGACCTTCCAGCACGCCGTATTCTGGGCCCGTCAGCACGTGAACAAGCAGATGTTCGTCTACGCCTTCACCATCGCTAGTCTCTTCCGTGATGATATGGAGGGAGTCGTCTTTCCAGCCCATTACGAGATCCACCCATGGAGCTTCTTCGACAGCCAGGCCTTAGAATGGGCTGAGCACTACAAAATGCACGGATTCCATCATGTCAAGCAGATGGATAACATCTACAACGTTGTCATCCGGGCTAACTACTCCAATGCCCACGGCTCCCTGAACTACGATCACGATCTCGCTTACTACCTGGAAGATGTGGGCTTCAACTCCTTCTACTACTACTTCAACTTGGACTATCCTTTCTGGACCAAAGGCGGCGAGGGTCATGTCCTGAACAAGGATCGTCGTGGTGAGTTGTACCTGTTTGTTCACTGGCAGTTGCTGGCCCGTTGGTACCTGGAGCGTCTGTCCCACGATCTTGGTGAGATTCCGGCCTTCAACATGTACGTCCCTACGGAGTCTGGCTATGCCAGCAACCTGCGTAGCTACTACGGAGTACCCCAGTGGCACCGTGAGAACCACCACAGCTTCTACCACAACCACAACTACGAGAACATTGAGCACGTTGAGATGTACACGCAGCGCGTGATGGACTGGATCCACAAGAACGAGAAATTCGACCAGGAGGCCGTCAACATTCTTGGCAACATCATCCAAGGTAATAAGGACAGTGTGGACACCAAGTTCTACGGCAGTCTGGACAAGCTCTACCGATTCATCGTGAATGAGGGACACCACTACGGAAGCGGACATGAGAGCTTCCCTGGTCTGTTCATGCACTACGATACTTCGATGCGTGACCCCATCTTCTACGAGGTGTACAAGACCCTGTTGGGCCACTACTGGCATCTGATGGAGACCTATCCCGAGTACAAGAAGAAGGACTACGCCTTCGAGGGTGTCCAGATCGATGCTGTCCATATGCCCGAGAGTCTGACCACCTACTTCGAGTACTTCGATTCCGACATCAGCAATGCCGTGAATGTGGAGCCTGCCGTTGAGGGTGCTACGGACCCTCTGTACGTCTTCGGCCGTAACTCCCACTACAAGGGTTCCAGCTATGTGATCAAGGCCCGCCAGCAGCGCCTCAACCACAAACCCTTCGAATTCACCATGGATGTGACCGCCGACAAGGCCCTGGATGCTGTTGTCAAGGTATTCATTGGACCCAAATATGATGAGCATGGACACGAAATTCCATTGGAGTACAACTACCAGAACTTCGTCGAACTGGAGCACTTCAAGGTGCATCTGGAGGCAGGCGTTAACCACATCAAGCGGGCCAGCGGTGACTTCTCCGTCTGGGTGAACGACCGTACCACCTACCTGGAGCTCTACCAGAAACTGATGGACGCCTCGAACAGCGATTACAAGTTCAAACTTGACCAGTCGGAGGCCCACTGCGGTGTACCTAACAGGATGATGCTGCCACGCGGTAAGAAGGGCGGTCAGGTGTTCCAGTTCTTCTACATGGTCTACCCATACCATCAGCCCGAGGTTGCTCAGTTCACCGGATTTGATCCTGTGATCAGCTGCGGAGTTGGACACGGTTCCCGCTATGTGGACACCCTGCCCTTCGGATTCCCCTTCAACCGACCGGTGAAGCACGACTACTACTTCGATGTCCACAACTTCAAGTTTGTCGACGTCAAGATCTTCCATCGCGACGAGCACACCAACGTTGTCTAGATCCTAGACTTCATGAATACGAATCTTAAACGAATACGAATTACGATCACCAACGAATTAACGATATTGGATCCTTACATGTTATCTCTTGTCTACATCCACTTCCCCCCATAGAATCCATAATTTAACTCAGTTCTACCTTAACTTGTCAGTCCACCTTGTGACCATTCAACAATAAACGTACCCAAAAAACAAATCTACAGAATTTTTATTTTGTATTCTTTAATATTAAATATTTCAAAATTAGACGTAGTGATATATAAAAACTTACTTCATTAGTGCAATTAAATTATTATTTATAAGAAATGTGAGTAGTAATAACAAACCATTTTTTTCTGGCAGTGTATTTGTTTCGCCCATAAGCTACATCAGGGATGGGCTCTACCACCTGAAGTTAGCTCTTTAAATAGGAACTAGTTCACTTATCCAAACTAAACTACTGGCTCGTATCCCTGGACTACAACAAAAAAAAACAGACAAAAGGCTTGTTGTTTTTCCCCCAAAAATGAGCTCCTGGCGAGACAGTCTGACTAGCATTCCGGGCACAGTGGCGCAGCTGATTAACGAGAGCGCTAGCAACTTGTTGCACGCCTCATCCTCACTAGGATCAACAGTTGGCATTGGGGGCTCCTCTGGATCTGGATCCGAAGTAGGGGGCTCCGAGGAAAGTGGTCCGCAAGGAGAATACAGGGCGTTGCCCATTCCCGCCTCCTTAGTGCGCGAGCAATGGCGTCTAATCTTCACCAGCGATGCGAATATCCAGGACCTTCAGGCGGCTATTGCCCATTGCAGGGATCTCGTTCTACTGAGCGAGGAGCTTAGCGAAGAGCGACGATGGCTGGTGCGGCACCTGGTAGATCTGCGCTACTCCCTTCAGGAACTGGAGGAGGCCCAAGAGCAGCAGTCCCTGTCATCTGATATGGTCGTTATGAACGCCATCCGGGCAGTGGTGGGTCATCATTTTGTACCCCATCATCCGCATCACGGCAAGAGGAGTCGCCTGCAGGCAGCCGCCAAAAGAAACTACTGTGACCATTGCACTGCTATCATTTGGAGCGTTGTGCAGAACTCGTACGTGTGCAGCGATTGTGGATTTCTGGTTCATCAGAAGTGCATCGACGCCGTAAAGAGGGTGTGTGCCCATGTGCTGGTCTCCGAGCGTCAGCATCCCATCTCGGAGATCTGCCCTGAAATCGGACTGGCTGCTCAGGGTTACAAGTGCGCCGAGTGTGGAACGTTGCTAAATATAAGTAAGCTAACATCTTTTTTTTTTCTCGTTCAAAGTCATTGGACTCTTTCCTTACAGAAAACACATGGATTGAACCCCGATTGTGCGACTATAGTGGATTGTACTACTGCCCCCGTTGCAACTGGAATGATAGCAACTTTATACCAGCCCGCATAATTCACAACTGGGATTTTTCTCCACGCAGAGTATCACGTACAGCGCTTCAAGAGATCAGGCTATTTCTTAACAAGCCCCTGATCCGGTTGGAGGAGGATAATCCTAAGCTTTTTGTATTTGTGGAAAAGCTGTGTGCAGTGAAGAAATTACGCCAGAACCTGGTGCATATGCGTCACTATCTGGCTGCCTGTAGGATCGCTACCGAACTGAAATTGGTGGATCAGCAACTGGGCGTCAGACGACACCTGGCACAGTCAAATGAGTTCTATTCATTAAATGATCTCACGCAGGTGGAAACCGGAGAACTTACAGAATTTTTGCAGGGAGTTTTCAAGGCTTTCAATGATCATATAAGATCCTGCCCCATGTGCCTGGCTCAGGCCTACATCTGCGAGATCTGCAGCAACAACGAGGTGATATTCCCCTTCGATGATGGCTGCATCAAGTGTGATCAATGCAACTCCATCTTCCACCGAGTTTGCCTCACGCGTAAAAACATGATTTGCCCCAAGTGCATACGCATTCAAGAGCGACGCCTCCAATTGGATCGAATGAAGAGCACTGAGGATGATGACGAAGAGGCCACCGATGATGACGTGGCTCCCGCAGAGTAACTGATTTAATCATAGTTAACTGTGCTGTGCTGGTTTTTAATATGTTATCATATGTACATAAGATGTATCTACAAAGTATATAACTACTATTATTATTAGATTTATTTCGGCATTCAATTATCCTTCTTCCCATATTTTTCCCGCTTATGAAACTTTCTGGGATTTATTCCATAGGCTTTTAATCGATCGTCTGTTATTCCATTGGGGTTATTATTTCCTTTGTTTTTCGCCTTGAAGTTATTTGTTTTCTTGGTTGGGAAAGGTGCACTAGCTTTTGGGTTAGATTTGCTAAAAGGATTGGAACCTGTAGCTTTTCTAGGTGCTTTTTTGTTGTCCCCTTGGTTTTTATGAATTGGTGGCAGGTCAAGTTTCTGGTTAGGTTTTGTATTTTGCTTATTAAAAGGATTATTTCCTTTTGGTTTTCCGGGCTGTGTAGGTGCACTTTCTCTATTTTTAAGCGGTTTGTTGGACTTTCCGTTTTTATGCGCCGTTGACTCTTGTGATTTTTCGATTCCATTTTCCCCATTTGTAGACACAACAATTTTGTTATTATTGAAGGCATTTTTGGGTTTCGGATTTTCTGACTTTTGTGCGGGGTTTTTACTTTTTTGAGTTCCAACGTTTTTGATCTTAGGAGGATCGTCCTTCTTTTCGCTATCCTCTTTCTGACCGTTTTCAGTTGATTCCCTGGGTTCCTCCTTAGAAATCTTCGGGGCACTGGCTGCTGCTACTGCGGCAGCTTTGCGTTTAAGTCGCTTTCTTTTAGATTTAGATAACCCTTCCGTAGGCATTGGCGCATTTTCAGTTGGAACTGACGTTTCGGAAATTGGTTTTGATTCTGGTGCTGGCTGATCCTCATCGTCAGATCTACAATAGAAAAACATTTTAATTTACCTCTAAGCCACATCACTCAGAATTACTTACCCTTCACCATAAAGACTCTTGAATATTTTTCGCTTCAGGTCTTCATTCTTGGCCTTCATCTTATACAAACGTTGCTCTTTTTTCTCTACATGTTCCGGCCTGGTTTGGACAGCTTTCTTGAGGCTAGCCCACTGGTTGAGCTCCTTGTTCTTGGCCAGCAAGATCTGTAAGTATATCAAATATTTATATAAAATTTCTATTAAATTAAATAAAGGTCAACAAAAAGTACCTCCTCTATCGTCAGTCCAAAATCGTTGGGTGTAGTTTCCACATATTTAAATCGACACGGTTGATCTCCAATGATATCCTCGCAGTCCATTTGGTAGTATTCGTCGATGTACTCACTATAGGTCTTCTCGTCCTCAGGATTGAATGCCGGTTTATTCGCCAGGATCATATCCATGAACCGATTCTTTCTGCCCTTTCGTCCTTTACGACCCCGGGAGTTTTCGATTAGCTCCTGTTGGAGTTGCTGCTTGGAAGCGGACGGATCGTAGTCGCAGTCCATGTTAAAGTCCTCGTCCTCGCAGTGCTCCTCGTAATCCTGATCGTCCGTATTTCGGTGCTGTTTGGGATCGTAGTTATCCCAATCTTCTAGCACCAACTCATCGATGTCAGAGGGGCATTCAGGTTTTTCTTCGCCCTCGTCTACATTGTAGTACTCATCGTCAAAAAGTTCCTGCATTCGCCGATCGTGCGCTGCCGGATCAAAGTCCTCTTCAAGTTCCTCGTCCTTGAAAGCTAGTTCGTCATTGCCCGTAACTGCTTTCAATTTGCGTATCTTCTCTTGAATCTCTTTGCGCTTCAAATCCTTGATAATGTCTAGTTCCTTCATTTTCTGCTGCTTCTCTTGATCCTTACGCTCTTTTAGCTCCTTGCGCTTTTCTTTTCTCTTGTCATCTGTGCGACGAATTGATTGTTCGATGGTTCGGGGATAGCGCTTGATGAAGTCTGCATCTGGTTCTTCAAATCGGAAATTGTACTTGTGTTCAAACTCCGCCTGCTTTTCTAGTTCCTGCTCGTCCTCGGAAAGTGGGGCAGCTTCTCCAACAATTTCATCGTAGGTGGGGATGGCGGACTCATCCGTGTTGGCATATCCTTTGTTAAGGATATAGTCCCTAAGAAAACTCTCACCTTGTGTCAGTTTGCTGCTATTCCAGTACTGTTTTAGGGGCTCCAACTGCTCCTTGTCAGTTTGCTGAATCTCCTCCTGTTTTCCTGCTAGCCACTTGGCAAAGTCTGCCTCCTCGGCTGCCGTTTGCTCTTTGGTCTTGCTACGTTTCTTAAATATACCGCCAAATTCCTCATCCTCACCATCGTCTTCCTGGTTCATTACATTCTGAAATTCTGCTTTGAGACGGCGCTCCTCCTCAACAGCGGTGGGAGACTGGGCTCTCTGTAGTTCTTCCTGCTCCCTCTCCTGCTGCTCGTCATCGGAACTCTCGAACTTGCCATTGTGGTCTAAGATCACTTTTCGTTCGTAGTCTTTTAAAGTGACTGGCTTGGATTTCTTTGTCTTTTTAGGCGACTCCTCATTCTTATCTTCCTCATCGGAAGATGAAGATTCATTAAAGAATTTCGTGCCCTTATCGTAAATCCGTGGATCTTTACTCTTCAGGGAAGAAAGCGTTTTGAAAAATTCCTGGTCGAATTTGGGATCCACCTCATCCTCCTCGGAGGATTCACTGTCGCTATCGAACTCTGATTCAGAAACATCCAAACCCCGATCTTTATCTAAATGTTATGAAGAAATAAAGTTGAGTGCAGCCCAATGATCGTAGGTATTCAAATTTACATTTCTGTAGCAGCTCCTTTTTGCGCAGGATGTTGTAGGTCTTGGCATAGTCCTTGTTGGTGGACAGCTGCAGCTCCTCGCCATCATCGTCAGAGCCCTCGAAAAGTTTATTATTCATAATATTGTTTATTTTCCTCGACCCTTTTATAAACTTCCACACGTGTTTACGATAATGGCCGAACGTAAAATAACATATCATAACATGTTATCGGTAGAGATGGGCAAATAAATATTGTATATTGTAATTGCGTGACTCCTATCGATGCTTCTGTAGCATTTCTACCATCTTTAATATTTTATATTTACAATTGGCAATTTCAGCCAATAAATTTAGATCGATTTAGCAACATTCCATTTAGATGGCAGACACACCAGAATCCCAAGCGGCATTGAGCACATCCACTACCACGCCCGCTGACAAAGATGGCTCAAAGAGTGAGAATCCACTATTATCTTTCGGTTGCTATTATCACAAGGTTTTTGTTATCAGTTTGTATCCTCCTCAACGCCACTGGGAATGTGCCCATCATCAAAAAAAGAACCTGGACTGTGGATCCAAACAAAACCGTCAGCTGGATACAGAAGTTTATTCACAAGTTTCTTAAACTTGATGCCAGCGAGCAAATTGCAAGTGCTATTCCAAGTTCAGAAGAACCCTAATCTCATTTTGCATCTTAAACATTGCAGTTCCTGTACGTTAATCAGACATTTGCACCCGCCCCCGATCAGATAATTAAAAACCTGTACGAGTGTCATGGAACCAATGGAAAACTGGTACTCTATTATTGCAAGAATCAGGCGTGGGGCTAAATCGATACGCACATGACTTTGCTAAATCTTAAGTATTTATTCGACTACTTTTTAATTTGTATATTATTAAATGTGAATAAGCTGATTTTGCGAACTCGATTTCACACTTTATTTCCCCCAAAATGGGAGCCTAACAATTGTATTTTTAGAATATTACAAGGGGTCTTCTAATCTCCACGCAAGGCTTCCAGTTCGTCTGCAGCCTCTTTGGAAATCCTGTGGTATTTAGCCACCGAAGGTCGGTAGTAGTAGGACTGGTAATCCTGGCGCTCAGACATCTTGCGACGAACTTCGTCCTCAAGAAGACTAAAATAATTGGTAATTGTTAAATACTAAATTGTGTTTAAATAAATGTTCTGATTTACCGAATCTGGGCTTTTTCATTTTCCTCGAAGAGGTAGTGCAAGGATTTCTCGTAGTTTTGCTGCTCCGAGTTCAAAAAGTAGCGGGAAATAAAGCGAGAGATAGGGTGCTGAAAAACATAGAGATATGAGATTTAAGAAATTGTACATTTAATTTCATTATTTCTTAGTGTTTAGTAGTAATTAAAAGTTTTTAAACAAAGCTAAAATAATATATAATAATAAGATATGTAGTGTATTTTTTCTTCATCTCAGCTGTGCATTAGGATAAAAGTTATCATACCTTCTCGTACTCCCAGTGCTTGGGCTCATAGCCCTCGGGAATCTCAGCCAGTTGCGCGGGACCCACGAAGATGTTCGCATAGAGAACCAACGCGGTGACTGGAATCACGCCGAGCATTACGTAAAAGTGCAGCAGATCCTTGAACTTGTCCCACTGGAAGCGCGATGGCTTGATGGTCATGTGATGGTGTCCATGATCGCCTCCCATCCTGCGCAGCTGTTGCTGCAGAGCTAGAAATCCAGAATATTTGGTTGCGTAATGTAAAGTGTGTTTACGACCGATTTTCCAAGGGGAACTCACCATTCCGGCAGGCGGGTTCCTGGAGGACAGCCCGGTAGCTGGCGAACTTAACCGCCGGCGACAGCAAACGGCTCCAACCAACCATTTTAAAGTAGTTTTTCGTAACTCTTACGATATTTTGGAGCTGGTCGTGTCAAAGTTGCGAGCAGCACGTCAAACGGTCACACTTAAGATGGACCGTCGGTGTGTTTTGATTTATCGATTACACCACATATGGCTGAGTGAGTTGATGTTAGTTGGCGTCAAAGCACAAGATATGTTTTTAAAAATTATAATAAAATCATTGGAATAACGAATATGAGGAGATACAATAGTGTCACATAAATCACAACGACTATTGCGATTGTAAACTAATGCATTAAATCGTGACACGAAAAAGTTTTAGAAAATGTTGATAACTTCCAAGTTTGGTCGATTTTCTGCTTCTTCCAGCACTAATGGGCTCGCCAAACCAAAAGCTTACCATCACTAATCATCCATCGACAAAAACAACGTCGCCTGGTAGTAAAATTAACGAAGATATTTTTCTGTACTGATAAAAGGTACTTTCCTCGCAAAATCTGACTCACAAAAACAGTAAAAACCTCAGGGAAATGTGAAACGGAAGCGGGGTAAAATGAAACATTTGCAATTGCGTATACTGCGATGTTTTCTTCATACTGATAAAAATTCGTAGTATAATATACAAAACAAGTAAATATCATTAAGAGATGGCAAGACACAAATGCGCAGTTTGTTTGCAATTAGTACGGTTCTTAGTTTAAGAAATTGCGTGTTTTTTGCCAAGGAATTGTGCAATTTTTACTAAACTCCTGTGTGTGTATGTGCGAACAGTGGCGGTACAAAGGAGCCTACTCCCTTTTACAGTAGTGGGAGCATATCTCACAGTGGTGGCAAAAAGGATATGTACTAATCAGACTTTCTAAGAAAATAATAATAAAAATATGCTGGGATACAAAAATCATCAAATTTCGTCAAATCATACAAAAAACCACAATTTCCCTTTCAAAAATATTTATACTTTAGAAGGAAAATATGTTTCATTGTAATACTAAAGATTTTCCAAAATAACAGCGATGATAAAAAACAATTTTGCTAAATAAGGAAACTACGATATATTTAAGATTGAGCCACTGTGTCTGTGATCTGTGAAACTTTGTGTTGGAACTGCGATAAGCAGCCTCAGTTCATATCACTCTGTGTTTGTTATCTTTTAAAAAGCAATTCATTTGTCTTGAATCTGCAGTCATGGCCAATTTAAATGTCTCCACTGTATGTATGCGCGGCGCGGTGGGCGTGGAGTTGGGTGTGGGCGTCTTTCAGGGCCAAGTTACCACTTCGCCTTAGACTTTGGCCAAATCCATTGATGTGAATGAATGTGAATCAGCAATGCTATATAACCTGTACTATATCCAATACAAAGAAATAAAAAACAACAAAGCAGCTAACAACTAACAACCAAGAAAACTAGCTGAGCTAGTGACGTCATCGATAGAGTGTACTGGCAACTGCTGCTTTTGGCTAATTTATTCTCACATTTCAGCCGCATATATATATTCTACATGCCAATAATCGAGCCCAACGACTGAGCCACGTCCTGCGTCACCGCGAGAATTCCAATCACATCGAAGCAATCGACACACTCATATTACCCACCCGCCATGGACGCCCATTCGCGTTTCGCACCGAGATTACCAGGTAAGTCCGCCGGCCGTTCGGCCAAGTCATGCTTTTCAATTCGATTTTATCTAGTTTTGATCTTTGGTTCTGTAACTGCTTAGCATTTTGGAGTGCAACTGCAAGCGAATTGACTTGTTTTAAGCGCTGAGGAAGAATTTCCAAAATAATGATTAAAACATAACTAACTTTATTAACAAAGAGAAAAAAGATTAAGAATAACTTTTTATGTGCCATGCTTAAATTATACATCTTAAGCCCTTTTACCCATTTTCATATTGAGCAGCCATCAAATTATGATAAAAAAGGGCCTTAAGATGTACGTATATATAGAAATCCAAGTTAGGTCAGTTGGGCTTTTTTTTAATTACTTTAATCTGAGTTTTTGGGAGTAATTTCTTTGCGCTGCTTTGTTTTGTTTTCATTACCGTATCGTAGTTTCTTTGAGGGGAGAAGTGCCCTCGTTTGAAAACTAACAGTAATAGCCAGCAATTACGACTAATTTTCTGAAACGCCCCGCCCCCGCCTCCACCTTGCCTAACTCCCAACCGCCCCCTTATATCCAACCTCTTTGTTTTTGGTATCAAGTTGCGCTACTAACCCCATTTCAAACTGTTTAACCCAGCCTATGTGGGCAGCTCACCGTCTCTGTACATACATAACTTTGCATTTTTTAACTATCCAACGTGTTTGCTTGGTTTTGTTGTGGATCCTATTTGTTTACTACTACTACTACTACTACTACTAATTTTCGCTAGCTGTGTTGTTGCCAATGTTTGTTATGAGGTTTGTGTGATCGTGTGTTTGCCCTAGCCTAATTAGCCTTATAACCTTAGCTTAGAGCTCCCTAATCGTTCCTGTTCTGTTCTGTTCAGTAATCGTCTGCCAATTATATCGAAACAGTAAGACTCTTGATTAACCAATCAGATGCCAATGTACTCATCAAATTAAATTTCTCTGATTCATGTCTATTCACTTACTCAAAACTCAATCCGAACTAAACTTGTTGCCTCAGGCCGTCAAAATACTTAACTGAAAGCATTACTTGTAAGATTACGTTTTTGGAATACTAGTCCGCGTCAGGGAAACCTACGAGATTTATAAATGCCTTCCCTCTCGCACCCCAAGGTCCCGCCATCAATCCGATCGTCGATAATTCGGATGAGCCGCAGCCCAGTCTCTCCGATCTGCACGACTTCGAGCCGAAGCTAGAGTTTGATGATACCGAGCTCCTGGCCCCATCGCCCCTAGAAAGTAAGTAACGTGGTATCCTAGAAAATTTTAGTCCTATTTCTCTAACAGTTTTACTTGACCATAACTAATTAATTGTCTGATTTTTTACCAGAAGATGTTATGGTCGGCGATTTTGTCCTGGCTGATGGTAAGTAAGCGAATCCCTTATTTTTAGTTAATAATTAATGTTGGTAATTTTGCATAGATCCAGAACTTGAACCCGAAGAAGATGTAAACCCACTAGAAGACGATTTTGAGGATCAACTGAGGGAACAGTCTGAGAACTTTCAGTCGCCCAGAAACAAATGCGATTTCCTTGGTACCGACAAGCAAGGTCGTCACATTTTCGGCATTTATGCATCTCGCTTCCCCGAAAAATCCCAGCTTGAAGCTTTCGTGCGGTAAGTTTTCTTTTTTAAATAGTTTAATTTAATAATTTTAATCTCATTTTTCTTTCTTAACAGTGAAATAATCAAAGAAATCGAACCGTTTGTAGAGAACGACTATATATTAGTATATTTCCATCAAGGTCTGAAGGAGGATAATAAACCATCGGCACAGTTCTTGTGGAACTCGTACAAGGAGCTTGATCGTAACTTTCGCAAGAATCTAAAGACTCTGTATGTGGTGCATCCGACGTGGTTTATACGGGTCATCTGGAACTTTTTCAGTCCCTTCATTAGCGACAAGTTCCGCAAGAAGCTAGTCTACATCTCTAGCCTGGACGAGTTACGCCAGGCGCTCGGCCTCAACAAGTTGAAATTGCCGGACAACATTTGCGACCTGGACGACAAGCTAAATCCCAGCCGGAAGCCATCAACTCCACCACCTAGCAGCAATAGCATAAATGCATCCCGGCAGCAGCAGCACAAAATGGCGACGACGCATCAATTTGGAGTGCCTCTGAAATTCATTGTGGTAAACAGTCCGTGCCTCAACTCCATTCCACCTATTGTGCGCAAGTGCGTGGACTCGCTGTCCATAACGGGCGTTATCGATACGGAGGGCATATTCCGGCGATCGGGCAATCACTCGGAGATTATGGCACTCAAGGAGCGCGTCAATCGAGGTGAGGATGTGGATTTGAAGAGCGTGAATGTCCACGTAATAGCTGGCCTGCTAAAGAGTTTTCTGCGTGATCTTACCGAGCCACTGCTGACTTTCGAGCTTTACGAGGATGTAACCCGATTCCTAGACTGGCCCAAGGAAGAGCGTTCAAGAAACGTGACCCAACTGATACGTGAAAAACTGCCAGAGGAGAACTACGAACTGTTCAAGTACATTGTAGAGTTCCTGGTCAGAGTAATGGACTGCGAGGATCTCAATAAGATGACCTCCTCCAACCTGGCCATCGTGTTCGGTCCAAATTTCCTGTGGTCGCGCAGCACTAGCACCTCCCTGGAGGAGATTGCCCCTATCAACGCTTTTGTAGACTTTGTGCTGCAGAACCACAAGGACATCTACTTGATCGACGTCAATCAGCGCACAGTTTCCGTCGACTAACGACTGGCCCCCCACAAACAAGTCCGTAACTGTAAATTGTTTGATTTTAATGTTAGTCCTAAGTGAACCAATGGTTAGCTAAATGAGAACACACAAAAGGCAACAGAAACTATAGCCAATGGCGGTTTCGTGTATAAAGTGTACTGTAATCCTAAGTTGAATTTTAAACTGTGTGTATGTGTGGAACTGCTTGTAGCCCCAACTCCACGCCAACTCTCCTCCAAATCACAATTATTTAACCCCCCCCCAAGCGCTTAGTACGATTGATTTACCAAAGAAATTTGCTTTTGTTCGTTCATCGGCGAACATTAGAGAAATTCGATATGAGATGTTATTATTAAAATATGTATTAATTAAACGCACATTCCCCCATGACCGGAAACTAATCTTGGTAGCGTTGCTGAATGCACCTGCCACGCGAAAGTGGAGTTGTGGCGAACTCAAAAATCGTAATGTGTAGAATTTTGAATTTCCTTATAGTCATATAAACAATTTTTATAAAGTAACGGTATTGTTAAAAATAAAGCAAATGTTAAAACCAAGAGCTGGAATATAATTATCTTAAAAAACTTTAAAATTTAAAAGATAAATTTGTGGGACCAAACTTGCGCATAAACGCAAGCGATTTTTTTATTGATATCAAGACAAATCGGTCCAGTTTGGAATATTAAATAAATCATTAAGGGGTCACAACGAGTCGACTTAAATGGCTTAAATGTTGATGTTCTTCAGTTTGCGATTCAGATCGTTGAACTTAAGGATTTTACGCACAAAGAAGTCACCATAGCGATGTGAAACCTTGGTGTCAGCTATATGAATCATGTCGTCGTCGATGTAGAAGTCCAACTGAAATATTTACGAAGAATTAAACAACTGTTTCCCAAATCTTTATGCGTAAAACTCACCTCAGAACCGGACTTGAACGTTCCCTCCAGTCCGCTAGGTCCCTTGCTCCACACGAGATTGCGCATTTTGTGCTTGAAGCAAAGGAGACGAATAAGCAGCTTCGACACGTCATCCTCGCTTGCATTGGGATCGATAAAGGAGGCGAGTTTGGTCAGCGGCAGGGTGGTGTAAAGTTTCAGATACGAGCGCGTCGTGGGCAGATCTTTCTGTTGGCGCACCTCGTCCATGAACACCAGCAACTGGTGCTCCATAGGGTCCTTCACGTAGTCCTCCATGGGCGCATCCGCAGCTGGTGGGCATGGGCTCACAAACCGCGGGCAGGCAAACACGAAGAAAGATTTAAAGACCTCCAGGTCGCCACACTGCATCTTGAACATGGCATCGTGGTAGTTCTTCTCCCTAAGGACCTGCTGGATGGACTCGTCGATGCACTGGGGATGCAACACCAGGCAGATGGCTAGCAGATGGTACATTTGCTCGGCCTGCTTGTTGATCTGGTCGTTCTGGTATGACCGCGTGCTGTACAACTGCTTTGTACGCTGAATGTACAGTAAGATGTCGGAGAAAGTGCGGATGGCATCAGCATAGCGGCGCATCATCATGTAGGCAAAACCCACGTAGTAGGACGTGGAGATCTGGCAGGCGGGGATGTGCGAGTAGGCGGACTTCTTATGAATCTCAATGGGCTCCAGGACCTTGATTGCCTGATAGTAGTCACCCAGCAGCGAGTGCACGCGCAGCAGGCCGACGAGGGAGAAGTATCCCAACATCTTATAGAAGGACAACTTGCCGAAGTCGCCGGCTACGGTTTGGGGATCCACGCCCTGCGAAATAGCCTCCAGCTGCTTCTTAATGTTCGAGATGTCCACCAGGGAGTGCAGCACGTTAAGGATGCAGAGGATGCTCCACACATTGCTGTGATTAACGCACAACTGCTGGATCTCGTCCTGGGATTTGTCCGTCAGGCGGGCGCTGGAAAAAGTGTACCGTTAGCTAAAATCTTGAGGTGAATATGTATGAAGTTTACCGATACTGCGCAAAGTTCTGGAACTGATACACGAACTCATCCACTAGCTCCCACAGCCAAATGTCGGGCAGCTCCAGCATCACCGGGTTCTGAGCCGAGATGATAAGGTTAAAGAAGTCGCAGTAGTTGAAGAAAGAGTTGATCCTCTGGTCCAACTTAGGGCCGCCTGGGATACGGGCGTGAATGTGCCGGTAGTATAGCTCCTTGTACAAAATCAGGAAGACCTTGTCGTTGTCGACGATGGCTCCCACATCCTGTTCCTCGGGCCAAGCTGTCTTGTCGAAGTGGTGGTCGCTGATCTGCGGGAAAGTGTTCTCGTACATGTTCTGGATGTCGTATAGGTTTCCCTCCTTGATCGCCTGGCAGAAGTTGATCAAGAAGTACTTGACGTTGTCAGGCATCCGGGTGGCGAAGTAATTCCTCTCGTACTCCATATCCAGCTGCGGGTCCCCGGTGTGCGCGAAGTCATCGTAGTACTCCTAAAATTTAAAGAAAAACACAATGAGTTCTATACATTTGCTGGAGGTTTAAAAAAAGTTGGGTTATGTTGACGGCGGTGTCTCGGGATTGGTTCCTTAACCACGGATCTTTCCGAAACACCGTACACTTACCGAATTGCTTGCGTAGTCGTCTCCGCCGTACATTGTCGCTGTTTTATCTTTTTCGTTGCTACAGAAAATGCAAAGCCTATCAAACTATAAAAATTTGACAACACGCCAACAAATTTTTGGCGAAAAGAGGGAGAAACAGTGTGACCGACTATCGATAAGGCCGTTGAAGTATCGATGTTTTCTCTATCGATATAGATGTTCCGAAAATGTCCCACTATGTTTTTATGATATTAGAATTTATTTTGAGATAGGAAACGAAAATAGTATTATTTTTATTTATATTTTACAATTAAATTGTATTTAATTTTATATTATTTATTAATTAAACTTACATTATATTTGCAATGTCTGAAACTATATATAACCAACGTGTAGGTTTTGAAGTAATCCAAAGTAGATATAATAACAATTGCAGACAATTTTTATACAACGAAATCAATTTTAAAAATTACAAAACGGTGGTGTTTAAAATCGGATCGCAACGATAGTATTCCTTAAACTAAAAGTGTGATTTGGTAAATAGCCACGTTCGAGTTACGGTCACACTGGCGACGAGACGGAGTGGAGTGGTTTGTGTGTCATCCGCGTTGCGTTAATTATTTTCTTAATTCAAACGAATCTCTTTTGAAGTGGGCGTGATCTAGTGAACCTGTAATCCCTGGTCATAAGTCTAAAATATTTAAAACCGTTGAATAACAAGCGCATAATTGCAAAATAAATTTTCAACACCGCGGACGCTTTGCCATAAATCAACAGCTTTTTATGGTGGTTTTTCTAGTGGAAAAGTGCATTTAGTGACACATTTCTCGGAAATCATATATAAATGTGTTTATAAATTCATTCCGTAGAAGTTTTAGCCGAACGCCTTAAAGATGAGGCCGCCCAGGAGTAATTCGAAAACAGAATTTTCTTCGCTTCAGTTTGGACTATTATGCCTCTTATTGCTGGTCAATAATGGTATTAAATCAGTGGAAGCAGGTAAGAAGAGTATTTCCAATAGAATAATTCAAGAATATAGATGTGTTCTATTCGATTTTATTAAAAATATGTGACATAAAACGTCGATTGTTTGTAAGCCAACGTTTTTGGGCGTGTTCCCCAAAGTTGAAGACTCGCTCCTCCATTTTCTTTTGCCCCGTTCTTCGCTTTTTAACTCGCTCTTTCCGATCGTGAGAGATATAGAGAGGAAAAGAGCTCAACGGTGAGCGATCGGAACGTTGATTACGAATAGCGGTGGCAAAACAAAAACGCCGATTAACAACGCCCGTTTTTTACTCGTTCTTTTTGAAAAACAAGTTGGAACTTTAATATCTTGAGTTTTTATAGAGCTTTTCCCGGGGAAACAATTCCAATAAGGTTGCCGGCCGCATCCCTGCTTTATTATTTTTTTTATATTATTTTCCGGTTTTTTCAATGCGCATGCGGCGGAAAAAGCATCTGCTGATTGATGATGCTACTCATGAACACGTGATTCTGTGATTCTGATTATCCTTCCATATGTCAACAGACTAGAGCTCTTCTCCCCTACAATTTCCACATTTCATGAAAAATAAACAATCCAAAGATCATATGCAAACATTTTTATGACTAAAAATAAACAGTGCCACGCAATTAATTTGCCACTTTCACGCCTTGAGGCGTCGAAAGCAGACAACCGACATATATCCTCAGTATTTGGCCGATTTCCATAATTTATTTCTGTTCCTATTGCCCCAAAAATAGCATCATTCGCACTTCAAGTTTCTCCAGATCGGCGGAAATGGTTTTTCGAATCTCGTCATATTTGTTTCATTTCAGAACATTAGCCAGATTTTATTTTCGACATTTTTTCATTTTATTACATTTTGTTGGGCAATTATTGCGCTGAAAACTAGTTCAAGTATAGATTATTTACCAAGAAATTGCTATGCGTGTTTCAGTTTGTATCCTACGAAGTTTATCAAGTTCCTTATTTTTTCGATTTTTTTTTTTTTTTGATTACATTGTGTTGGGTAATAATTTAGCTGAAAACTAGTTTAAGCTAGCTGGTCTATAAAGTATAGATTATTTAGAAATTGTCATGCGTGTTTCAGTTTGTTTCTTACCAGGCTTATCAGGTTGATTTTTTCCACTTACTCAAAGGCTCAAAGTCAGCTTAAAGTGCTCACGAACTCCGGATGACCTCGCAAGGGTTGTTTTTTCCCAACTCCGATAAGAAAATGCCAGTGTGTTTGCCTAGGAGCTCCTGCTGCACCCATTATAAAGCACTTCTTGGGGGTTGCAACAGACAGGGCCAATTGTCTGGATTTCCGACATGACCTGCTTCCCCCACTTCCGTACAATTTTGTCACGGATCCTAGGGGCCAAAAGACTCTCGTCACCAGCAAATATTATGGTGCAAATATGAGACAAGAATCTGCCTTTTCCAGTACAGTAGAGACTCAATTATCATATACATAATTACAAATTTTTATATACTGATAAGTTTTCTCATCAACCAAAGAATTTTCTTTTAAATTCTACAAATTTCCCAATTTGTTTCATTTATATATGTACATAGATGGTATGTGCTATTTATATGATATTTATTCATTACAAGCAATTAAAATCAATCTTGTTCGAGTTCTGATTGAACATTTTTCGTTGAAAATTAAAAATTGAGGATGATCAAATATTTACCCTTCAATGTGGACTAAGCTTGTTTACTTCTTTCGCATTGATGTGGCTTTATTTATGGCCCCATAAAAAGAGGCCACTGGAATGATTATGGCACGGGTGAAGTACTTAAAATTATTGGACGCCATCCAAACAGATTCTTCATATCTCAATTTTAATTACGTCCGTGACAGTTTGCGTTCACTTTTACCCCAACAATGTACAATCGTATATGGGTCATGGAATTCCTGATATTTATAGATCGTTATTGTTTCTTTCAGACGCCTTTTCGGATTATTTCTCCGACTATGAGTGCAACCAGCCGCTCCTTGAAAGAGCCGTCCTTACGGCAACATCAGCATTACCCGAAAGAGGACCCAATAATGCGCGCTTAAACGGTGAGTACTATAGATAATTTATGTTCAAAGTTATTTCGTTTACGTTAGCTGTGTGCTTTTCAGTTGTTATATTAGCAATTTATAATTTTAAAATTTAGCGCCCGAGCGATTTTAGTTGATCTTAAATAAATATAATTATTTGCTTAGTCCTGCCCCTGAATAATAGTTTTTATTTATATTGAGTTTATAAAAATTTATCTGAGAAAATTATTTTATGCTTTTTTGTTTTTTTGAAAACTCCAAAATGGTTTAAATTAGCAAATAATCGAAAATGTAAACGGGAACATTTCTGCAATTTGTAGCGCAGTATTTTTGCAGTATATTTATAAGGCGTAATCGCCGTGGGGATTTTTACCCTTTCCACTTCTGGCCATACTGCCTTAAAATAGCGAATTAGTAAAAACATTGTTAAGCGTTGACGCCCCGAAAAGACAATGTCTGTAAAAGCAATTAGATAGTATTAAAACCGCATCGAAATGAGTAAACACATTTGCACCCGCTGGGCCTTTGACCTGGGCAGCTGGAAACCCACACTTCCTCAACTGAGTCAAGCGGTGGCCTCAATTCAACCAGAGGAAAGAGTTCGGCTCATGAAGTTCCACTTCATCGATGACTTTCTGTCCTCACTAATTGGCCGACTACTGATGCGGAAATATGTGAGCACATGCAGTGGATTGCCGCACGCCCATGTGAAGTTTGCCCGGGATGTAAGGGGAAAACCGTACTGGGTGAGGGAGGATATCAATGGGCCACCGCTTAGTTTCAATGTCTCTCATCAGGGAGGGCTAGTTCTCCTGTCGGGAATTACGGGAGATAGCAGTGATCCTGATTTTGGAATCGGCACAGATGTCATGAAGATCGAGTACAGTGGCGGCAAGTCCCTGTCGGAATTCTTTCGTCTTATGAAGAGGAAGTTTTCTGCCCAGGAATGGAGCTATATTGGCAGAGCCCAGCATGACGAGCATGAACAAGTGAAGGCCTTCATGCGACACTGGTGTTTAAAGGAGGCGTACGTAAAGGAGCTGGGTGTTGGCATAACTGTGGACCTGGAGAAGATCAGCTTTTCAGTGGATACTTCTCACCCCTTAGAGTCGAATGTTTCCCCTTTAATCGGCACCAGTTTGCGTTGCCACGACAAACCCATGGATAACTGGCATTTTGAAGAGCATTTACTGCAGGAGGATTACTGTGCTGCCATTGCATTCAGGAATTGTTTGCCACAGGAGAATGGAAGGTTCAAGTTCCTGCAAATCGACGAACTTCTTGTTAAGAGTGAGGAGTCGGAACTGGAGGAAGTGATTAGCTACTGCCAAAAGGCTCTTCTTAAGCCCTACAAGCGATCATGAAATATGCGAATTCCATATAAAAAATTAAACCTCATAGCCCTGCTTCCAAAAGGTTCTGATCAAATCATACAAACGTAGATCCTAAAACAGAGTTGTTATCCCTAGAATAAACATGCATTTATATTTTTTCAATAGTGGTTCCCAATTTGGAATAATTTGTAATCCTTGTGTTGTCATGTTGCCCGCACCCCCCAAAAAATCGTTTGTTTGCCTGGCACTGGATAAACAAACTCTACGAAACGAAGCCGGAAATATGCTTAAAAGGCTATAAACCGAAATTTAGGAACCCGTAATGGGACTCAGACAGGGGCCAGACATCGGTATTGGTTGAATTTATGCGCCAACAGGATAGCTAGTCGCAAGGGTAGCTGCTCTGCTCTGCATGGCTCGTTTGTTTGAATTATTTTTGGCATTCCCGAAAGTTTTATCGATGGGAACGATGGCTGGGCTGATATGCACGTTGCCAATAGAGGACAAAGGAAACTTTAATGCGGAACAACGAAAATGTTAGGGAATGGGTTTTGCCATAAGAAATCCCTGCAGTCTGGACTTTCTCACACTATTTTGTCACACCTGCTTGCAATTTGGCGCGCTCTGCAATTAAAACAAAGGCACGCGGTCGCAATATTTTATGCTTAACCATTTAAGAGCTCGCCCATTTTGTGTTGACACCAACTCAACCCTCGGGATTGCCAAATCCTTTTTTTTCGGCAGGGGTTGTACCCTGATCTGAAGGACCTCGACCACTTGCAGCTGTCAATCGGAATTGCCCCTAAATTATGGTTTATTAATTGAAAACACCCCCGGAGATTTTGAGCAATTTAAAACTCTTAGTTTTAAGGCAATTATATAGGATCAGCCCGACCTCCCATTTCTTTCTCCACATTAAGTTCATTTTATTTTGTTTTTGTTTTGATTTAAATTGTATCATTTTCATTTTATTGCCCATCATCCCATGACCATTTGCGAACACCAGCTGGCACCTCGTGGTCCGCGAAGAACTCGGACTTCGACCAGCGTCTGATTATTGACCTGGGCGTGGTGCGGAACGTGACGCACATTGCCCTGCAAGGACGACCCCATAGCAATGAGTACGTCACCGAGTATACCATTAGCTATGGCATAACCGATCTAGAGTTTGCCGACTATAAAGAGCCGGGCGGCAATGTCAAGGTAAACAATCGATCTCAAAATACAATTGCCAATGTGTCTCTAATCCAAAATGCAATGGTGGTGGTTTATTGCACTGACAAAAAAAAACTATTCTCATGTTCATCATATCACATCAATATGTTAAAAATATTATTAAAACTATTCTTTGAATTTAAGGAATAGTTGGTAAAGGTTTTATCTAAGCAGAATATGGCTTGTAAATAAGTTCGAAATTCTTTATTTTTCTCTGTGTAAAACGAACATTGGTGGTAGGGAAACGTTTTGATCCGCAAAAGCGGATTATCACTGCACCAATCCATTAACACTTTTGCTTGCTTTTGTGCTCGTTTTTTTTTTATTTTATGATTTATTTCGTTCTGCATGCATCTGGTATATACATTTGGTTTATGTTTTTGTAGTTTATTATCCTTAAAAAAACACCCAAACCCTTTTCCACACTCTGACACTGCGACTAACTAGATTGGTAAATGCACCTTGTGCAGGTAACGCTGCTTGGACGCCGGTCGAGAATACCTATAACCACTTTCTAACACTCGATCTGGGAGATCCGCGCATGGTGCGCAAGATTGCCACCATGGGACGCATGCACACGGATGAGTTTGTGACGGAGTACATTGTCCAGTATTCGGACGATGGCGAGTTCTGGCGCTCTTACGTAAATCCCACGAGCGAGCCGCAGGTACTGTGACTAACTCTAGACTAAGTCTCAACACACAACACTAATCCTGGCTTAAGGGATGGCGATGGAATAATGCTTTCTAGCTCTTAGCTTAGCACTACTAACTTTCATTCTTATACTTGTAAACTTACTATCATTATGATATCCCTCACAGATGTTCAAGGGTAACTCCGATGGCAATTCCATTCACTACAACGTCTTCGAGGTGCCCATCATAGCTCAGTGGGTGAGAATTAATCCTACCAGGTGGCACGATCGTATTTCAATGCGTGTGGAGCTCTATGGGTGTGATTACAGTAAGTAACCAATATCTAAGAAAAGGATTTTTAAACTAAAACATATTCCTTGCAGTCTCCGAGAACCTGTACTTCAATGGCACTGGCTTGGTGCGTTATGATCTAAAACGAGAGCACATTACCTCCACCAAGGAGTCCATTAGATTCCGCTTCAAGACGGCTTTTGCCAATGGAGTGATGATGTACTCACGTGGCACCCAAGGCGATTACTATGCTTTGCAGTTAAAGGACAACAAGATGGTTCTTAATCTGGATCTGGGATCGCGGGTGATGACTTCCTTGTCGGTCGGCAGTCTGCTGGATGACAATGTGTGGCACGATGTGGTGATCTCTAGAAACCAGCGAGATATTATCTTTTCGGTAGATCGTGTCATCGTACGAGGACGTATTAAGGGCGAATTCACTCGACTTAATCTTAATCGGGAGCTGTATCTTGGAGGTGTGCCCAATGTTCAGGAGGGACTGATCGTCCAACAGAATTTCTCTGGTTGCTTAGAAAACATCTACTTTAATTCCACCAACTTTATTCGACTAATGAAAGACAGTACCGAGTTGGGTGAAGGATATCTCTTCACCAAGGTGAACACTATCTACGCGTGTCCCTCGCCTCCAATTTACCCGGTTACCTTTACTACCCGCTCATCGTTCGTCCGTTTGAAGGGCTATGAAAATTCTCAACGCATGAACGTATCCTTCTATTTCCGTACCTACGAGGAAACCGGAGTAATGCTGCACCATGACTTCTATTCGGGAGGTTATATTAAGGTCTTTTTGGAGTATGGTAAAGTGAAGATTGATCTAAAAGCCAAGGACAAAGCACGAATCATTCTGGACAACTACGACGATCAGTTCAACGACGGCAAATGGCATTCGTTTGTTATTTCTATCGAAAAGAATCGTTTAATTCTGAATATTGACCAGCGGCCGATGACCACAACCAAGAGCCTACAGATTGCCACTGGAGCGCAGTACTATATAGCTGGCGGAAAGGACAAAAACGGATTCGTTGGCTGCATGCGGTTAATTTCGGTGGATGGAAACTATAAACTGCCGCAGGATTGGGTTAAGGGTCAGGAGGTTTGCTGTGACGATGATGTGGTCGTGGATGCCTGCCAGATGATAGATCGCTGCAATCCGAATCCATGCCAGCACAAGGGCCTTTGTCACCAAAACTCAAGGGAGTTCTTCTGTGATTGCGGGCAAACTGGGTATGCCGGTGCCGTTTGTCATACTTGTGAGTTTCCATAAATGATGGTTTTATAATTTTCCTTACTTATTTTTTGTATTTTTCACTTAGCTAACAATCCATTATCCTGCCTGGCTCTCAAAAATGTCCAGCATGTGCAGCAGCGTGTCAACCTGAATCTCGACGTGGATGGCAGTGGTCCGCTGGAGCCTTTCCCAGTAACCTGTGAATTCTACTGTAAGTCTTTAAGATATTAAGTTTACAATATAATTTTTTAATGATGCAATTATGCTCAATTTAACATAAACTTTCGAAGTAGAAATAAAACTCATCAATCAAACTTTGATATATTCAAGAAAGTGTAGTTTCCGCATCATATTCAAGTTTTACGGTTTAAATTATGTTACTTGACCAAGTTTTTTGTTTTATGAATTTATGACATTGATTGATTATTCTAGCCGATGGACGAGTGATAACCACCCTAAGTCACAGTCAAGAGCACACAACAACTGTGGACGGATTCCAGGAGCCGGGTTCCTTTGAACAGTCCATCATGTACGATGCCAATCAACTGCAAATCGAAGCTCTTCTAAATCGCTCGCATAGCTGCTGGCAGCGCCTTAGCTACTCCTGCCGTTCCTCTCGACTCTTCAATTCGCCTTGTAAGTAGTTACAGATATTCTTTGAGTTAATCAGTGTCACAACAAATTGTTTTTTTTTCCAGCTGAGGCAGGAAACTTCCGTCCGTTTTCATGGTGGATCTCTCGTCACAACCAACCAATGGACTATTGGGCTGGAGCTCTTCCAGGATCTCGTAAGTGCGAGTGTGGAATTCTGGGCAAGTGCCACGATCCCACAAAGTGGTGTAACTGCGATTCAAATAGTCTGGAATGGATGGAGGATGGTGGTGATATTCGGGAAAAGGAGTATCTTCCCGTGCGTGCTGTTAAGTTTGGTGATACTGGAACGCCGTTGGATGAGAAAATGGGTCGATACACTTTAGGACCGCTGCGATGCGAGGGCGATGATCTCTTTAGTAATGTGGTTACCTTCCGCATTGCCGATGCTTCGATAAACTTGCCACCTTTCGATATGGGTCACTCTGGTGATATTTATCTGGAATTCCGTACTACACAAGAGAACGCTGTGCTTTTCCATGCCACTGGACCCACGGATTACATCAAGCTGAGTTTAAATGGCGGCAACAAGCTGCAATTCCAGTATCAAGCCGGCAGCGGTCCACTGGGTGTAAATGTGGGTACCAGCTATCATTTGAACGACAACAACTGGCATACGGTTAGTGTTGAGCGCAACAGGAAGGAGGCTCGCCTGGTGGTGGATGGCTCTATCAAGGCCGAGGTAAGGGAACCGCCAGGTCCAGTCCGTGCTCTACATTTAACATCGGATCTGGTCATTGGCGCCACCACTGAGTACCGCGATGGTTACGTAGGATGCATTCGTGCTTTGTTACTCAACGGAAAGATGGTTGATCTGAAGGATTACTCCAAGCGTGGTTTATACGGCATCAGCACTGGCTGCGTGGGTCGTTGTGAGTCAAGTCCTTGCCTGAACAATGGCACTTGTATCGAACGATACGATGGCTATAGCTGCGACTGCCGTTGGAGCGCCTTCAAAGGACCCATATGCGCAGATGGTGGGTTGAAGAAAACCGAAGTAATTGTATCTATCCTTAATTTGCATTTATTTATTGCAGAAATTGGTGTCAATTTGCGCTCAAGTTCGATTATTCGCTACGAGTTTGAGGGCTCCTTCCGTTCGACGATTGCGGAGAATATTCGCGTTGGATTCACCACCACCATTCCCAAGGGTTTCCTTCTTGGCTTCTCTTCTAACTTAACTGGCGAATATCTAACCATACAGATATCAAATTCAGGTAAATTGATTTAACAGTTTTTAAAGTTCAAGCCAATTAATTTGCAATACATTATTTCCAGGTCACTTGCGTTGCGTATTTGATTTTGGCTTCGAGAGACAGGAAATCATATTCCCTAAAAAACATTTTGGACTTGGTCAGTACCATGACATGCATTTCATGCGTAAAAACGGCGGATCCACAGTGGTCTTAAAGGTCGACAATTATGAGCCTGTCGAGTATAACTTTGACATCAAGGCTTCAGCGGATGCCCAGTTCAATAATATCCAGTACATGTACATAGGCAAAAATGAATCTATGAACGATGGTTTCGTGGGTTGTGTTTCGCGAGTTCAGTTCGATGATATCTATCCCCTGAAGCTGATGTTCCAGCAGAACCCACCCAAGAATGTCAAGTCTTTGGGCAGTAAGTACTTGGAGTTTTCAAGACTTAAGACCAGATTTAACCATATTTTACGTTGCAGCCCAATTGACGGAAGATTTCTGCGGAGTCGAACCAGTAACGCATCCGCCCATTGAAATTGAGACTAGGCCTCCGCCTTTGGTGGATGAGGAAAAATTGCGCAAGGCATACAACGAAGTGGACTCTGTGCTGCTGGCATGTAAGTGAAATCGTTTTCTTTTGTGTTAAACAAATTAATAACAATTAATGAATGTATTTTAGGTCTGCTGGTGATTCTCTTCCTGCTACTGATCCTTATGTTCTTCCTAATCGGTCGCTATTTGCACCGGCACAAAGGCGACTATTTGACGCACGAGGATCAAGGTGCCGATGGAGCCGACGATCCCGATGATGCTGTACTGCACTCCACTACTGGCCATCAAGTCAGGAAGCGAACAGAGATCTTTATCTAAACAATTCGCAAGAATAAGCACACAAATCGTTTTTAAATCGCCTTAGACACGCAACAGCGACGACATAGACTCACCAAAAAAAAAAAGATGAATACAAAACGAAAATCAAACGAAATCGGAAAAGGCTCACAAAATATCACAGACAGAAAAATATTCAACTTTTCCAGGCACTGCCAATTGTTTTGCGCAAGTGATTGCTAAGATTTGATTTATAATTGGTTGGCTAAATTTTGTAATGTTTTTTGTTTTTGTAATATTTTTTGGTTCTGTCTGACGGCATTTCACCTTATATTACTTTTGAAATCACTTAATAGTTACCAAATACCGTCCATTTTTAGTTAATTTTATAAACATTTTGTTTTCAAAATTAAGTTAAAAACTTATTCTAGGTTTATGCCCGAGCGGCTGACCGAAATCCGCCGCCAATTATATGTATTTTTATCGCTCGACTATGTAAGGACAAACATTCCATTATTATAAATATGTTTTTCTCGCTATACGTTTAATTTAAAATGTCTTCTAATTTACACACAAAAGAGCATGAGAATCATTTTGTGGCTAAACAAAATGGTCTACTTTAGTAATACAAAGAAAGCATTAAAAACAAATTGTATTTTTGGAAAATACATTTGGAAACGTCTTGACTTGAAATTTGCAAATATACATTAACATATGTATATAGGTATATATATATATATAGCAATATAAAAATATATATATATAATTACAAAAAAAACGAGACAATGAAAAGAAATTAAAATTTTTATCTTTCAATAAAAGAAAACTACGAATAATTGGAATGGTTGTGTTGAACTCACCGTTGTGGTAGTCTAAGGAAACTACTGGATATTCAGTCTCTTAAAGTTTATTCAATATAATTTTGTATACTAAAATATATATATGTGTATAAGTATAGGCTATTCCAAATATTAATATCTGCATGTTTTTGATTTCCTTCATGTAAAGTTAATCGTAACAATATCGTATAACGCTAATTTTGATTACTACGGTTTTGGTTTTATAATATTTTTTTGTGTAATATTTTTTTAGATTTTTGTTTTTCGTGTTTTCTCTACTAGATGTACTGGAATATTTTGGTTTGTCATGATGAACATGTATAATATTGTTATTATCTAACAACAGTCTAAGTCACATGTAACTTGTTAAGGTAGTATAACATTGGGTGGGTCTTCACTTCCACAATCCATAATCATTATTAAGTATTCGCATCGTTGTTTCATAACTACTCATCTACACATGTGTGTCGGCATGTCGGTGATAACTGTTTATCGTTGTATCTAAATGGTGGCTAAATCCTTCTACTCGTATGGTTCTGGAACATCCAGAACTCTCTACTGTACTTGTACCTAAGTTCAACTATGGGTTAATGATAATGCACTTAACATCGGTATCGGTCAACGGTTCTAAATGGAAGATTACAGTTTGTTGTATTGATTATGTACCATGGTTAGTTGATAATTATGCATATCGATATGCTCATAGTCACCCGACTTCTTTTCAACATAAAAACGGTTTATCACAAACGTTAAATGAAAATACAAAAATCTACAGGAATACTCGTACAGGATATTCCGCACTTACTGCCGGTAAATGCCGCTATTGTCCACCCACAATCCTCTCTCAGTTATCCAAAGCAATCGCTTTCAATTGTGCACATTTCCGCTGGCCAGCATCCGATAGCGATTTAACAGCTGCACTGCCGCATCCTGCATCGGCACGATCTTTCCGTATCGCTCTTCATGGACCTCCAGCATGATTCGCTCTCACAAAATCGTACAAATCACAAACAGCAGGGACACAAGGCACAACATCATAACAATATCCCGATGAAGTTTGCGATCTCGGTGAAATGGGCGAGTGGTGTAACTCTCGCGACGTGTCTGTCGGAGTAGCCAAACGGGAACAAAAAGCTGGAGAAGATCTGGCACCATGAATCCAATATCCCGTACTATCTGATGGGCATAGCCCTCGCCGCGCACCACATTCATGAAGAACTGATCAAAGCTGCTGGCCAGGATGTGCAACAATGCGATTCCCACAATGCAAAAAACTTTCTTTGGTGTTACCACATTTGTGGTGTTGGCCAGGTGCATTACGAGGACCGTTGAGAACAACTCGGTTACCTGGAAGAGTAGAGTAAGAAGTTATCAGCTATTTTCTAATTATAATATTCTAAATATAACAAAAGTTAATTTTCCCCGCCCGTTTTTAGCTATTGGTTCCCCTTTCATTTTCAACTTAGTATTTACCACCAAAAGTTGCGCATCGCTCATTAGCAGGGCTAAACTTTTAAGTTTGAACTTTGGCTGGCTGGATGGATGGATTTGCTCTTGAAACTTATTACTCTGAAATGCTTCTATATCCATGAATATGGCTATTTGCTTGGATGAATCTGGGTAGTGGGCGGCTAGTCTAGTGCCCAGGACAAGTGAGAAAATTGTGCGGAAAAGTGTTCGAATTGGAGCGCATATTGTGCAAGTTTGGAGCGCACTCGCGCAGGACGAACTTTGCCAATAAATTATGGATGGCCGGTAAACTGGCTTAGGGAATACACATTCTCCTACATATGATAGCACGTAGTTGCCATTGTTGACATTGACTTGTAAGATGCAATTTGAAAAGTACAGAGAGAGAAATTAGAACTTAATTCAAAAATTGTTTATGTCCTAAGTTCCCCTAAGTTTCCCCTTCGAATTTCATATTAAATGTTAGACTTAATCACTAGTCTTTTCTACATTTAGTCTCGCTTTAGTCACTTCTTGAGTATTTCTATTTTTACTTATAGTTGTTCTCAGTGTTCTTCTCCCACTACTTACCGTGAAGAAGAGCTGGTGGTTCCATTGATTGTAATAGTCATCGTTGTAGTAGTTGATGTACGCCCACCAGGCGTAGTAATGCGAGAATATCGAAAGCAGAAAGAGCAGTAGCATCGAGTACCGCACGCGCTGCTGCAGGATCAGGGCGATTAGCCTCTTGATGCACTCGTACAGGGCAATCACGGCGAACACGGTCAGAATCCACATTTTGAAGCTATTGGGCGTGGCATTGAAGTACATGTGCTTATAGGCGGCCACGCCCGACTCGTATGGTCCCTTGAACACAGTGTCCCAGCAGGAGCAGGTGCAGAAATGCCTGTCAACGTACCGGGCATAGTTTTCCCAGAAATACCACAGGATAACGATATGAGCCGGCGGGATGAGGGCAGGAGCCAGTGATCCACAGGCGGTGGGCAGCCAGGTGATGTCAAACATTTTGCAGATACTGATTAAACTAACTGGCTAATGATATGTCCTTTGCTGGCTCCGTATTCCTCGTCTTTGAACTTCCTAAAAACTGCAGGTCATCACTTTCTAGTCTAGAGAAAGGGTGAAAAATTGCTAGTTAAGCCATAATTTATTAATTATTTTTTATTGTCAATGTAAATGTCAATGGTTTGGATGGTAAGTTAACAAGTGCAGATCTAAGCAAAAATTAAATGGAATTTTTGTGGAATAAATCATCAAATTTTAAATTACATAAATTCCTGCAATCCAACTACCACATCCGGTAGGTGTCAATAAAATGCATTCCAAGCTAACTAAATACAAAATTGTCTAATTTATTCCTCAATTACCACCAGTTATTAATCACTGAAATTATTCCTATTCGTTTCACTATTAACACTCGAATTAAGTTGTTGGGGGTTTCCATTGCAACGGAAAATGCATTGTCCCCGTAATATATTCACCATTGGCATACATGTGATTTCGGTATAAATTAATCAAATTGTTACAAGTCATATAATTTGTAATCAACTTAACTTAACTTCCGTTCTCATGAAAATTATGCAAATTGTGAACAATTTAAATAGTATTTTACACCAATGAATATATAATATTGATTATATAATAAATTTATAAATGCTAAAGACAGCAAATTAAATGTATTACAAAGAAAATCACGTTAAATGCATTTTTTCAACGTGAAAAAGTTTACTTAAATTTGAGAGATTACCCAATCGAAGAAATGCTTGTGTTTATATGTAAATATTTCAATATTTCACTTTCGGCCAGTGTGTTATTTCTGTTTTGCATAGTTATGAAAATAAACAAAAAATAAAGGGGCGGCATGGCCCAATATATTCCGCCCTCTTGGCAGTCCAATGCATTGGGTGTAGTTTTTAAATTATCCCAGAGAAGGCCTGCCAGTTGACGCATTGCCACGACTTTTCGTGGATTCACATTCAAAATTTGCATGCAACTGCGAATCCGCGAGTCCCAGTCCGAATGCAACTGCAACCGAGTGACCGGCTGAATGTCATCCTCGGGTACTTTGTGTGTCCAAAAATGATGCAATTATAAATTCATGTGCTGCAGGTAAAGGGGGCAGCAGCAAGAAGCAAAGGGTTGGGCCTACACGCACGATGAATGGCATTCCAAGCGATGGCACGGCTGCCAAAAAATCAAAAAGCAAAGCGAGCGGTCATTAGTACGAACACGAAAAGCCAGCCCCTTTCTCAATGGGAAACCGAATGGGAACGGTACTGAATTTGGGAATCGGAATGGGTATGGTTATGGCCAGGCCTCTGGGAAAGCCAGCAACTGCAATTGAGACAACAATGAGGGGAGCAACTATTACTAAGAAACTTTTAATACCCTAGAACTAGAAAAAACGAAAAACTTGTCTCTTAATCTTAAAATTCTACAGGAAGATAGCTTAGGTAGAAGTTCTTTTATGCCATAATGCCCTTTAGAATAAGTTCCTCCGAAAAACATTCTTAAATTTTGATGACTTTGTATAACAACCTCTTTAAACTACTACAAGATTCAACTTTTCATTCATTCATAAAGTTGCAAGCTTCTTTTTCATCAAACCCATTTTAAATAAAATCTGAAAACCCTAAAGAAAACCCTTGGAAATTCTGAAAATTATTTTTAAAATAATATACCTCCGTGATGGGCACAAAAAGTAAAAGTAGATCTCAAGTACCGTGCGCGGCTGTTTCCCAAATTAATTAATACATCGCCCTGCGATGCAGCTGCCAGGGGAAACTATTTCGATTTGTTTTGATTGCCGCTGCCGTTTCGGTTCCTTTACTTGCTTTTGTTGCAGCACCACCCAGCACATCGCCCTATAAAAACCAGCCAAGCCAAGCCAAGCCAAATGAAAAAAAATACACAAAAAACAAACACCAAACAGAAGCAACGATTTTACAATTGACGTCATGGTGGAAATCAGGAGCATTGTATTGAAAATTTAGCTGAGCATAAGAGTAGAAATCGCTGCAGCATAAAATATGAATTTTAAATTTTCGAAAAGAACATTGGAAATATCGTATAAACAATACCCAGAACTTTCGGCAGATGGAATAGAATTTATGCAGGTCCCTTAAAACTTTCAAAGTGAGCCACAAAAATGTGTCAGGAAAATGAATAAATGTGTGTGTGTGTGGAGGAAGACCCTTGATTTGTCAAAGGTATGAACTCAGGCGGAAGATGCCAACTTTCATTTCCTATTATATCAATTTGGTCGCATTTGGGTCACGGAAGGACAAGACGCAAAATTTAATGTATTCGTTGGCAAATAAATTCCTGATTCACTATGCACTAATTTAAGGGAACCTTTTATTTTATTTGTTGTGGTGAAGCTGTTTGTACAGTTGTTAAAATAAATTATTTCATTGCTGCAGGAAAACCAGGAAATCGAATTTCGATTTGATCGAATTCCCCCCTTGAATAAATTTAGAGCTGAAATTGTAACACATTTTAGATAATCTATGTTATAGCTTCAAAACTAGATTGCTTTCTATGGAAATAGCAACAATTTAAGTTTATTTAAAAGTACATTTTCCTCTAAAATAGTTTCATTCTTCTTTCCTAACTATTTTAAGTTCAAATCGCATTTTGAAGTCAACAAAGCGAAAGTACTCAGAAGAACCTTAGAATTGGCTGAACCTTTAGAAATGTTATTTTTTCTGAAAAGGGAAACCTTTAAGCCACCCACTCATACATCTAAGGGTGTATATAATCAAACACTTGCTATTCTGTTTGAGCATTATCCCGGATAGTTGGCCTCCCCCTTTTCCAAATAGCGTGCACAAATTCAAATTTGTATGAAAGAGCTGTGTGTAAACAACACCTAGGGCCATGGAAACAACAACCATTTCAACTAGAGAACTTGGTCTGAGTGACGGTAAAGCTGTCAACAGTCGTCGCGTCGTCACTTGAGCCGCATTGTTGTACAAGTATTTGTCGCACGGGCAACGCGTCGTATGAGTAATGTGGGTGAGTAAGTGGTGTTGGAGAAAATGGTGTCGGGGAAATCCTACCACCCGCACCCTCCGCCCCATCTACTAGGCCAAGTCGAGTCGTCTATGCAGTCGAGTGGCGTTCTTTGCATGCTCATTTGTGTCCCTTTCAATTGTCATTCGGGCTGATGCTGCCACCGCTGCCACTGTTGCTGTTGATGTTTTCGTTGTTTGGGGCATTTGTGTTTGGAGCACGCCAGACACTTTGTCTGCCAAGTCATCAGCTTTGAGTTGTGAGTTCTAGGTTCTGAGCTGCAAGTGTTATAGAAATGTGGCTCCTAAACTTGAGAATAAATTTCAGGCACACGACCCTAATAGCCATTGCAATCGCAGGTGATAAACGAACTAGTGATGAGCATGCCAAGTAATCCGAATGTTGTAAACACGCAACTCTCGAACTCGAACTGCTGGCCGTATCTAGGTGGATACATAAACACATGGACGAGCATTTTAATAGTGTTTACAGGGAGAGAAAAAGTTGTTAGAACTATGGACTAGTCTAGCATTTAGGTAATAGTTGTCCTCCCTCTGATTTAATATTGGAACACCTAATATCTCTTAAGACTTTTATAATATATAAATAATTGATAACCCAATTTTTTCTCAGTGCATTACAGCCTGAGAGCGTGCATGTCTCCAGGCAGACCCTGTAAACTATGTGGGCGGCTGGCTGGCTTTGCACTGAGATAAATCGCAAGCAATAACATTGCCTGCCTGCCGTTTGTTTAGTCAATATTTATCCGAGCATTAGGAGCACAGACGACACACACACACACACAGATAAACTTGAAATTAAATCGAATTAAAACGAATAGGTATAGGTCAAAGTGGAAATCGAACACAGATGAATTACAATTGCAATGCCGGGTTAAGGAAACTTTCCGGTTTTTTGGGGAAAAGAACGTGAAAAATCGAAATACAATTAGGCAGAGCGTTAGAATGTGTACATAAAAGCGAACCGAACCTAATGCGCGGCAGTTGCGAGCTCCTTGGGCTGGGTTCCACGGGATGCTGGCACTCGTTATCCGTTTACACCGCCGGCTTTTCCGATTTCCTCACTACACCAGGCCAGTGAGTGGACCAATTTCAACGGTATGTATATACAACTTTGTTTAAACAAATCCGATTGAATGTATATTTTGATTTTTTTTTTGGAGAAAAGAGGAAACTTTGTTGAAACAACAACCGCGGGCAGGTCGTGAAAAACGCGACTGAAATTATTGTTATGCTGCGTGTGAAATTTTGCTCTTGTCTTTGCAGCCGGCGCCGGCGTCGTTGTCTGGCCAATGTTTCCTAACACGAAAATAGGGGGAAAGCTCTCAGCTGATGAGAGTCTTCCTTCAGTTACGTCTATATACAAATGTCACGCACTGTAGCCGGTCTGTCGCTCTCTCTCAGCTGCGCTCTCTGTGGGCGAAAAAGGTGCGCTGAAAATACTGGGAAATGCATGCGGCTTCTTATAGTAGAACATTAAGTATACGCGGTGTGGCCACTCATTGCATTATCAGCTGCCAGCAAATACCAATGGACTCACGTGGATCCTCCATTCATACAAACCCGTATTTACCTTTCATACTTACGCAGTCACAACTATTTTCTTTTGCACCTGTTGGCTGGCTTCCCACTATTTACTTTAAAACACTTTTTCTTTGGAAATTTTCAACTTTTTTGCTTTGCACATTTATTTGGGTTTCTAACATTACACCGGCATAACGAAAACAAAAAGTACTCGTTAAACAATTACTGAGTTAAACTAATTTAAATACAAGCTGCTTAAGTGAAATGCACACTCAGACACACACACACACAAAATTGCTGTCAAAGTGCATTTTAAATATGCTAATTAAATGGTTTTTTTTCTGTTTACCTCCTTTCAGTTTTCCTTTGTTTTTCCCGCCATCTAACTGTTTTGGTACTTGTATTTCTGCAATTTCATTTTGAGCACAGTTACAGTAACAGCGGTGTCCATTGTTCGTTCACGAAGTGAAGGAAATATATATAGTCGGGTATTTAGGTTTGTCGCAACAATGGCTTAAATTTGTGTTCTAGTAATTAAAATGCTGGCCGAGACTTATTCATCTGGCGCTACCATTGTTCTCTGGCCCATTGTGGCCAGATATCCCCGATATACATACATACATATATATATATATATAAAATGATACGGCTAAGTAAGTATCAAGAGTATAAATTCGTTATATATTTGGCTTTGGTTGCAATGCATCGCTCATTCGTATTTATCTTACAGGTACAAGTACTCGTTTGACTTTATCAAAGTCATTTACTTAGTTAGATTTTGTTTTTTTTTAAGAGTAGACATTGTATACAATCTATAATACCTATAAGATACACTGGTTTAGACATTGAGACATTAACGCAATTAGTTTAATTCGTCGATAACTTAAAAGTCTGACAGCCATCACAATTCATTTGAAATTCAATCGGGTTTGATTGTGCTTTCCCCCAATTTTGAGTTGCAAATCCGTTTGTTAGCATTCAATACCCGCGGCATGACCTTTGCTCTGAGTGTCTTTCCCTGAAACTATGTATAATTTCCCTATCGAATTACCATTCTGAGGGGCCTTTACATTCCACCCTTTCTTTGTACTAATTTTGACCTTGTCTCGGCATCTATATAATAGGACTGCCCCTTATTTATCCGCTGTCATATACATACATATATCATTCCTTTCTCTCCTCTCCCTGTCTAAACATCACATAAGCTCATTAAATATGTTTACTATCACTACTACTCTCGTTGTTCCTTGTCCATTTTCCCAAAACCCAACGGATTTCCCTGGTTCATTTCTATTTATTATTTTCATTTCAATTGTAGGTTCATCAATGACATTGCATTCAGCCCAGTTAACAATGCCATTGGCATCTATTATTGGAGAGAGAAATTACTTTGCTTAAGTCCTGTTGCCCTGCCTGATTTCAGTTGCCTCTATTATTTCCACATACAAGTTAGATTAGTTTGACAATGAAACTTGAGCCAATCCATGCAATTTATGATTAGTCATATCAATTTGAGTGAACAATGTTCAGGATTTTCCATTTTCCATTGCCATGTTTAATGGCAATACAACACTCAAGTGTAGTTTTCAATGAACAATTAATATTTAACTTATTAAGGTAAAGTAAAATTAATGCTTGGCAATCTGTATTTGACAAACATAATTTGAAAAGCATAGTTTAAAAAGTCGTAGCTATTATCATTTTACAGTAAACTATGCTTAAATCAATATTTAATGAGTTTCAGATATGGATATGTTCTCCTAACGCTCTTCTATTTTACAATTAAAAACTTATTTAAAACGTTTTAATCAAGTTAAATCTACAGACACTCTTTGTCATTCCTTGCATATCAGCATACATTTTCTAGAGCTCCTTTAGAACTTACTCTGCTCCATGGCACTGCTCACCGAATTATTAATCTCGGCCACAACGACTATCTCCTCGTTCTCCTCCGTTTCCTCGGGCACCATCATCAGATTATTGTTCATCAGGTAGGTTTCCATTCGATGGTCACCTGCTCCCCCCTCAGCAGTGTTGCTGCTCCGCAATCGATGGGTAAACGAAGACCGAGATCTCGTCATATAAGAAGATCTGGTGGTGGAGACCCTTCTCAAGACACCACGTCCATAGATGAGCATTCGTACCTCGACACGAAACCGCGGATGAGTGGCTGCATAGAGATAGGGATCCACACAGGCGGCTGTCTTGCAGAAAAGCGCGGGAATCATTGAACCCAAAGGGGTGATATGGCGCTCTAGGCCAAAAACACCCATCATGGCCACAATGGCGTAGGGTGACCAGGCCAGAAACCATAAACCAATAATGGCGGCCACAATGAAAGCCAACTTCTGCTCTGTTTTGGCCTTGTCCTTGTTCGATTGAATTCGACTCGCGGTGAAGACCACCTTCAGGATATAGAAGTAGGAGTACACAATGGCGGTCAGTGGGATGCAATAGGCGGCTACGAAGAACAAAGCCATAAAGATGCGGGCGGGAGTCTCCTTGTTGAGATAGTCGAAGCTGCAGGTGGTTAGAAATCCTTCAGGCACATATACCGAAAGTCCAATGTCCAGGGCCGGCATTACCGCAAAAAGAATGCTATAGCACCAGATTAGCAGGATAATTAGATAAGAACGCAGGCGGGAACAGCGTCTCAAAGGCTGAAGTGGATGCACTACCACATTGTACCGGTCCAAAGCGATGGCGGTGAGGGTACCGATGGCACAAGTGCCACTTAGGCCACCCACAAATCCGTACAGGCGACAGGCTGCGGGTAAGATGGTGAACCACAATTTATTGGATTTACAAAACTCTTTGAAATAAAGTAAGATTTTAAAAAGCTTTACTCTTTGATTTTATTAAATAAAAGATTTTTGTAAACTAAATTTTGATTACCGGATACTTCAAATACTTTTCCCTTGTTTTTAAGCTTCCAAACCACAAACTTACCTATATCTCCCAGTGCCGGGCCCTCCTTGATGTTGTTGTATATGGCAATTGGACATTTGACGAGCATCAGAAAGTCGCAGATGGCCAGGTTCATCACCAGAATGTTGGCCGGAGTCCGCAGAGATTTGCGGTTGGCAAACATGAAGATGACAAAAGCATTGCCTACACATCCCACCACCGAAATCAGGCAATATAGGGCGGCCATTACCAGGAAGGTGCTCGACTTAGGCGGCTCGAACTGCAGCCAAAAGGGATTCACCTTGGCTATGTAGCTCAAATCGTATTTGTCACGGTAGTGAATGTAGCTGGGATATGATGTGTAATTGCTGCAGAAATAAAATAGTCATTATTAAACAAATTTAATGGCTATTTAAAAAGATATTGTAGACGTCGTAATGAAAGTGCTGTTCTCTTCTGAGGTCAAATACGAACTGTTATTTATCCCTTTAACTTATTCTATCCTGATCGTGCGAACGGGACACACATACTGTTTGTTAGCAGAATCTTTATGCAAGAGTAAGTAAGAGGTGCATTGTGTTCTTACGCTAACTGTGTAAAGGATAAGTTAGTGTGACCGCTTCCCACAATATTTTTTTTAAGCGATTAAAAAATAATATGTGTGTAATAATAGCATTTTAAATACCTACTTTTATATAAAATATAATCAGAGAATTTTTCGTTTTAATAATAGCATTTAAAGTAATTACACTAAAAACGAAACTAAATTGCTGTATTTTAAAGACAAAGCTTAATTTCCATAAAAAATGACAATTAAAGCTTCTGTTTAAATATCTGATTACTCTAAGCATTTAACTAAAAATCCAATTATCTAAGTAATTGTAATCTCTAATAATGTAGCCTCTTAGTAAAATTCCTCATTTAGTTAATCTTATTATGCTTCCCCTGGCAGTTTCACAATTTCCATGGCCATATTATACACTAGAATTCTAAGCACATTAGTTTGAATGTAGGTCCTAGAAAACTAAGTCTAGCTTATCGCGATGACTTGTTGAGCCAGTCATAAGCATGTGCGTTAAACACGAATGTGGATGTGGGTATGCATATACGAGTAGTTTGCCCTTACCTAAGTCCCGTTGAGACGCTGTCATTCACGTGCTTGTCATGGTCCTTGTCCACATTCACCGCTGTGGATGCCGGCGATGGATTTCCCGTCGTCGTGGATGTGCTGCCAGTTGGATGGCCATGGCTCGAGTTGGCCAAAATCTCGGAGAGCGAAAGGGCACCGGTTAGCCAAAAACTGCTGCCACCAGCATCTGTTGTCAGTGTGGGCAGGGTCGTCATGATGATGGCCTCCATGACTAGGTTGGTTCTTGGCTTCACCCAAATATTTACGAGCTACTCCAAACAGGAGGTGGAACGTGCCCGCAAAGGTGGACGCGAAAATTACGCTTATTTACTTGCCACCGCCTCGGCTGCTGCATTTGGCAAGGATGTCGTGTTGTGTCGCCGCCACTGGGATGCCTTCAGTTGCAGTGGTGCGATGGTTGATGGCGATGATGGTTGAGGTGGTGCAATGTGGTTGCAGCGGTCACGAAGCATTTTCCGTTTGCTAAATGCCAAAGGGGTTAGCTGCAATTAGCCTGTCCGCCGGTGACCCTAAAAGTGGGACAAATAAAATGAGAGTTGGCTTAATCGATGCTCTTATTTAATTAAGCGATGTAGGTTTTAGGTTGACTTCTTGTACTAATTCTAATCACAACTTAAAGGAGCAGTTTTTGGTTTAAGTTTTGTCTTAGCTAAACAGTTTTCAGGAATATTTTCTGTCATCAACATCTTTAAGAGCTTTCCTAAATCTTTTGATTTGGTATTAATGGGGATTATTTTTCTGAGAAGTCCCCATGCAGTACTTGATTAAAGCAGCGTGAAACCAATAAACTTGGCACGAACTTTTTTTTAAGACCATTAGGGAAAATACCGCAGGTGGGCGGTGGGCTTCAAACGAAAAAGAAGTTATTAAAAGCAGCGGGAAACCAATAACATTGTGTTAACTATTCGGTTAAAGTTTAACACAATGTCGAACTTAATATTTCCTCTACTCTTTACTGATTATTAAACTTTTTAATGCATTTTGCAAACCAAACTCGGTTAAACCGCAACTTGAAGTTAATTCAATTGCCGATAAGTGCGGGCCACAATTCGTGTTCGAATCCTTTGTTTTACCTTAGGTCTTTCAATGTAACTTGCATAAATTTGTAATTACTTTTTCGCTTCTATAGGCTATTATAGTTTTAGGGATAAGTTTGTGAGTTTGAATAAATCCCCTAGCTATTCAAACATAATATTTTTTATAAGCAACTTAAAGCCTTTAAATATACAATTTAAACTTCTTTCTATTTACATATATTGAATGCCTTGTCTAAAAATTACAAAAATGCGCATTGAACAAAATACGCAAATGCAGCTGAATTTTATTTTGTGAGGGGAAATTCTGTACATCAAAGCTGCGTTTGCGTTTAGTCAAAAAAAACATTTCAGAAATATGGAAATTACATAGGAAATTTGACATCCACCCTTTCTATTTACCATATCCTTTCACTCTCGCCAAAAACCAACAATAAACTTAAAATTCCGCTGCCTTTTAAATTGTAGAAAATCTGATTTTGACTGTCAGCTTTAAATTTTTTTGGAGTAAAGAAAATCAAACTTAAATTAGTTCCCTTTGACAAAGTTATTAATATTTATTAAAATTATCATAAACTAATTAGTTCATACTTGAGAGTATTACCCATTCGAACTCTAAAGATGCTCTCCTAGCTGTAGTTCATTTAGATTACTTCATGATTTCTTAACAACTAAAACGAAAACCAAAACCAAATCAAGTTTTGGGAAATGCATACAAATGATTGGATTTTGGACATGGCAAATCAATTAACGATTGATTGGGGTAGACAGTTCGTATTGGATTACTTATTATGTAAATCTTTGCGTAAAATGTATTTAATTGGGGAAACTTAATTGCTTATTAAATAACTCGAAGGCGGCCACGTGAACCCGGCAGGCTTTCAGGATACTCAGGTCTTGCCGCAAGTGCTTTTCCTCAACTGTGAAACTCAAACACAAACTTCTGGGGAAGAAGGAACCCGACCATAAACAGAACTTGGGCAAAGACAAATTCCGCAGCTGGAAACTTTCAGCCAACAGCAACACAGCAACTGCAGCTGTACAGGAATAACTTCAGCATCTGGAAGGGAACTACAAGTGACCTATGCCGCTCAAGCGTTTCCTTATTATATTTACAACACCACCGCCGCCAAAAACACATCAAAACAAAGTCAACGACTCTGCCTTTTGTATAATATCCGCTGTTATATATATAAATTCCAGTTCCGCTTTGAAAACAGCGCACTTTACCATTTAAATAGCACTAATTGGCCAATTGAAATTTGTCTTTGCTCTCAGACTCCCACAAAAGGGCACTAGTTTTTGTTTTCACTTTTGTTCCAACTGAATGCCAACTAAATTTCGTGGAAAATCGAATCGCTTTGCCATTGGAAGGGAAGGCAATTAATCATCTCAATAGGACAAGGGGAATATGCGTTCCTTTTTCGGTCAACTTTGCTTGCCTGCTGGCAATCAAAGAGCTTAAACAGGTCCTGTCAGTTAATTTGAAACGTGCACAGGCTGCTCTTGAATGCTCGTTAAAACTGAGGAGTTACGAGCTCCTGGAAGTCATTAAATCTGCATTTTGTATTTTTGGAAAATGTGTGTCAGTTATCTTATTTGATTCGATTTGTTTGGCTTTCAAGTACAAATTGACAAACAATTACTTTGTCATACTATTTTATCGGACAAATAAATACGATCATCTTTGTCGGTGTAGTAAAGAAAATACTGATATTTTGAGACACAAATCGGGACAGAGCGATTTTCGCATTTTTCATAAAATTTTACGAAAAATCTGAAAAAATGCACTTTTTGAGTGTGGTACACAGTTTGACGGGGAATTAAAATGCGAACTCAACTAGATATAACATTCCATGATACGATCATCTTTGGCTTAGTAATGAGGAAAATACTGATATCTTTAGACTCAAATCGGGATATTTTGGTTCACTAAAATTAAGTTTTCTTCTCTTTTTAAAGCTAATCATGTGTATTTATGCTTAACCTGTTTAATGGCAAGTATTTGGCACTTATCTTATTAATGTGCAAGCCATTAGGTGTTTACACTTCTAAATTGTAAGTAAAATTTAAATCTCCGGGGATTTAGATCGGCGTCCCTTTATATTCATCAAAGATTAGCCTATTTCATGCCATTTAGTCTTTTAGTAGCCGATTACGGCAATGGAGGGTCATTCAGGATCATCAAAGGACCCAACTGAGCAGAGAGTGCTGTTAAGATACCTCTTGTTCCTCAAACCTCGGAAAAATGTGCAGACAGGCGTGACTTGTTTGGGCCCATTCGACATTCATTCGATTAGACCAAGTTCTCTTAACAGTCAGGGCCGGAACACTTACTTTTTTTTTTTTTTGCAAATTATCCACTTGTTTCAGGCGCATTTGGTGCGTCAAGGCCATATATACTAAGGACTGATGACTGAGGACTAAGGACTAAACAAAAAACGGAACCATCACTTAGGCGCAGATTTTTGCATGACGGATATGAACATTTGGCTGGTTGGACTAACGTTTTCGCTGCCAGATGCATTTTGGTCTTTATTCTGCAGCCACAATTTCATCCGCTCTTCAAAATTTAATTACGAGTGGAAATGGTTAAAAAGTGTTCAGTTCTGTTTTGTCCTGCGGCTTTTGAATCCGCGGAATGATTGCGGATACAATTATCCAGCCACTTGCTGAAAATGTGGAAAAACGCTAACAACGGCTGGAAGAGAGCAAGAAAATAATTTATTTAAATTAAGTTTCAATTTTTGCTGGCTCTTTGGATTGCTGTTTTGCCGGCAGAAGCTGCTACTATTAATTACATTGTGAAGAGTTTTTTGCCTTTAAGGAGACATGATGAATGTTTAAGGAAAAAAAGGGGAAATGTGTTCTCATTTTTAAGTGGATTTAATGTTAAATTTTTAACCATAACTCATATTCAGCTGGGTTAAATGTAAAAAAGCCTTGGGTTTTGTACTCAGAAGGGGTGCCTTAAGCTAAACTTTAGTGGATTGAATGATAAATAATTTGTGTATTTGATTAATATTATATACACTTAAAATTCCTAAAAAACAATGTTCTTTTTTTTTTTTAAAAATCACATGGCAAAGTCACGAAATCACGTTCGTATATCAGCAATTTAAGTTACATTTTTTGTAAAACAAAATTTTCCCGACTTAGCACAAACCAAGCATCGCATGCAATCACAAGTGTCCGGAGTTCGGATCAGATGCGTAATGTGCCACTGTTTTGGCCAGACATTCTGTACTTAAGGGCTCCCCCCAGTGGGCGGGATACATGTCGCGCAGCTGATTCATAAACATGATATCTAGTCGCCATCCAGGCTTTAAGAGGAGGTAAACCTGAGTCGGGAACATTCTCCCATGTTGATTTTTCCATTTTTTTTTGTATATATATTTGTTTTTTTGCCATGAAAATCCATGAGCCCGCTCCCTTGGTATATTGATTTATGCTCGCGCAAGTTTTCATTTCACAATTTTCACTTATGTATGGCAGTTTATTGCAGTCCTCATCTGCACTCAGCCTGTCCCTCCTATTCCGTCTGTCACCCCCTTTATAGCCCATTATTCTATCCGCTGCACGTGCTCTGGTTCGGACTGGTTTTTCCACCAAATGTAAAGCTTTGCGGCCCAAGGCTGCCACAGAACAGAAAGTTCCACGTCGCCATCATCAACAGGATCTTACGGCCTAAACATGCATTGGACAAAAAGGTGGCATGGTTTTCAAAATACCTTACCATCTTGAAAGGGGTTAATACTTTAAGAAGATTTAAAGTGAAAAGATTTGAAACATTTAATTTATTTAAACTTTTTCATTTACATTATAGTAACATTATATATCTCGTAGTTCATTTTTCAGTGTAAAATAAAAAATTTAAATAACCTGTCATTTTTAAAATTGAATTTATGATGTCGACAAACATGACACTTGAGTAAACACAGAAGTTCACTTTTCATTAACGAAATCTGTGCTTCAAAGTTCCTGCTCTAGAATTACTTTAAAATTGATGATTTTTTATTCATAACGGTTGAAATCGATGTTATAAATAAAAGAAAATGAAAATATTAAAGTGAAAAATGTAATAATGATTTTAAAAAAGTTTAAACCACAACTCAAGTCAAACTTTTTCCTTCGTGTAACTACAATGAATGCTAATGCTGATGGCCCATGCCACTGAGATATGGATAGCACGTGGCTGTAACAGAGGTTTGCACCGCATTAGAGCATGTCAAGTATTCAATCTGGCCTGAATTAAGCCACACGGTGTCTTTAAGATGCGAATTGCCATTGTGACCAACCGGCGAACGAACCATCAACCATCATCATCCGTCGGTGCAGTGGCCGGAATGTAGGCAAAACAGTCAAGAGCACTCATTGCTCTGCATATGGGTATGTTGGCAGGGGAAATGAAATGGAAATGTAAGGAAAAGGATGAACTGCATATCTCTAAGACATCCAAAGAGCCATCTCCGAGGCCAACTGCTCGAGATGTGGCCCCAAGACATGCGGCTGACGTCCACTGAAGAAGACCACTTCATGCGACTTACAGTTTGGCCAAAAGAAAAGGTCTGGGATTCTAGGAAAAGTGCTGTTTAGAACGTCGCCACTCAGGTGTGTCGGCCGTAACAAAGATGGGGCACAAAGCCGAAAAGAAATCAGCCGAAAGGACTCAGATGGCCAGAAAGTGAGCAGTAGCCTGCACTTGTCCATTAATTCCAAGGCATTCAAGTTTTTCCTATTAGGAAAAGCCGCTTATTGCCAGCTGAGGAGACTCAAGTGCTTTGTTTGAATCTCTTTTTTTTTTGTTGCTAATAAAAATAAGCGTCTGCGAAGTAGACCTCAATCAAATTATTACGTATTATGTAAACAAATCTTCTTTTATAGAGTTAATCTCCAGCATTGATTTATTAGATGAAAAGGAAAACAATTTAATGAAGGGAAAAACCAAAAATATGCAAAGTGGAATTTTAATATACGCCCTTGCCAAAGGAATTTTACAGCAACTCCCACGATTTTCTGCATTCTCCATGTAATAATGTAATATTTTGATATAGTCTATATCCCTTTTCAATAAAAATAAACTAATTGAATTCGATATTAAACAGAGTTGTGGGAAAATAGTTCGATTAATACTTGCTGTTTGCTATTCCTTTGATAGAAACGCATTTTTGCCACTCCTTTGGCATACAAATACGGGTTAAATTGACAGAATTTTAATTTGCAATTTGCATCCATTCAAAGAGTTTGCAAATACTTTTGTATTGAACGAAACATTTGATAAGTAAATAGTCGCAGAGCTTGCTGATTGATTCTCAATTTTGCAAAAAGGAACAACGGAAGTCTTTTTGTTGCCAAGTAAATAAAGTTCGACAAATTGAAAGTTGAGCAAGTATTATCAGAAAGGGCAAATTATGTTTACAGAAATATGCAGAAATAGTTTTTAGAAACGTCTGTCCTCACCTTTTCTTATTATCAAGTTATTTGTTATTTTTTTTACTTTTCGTAAACTTAAAGGTCACTTTACTGATTTTTCTTTGTACGTTGCATTGCAACTGCGTTTCCACAGAATTATGTCCTCTTCTGGTTTCTTTTTTATTTCTAAGAGCACTTCGTACTGAAAAGCGCTGAAAGTTCACTTTTCAGTTTATCATCATTGGTAAGGTCCAAAAGTTGGTCAGCGCCAATGGCCAAGTGGCGCCAACTCAACCTTAAACTGTAACTCAATTTCCGTCGATTACCCGCTAAAAAGTTACATTCGTGGAAAATTTAAAGCAGCTTTTAGAGCCTTTGCGTTCCTTTGACAACTTAGCGGCTTTCACTGCGTAGGCTTAACTGTTACTTGTTTACACGCGGCGTATACGCAATTTTTAATTAAACCCGCCAATAGCTTAGGGATTATTATTCATACGACATGCAGATCCCAAGAGCTGCCCAGAACTACTGACTGGCTGAAGACTCGCGTGCGACTGAGTCCCAGGATACAGCAGCTGGTGTTTTTATCAATGAAAATTGTTGCTTGTCGGCATCCTTTTAGCCGAACGAAGGATGGCAAAGAGCATTTTCCACGAGCTAGCTGGCGCGAAAGAGAAAATCATTGATTGTCGCTCTTAAATGCAGCCTGCGGTTTTTTCCACCCAACATAAGTTGGCTTGTTGTCCTGTTGGCTCATATTTGCCAAGGCTATTCACATTTCATTACGGCCACTTGTGTGTTGTTCTTGAACTCTGCAGACGAAGAATGCCCCGAGTTACAACATTTGTGGGTGTTTTTGGAGGCATTAAGTATCGGTTTGCCGGTCATTCATTGGCCTCTGGAATATTGGATGGTGCAGGCGGTTTGAGTTTTAGGGGTCCACTCAGTGGGTTGTTCATTGATAAATCCGTATGGTCGCCTGCAGGTCAGGTGTGCGTGCCAAAAGAGCCGCAAACCCTACATTTGCAACTTTTAATTTAATATGCTAGTGAATGCCATTATGTTGATGCGGTATTAGAAACTGGAATTTAGGAGAGGATGTGGGAAAATAAAGGGTAAACTTAGTCCTTCTAAAAGTTAAGATTCATCTTAGCTTCGACAAAACCTAATCACAAAATTTACTCTCAAAAAGGTTTATTATTAGAACCTTTCATATTTTTTTTTAGATTAACATTATCGTATCTCATTCAGCTTATAAAGATTTCCAAGCTTAACTTCACTACACAAACTTAACATCAATCAAAAACAAATAATAATTACACAGTATTAACCAGTTTATAAACACCTTTGGTATAATATTTTCCGAGGAATGTATGCGGTTAACTGCGGAACGAAATAGTTAGAGTTCGAGCGGCGATGACAAACTGGTGGAATTTTGCTGGTTTGACATCGGCATGGACCGTTTGAGAGCCCGTAAATTGAGCAAAGCCAGCCGCAGCCGGTCGGCAGTTGCACTTTAATTAAAAATAAATACGGATAGAGGTGCCCCTTCATCTTTCCACCGCAGATTTGTAGTACAAATGCCAACCAGTCTAATTCTAATGATTATTGATGTGCCTGCTGATGACTTGCTTGGCTATTTACTTGTTGTTCTGATCCTGCTTTTTGACCTCTCCAACAATGGTTTGCAATTTGCCAGAGTCTGGCCCATGGCAGACTTTTCCACAATTAAGGCTAATGCTTCGGGTTACCTTTGTCCAGCCAAAACTCTTTACATTTCTGCCGATTTATTCATTTGTTATATTTTTTGTCGTAATTTCATGTCGTTTTTTGTAGCAAGCTGTTGGCAAGTGCTCTTGGCTTAGCTCGGACAAAGTCAGGTCTTATAATCACTGCAACTAAAAAACTTGTAGCTCTAATGGATGTTTACTTGCTTGATAATATGGCTTTGAAATACCCTTGCGTGTTTGGGATTAATAAATCCTGAAGGATGGCTTTAAAAACATGGTTTAGCTTTTGACTTATTAACTATTCTACTAACTTTCCTGTTTTCCATTTATTTTAATGAAACTTTTGCTTTTAATAATTTGAAATGTAAAGTGCAAATATGTAAGTAATATTTAAATGCCTTCAGGTACTAAAAAAGTGTGACATTTTTATGGACTGTTCGGCTTAAAAAATCGAATCCATAAATCCGTAAAAAATCTTAAAAAGGCCACCATTTCGTTTTATGATTATGACCAACTTTAGAAATCAGATACCATTCGAGAGATACGCTTTAAAGAGTATATTGCATAAAAAAGATTGGAATTCAGAGACACTTTTAAATGTGCCGCATAAACACACCACCGAACTTTTTCCAGGTTGCCTTCCTGGGTTAGATATTAAAAGTTTCGCTTTGTGGCAGTAAATTATACGACATTTACGCATTCGCCGCAGGTTGGTAGTACATATATATACCATATATATATATTTTGTTTTCAGTTTGTAACTCAAAGCACGAAAAAAGCACTTACTCTTTCTGTTCCTAATGCTATCTCTGTCTGCTGTTTTCGTCGTCAAATTTCCCTTCCCCGTTCCTAACCCAAAACATAAAAAATAAAACCCGAGCAGAGTAATTAGTGACTTTTGCAAAAAAAAAAAAAAAAAAAATAAGAATACAAAAAGAGTCTATTATAAAGCGGGGAATAAGCGTAAGTGTTCTGTGCTCAACTTTTCCAGATTGTAGACTTTGTGCTCGCCGTACCAGACATTTATGTTACCGCTTGACATATCACGGAGGTCGTTTTAATACACGCCTCACTCGCCTTTTCGAGTCTCAGCTTGCCCAGATGAACGACAATGCAAAATGTTTCACAGCTCCGGTTAAAATATTCCACTGCCAAAGCCAAACATCGCAGGATGAGTCACTGGCCTGAAAAAGTTCCCACAAAAGTACCAAAAAATTGGGAAAGAAAAAACCCAAGTATTAATAGTTATTAATAATCTGTTTCCTGGTTTTAATTAATTGGTTTATTGATATATTCGGATGGCGGTGAAATGGATTCATTAACTCACAGAATCTTAATGGTATTTAACTTTTTTTTATTTAATTAAAGCTCTATTGTTTTTCAACAAGTGGGCTTTCCATACATTACGTAGTTTGATGTTTAAAATCTAATTGGTATTAAAATGTAACATTGAGTTGACTCTTAATTAAAAAGTTTAAAAATTGTGTATATACTCATGTAAATGTAGTTTCCATCGTATTTTTGTAGGTAAAATAATATTATAGTAAGACATATTATAAACTAGACTGCTTTTTCAAAGATATATTCAAACTTTAAATATAAATGACATCTCTGTTATGCTTAATAACATCTCTGATTTTTGATCAAAGTTCTTAAAAGATTTCTTAATTAATACAGTAATCTGGTTTACCCTACAATGCCCATTGTATAAGCTAATATTTATAAACGCGTTAATCATGTTTAGCCATTGTTTCGTTTTCCTAAACCTACTAGTTTAAAAACCAGAAATACGAATAACTTAAGGGCTCGTATTAACAATTTTCATAAAAAATAAATTAATGTAATGGCATTGCGTTAATCTGTTTGCCAGTTTTAATAGAATGGCAATTATTGATCCGACAGTGAAAAGCTATCGATGTCTGGGGAAATGGGAAAATGTTACGCAGTGCAAGGCAAACAAGCTGCACAATGCGATTAACATGCAATAGTAATGCCATTTAATGTGCCCTGTGCATTTGCATTGCACTACGATTTGTGGCTGCGACATGTGATGCAAAGATAAACAACAAAGCAATCAGCCTAAGTATCACACAGATATACATATGTATATAGAGATAAGCCCTTCAATCGCCCACATTTCACCTACTATATATGTACATATATATATTATATGTATGATCATCGAAAACTTGCGGTTTTGTAACCCCCTTAACTCAAGTCCTCACTCTCTTTTGAGTGCTCTTCGATTGTCTCTGGAACAATCGTTATTTGACTTTCCAGTCTCGTCTTTCGGTCTTTCCCCGGCTTGGATTACCATCTTTATCCATAGTCATCCAATTCGGCAGTTACTCATCGAGGCTTTAGACCAGCACGCACGCTATTAGTCATTCGGCTATAAATTAATTGGGGTTTCAGTTCCTCGAATCGTTCATACCCTTCAATGCCTTAGATTACAAGGTATTTACATAGAAGCAAAGCAAAGAAATTAAAGAGAGACAATGATATAAGTTTGGAACCAAACTAACGGAAAACTTCAAAAGCTTACAGTGATAGTGTAGAAGTACACCCAGGGGTGCTAGTTTAGGAACGGTTTTGAAAAATAAGAAATAACTTTACAAGAAATCAATATTTTAATTCTCCCTTAAAATGATAGTATAAATTTATTATGCTATTAAGCAAATTAATTAAATTATTAAAATATTATTATTTTTAGGGAGGACGGTTAGTAAATCTAATCTGATAATTAACTTTACAAGTTGTCATAGAATGTATAAGGCCAGAAAACTTTACAGTTTAGCTGTAACGCTTTAGAGCAGCAATTAATACCCGTTCTGTTAATTAAACAATTTTGCACTAAACAGTTTATTAACAGAAGATATGCGTAATAAACTCCTCATTAGCAGAGGAGATCTAGAGGTCGGTACTTGAATTTCCAAAGATTGGTGTAATGAAGAAACACTCAAAAAGAATAAATTTGAGCGGAATAGTTTTACGAGTAACCCGAATACCTTCGCTCAATGGCAAGGTTAGGGCAACTCAGGTTCATCCGGTTAGTTAACCTTTTAAAATTTTCATCGCTTGTGGCTGGCATTTCAGTGGCTTGGACACCCCAAAAACGGTGGCTTCTTCGGCAGTTTTCGAGTGGATAGGAAAGTTCCATCCCGTGGGCTCCGACTGGATTGGCAGCAACAAAAACAACAACAAAAAAAGAAAACAAACAAACAGAAGCATTCGACGGCAGACAGAAACCTCAAACGAGGCGATATAAGCGGTGTTGTTGAGGCCCTAACCGCAGTTGTGTGACCGCGTTCGGCGGGTGAGCACGGAAAATAAGGCAGTGAAACATTTCGGACAGAGGGAAAGCCTACGAAAGCCACTTAGATTTGTGCATAGCCTTAAATAGTTATAGTTCGTAAATTAGTCGCGACTTGGTGACAGTGCCCCTTCCGATAGCCAGATAAGGGCAAGCGTTCCGGGAAAAGTGACTCCAAGGCAAAGTGTAACCATGAGGAGGTGTCGCAACAACACGCTTGCAATTGTCTTTGCTCCGATCTTGATTTGTGGTGAGCTATAGCCCAGTATATATGGCAAAACAAAGGTGTAACCTGATAATGAAGGCAATGTTGACAAAAGTGCGTTAATCAAGATACGAAACTGACCATCAAGCTCTATTTATGCCGACAAAGTGTTTTCCTAACTGAGTGCTGCAAATATTTAAACAATTGTCAGGACTGTGATTAACACATTTTTAATCAGTTCACATTTGAGATTGAGTTGTTTGATATGATTGTGATTGTGTTTGTTCTACTTAAAGCCTTACTTCAATCAAAAACCTTACGATATTAGCTTTTCTGTATAAAAAGGTCTAAGAAATCGTCAAAGTAAAATGTATTAAAAGCTTACAAAAATCGACATAAAATTCAAAAGTTACAACTCAGTTTGTTATTAGTTGGAAAGCCCATTTAGATTGTCACTAACAAGTGGTAAACATCCTAAAAAATTGTTAAGTAAATCATTATAGTTTTATAACTAACCGATTATCTTGGTTATAAATCAATAAAAGATTGTAGGAAATCACAGTGCGATGTCTCGATGATGATACTATCTCCAGAGGTCTTGAGCACTTCTGCGATAGAACTTTTAATTTATTTATAGCCACTTACGAGTTGGTCACCTGATTGATCTTCGACCTTCTACCTGCCATTCGGGTTTCTTGATTACTCGTCACCACTGTCCATGATGATCATCAAAATGAGACATGACCAAACCACATGATAGGCGTCGTAAAAAACCAAATTGAATTTTTTCCCCTTTTTTTTCAATTATCCGATTAAGTTTAAATTTTTAATGGTGTGAACTAAGTTGGAAAGAATAAACTCAAAATGCCGCTAATAGAAATTAGTCCGTAATTAACCTCAATTTGTCATAAATTAGGCAACTTGTTAATGAGAGATAATTTGGTTTTGAAGTACTGCTAATTTTGTTAGACTTTGGGTTTTGGCTTATAATGTCGGCTTTTGTATTGAAAAATGGAAAATATTACAAATAGTAGCTATTTACAACCGATAGCTGCGCCCTTTTTTGTGGTTCACAGATATTCCCTGCCAAGAGAAATAAACTTTACACGGTTAATTACTAGCCGATTAATGCTAATTGAATGAGCAATTAAGTTTGCCTTCATGTATGAACTGCCTGAACTGATTCCCAATGAAATGACGACAGCCGCCGCATTAATATAATGTGCAAAATTAATAGGACACACATACCGAATATTTATAGCTTTCGCTTCGACCAAAAATAGTAGATAGCTTTATTAAACTGGTATCACTGATTACACACACCCACTCGATGTCACAAAATGTCACCGACTTTATCTTTCAATTAGCACCTGGAGAAGCTCAATTAGCCATCTCTGTTTGTTTTTCCTCAAAGAAAAAGTTTTGATTGTGAAAAAATAAATACCCATGTGATTTTTAATATTTACCTTTTGTTATTTTATAATTTTAGCGTCGGTTGTCTTGGCCCAAGACTTTGGCTACGAGGGCAGACATGGACCCGAGCACTGGAGCGAGGACTTTGCCCGTTGCAGTGGAAAGCATCAGAGTCCCATAAATATCGCCGAGGTGAATGCCGTGGAGAAGAAGTTCTCCAAGCTGGAGTTCTTTAACTTCAATGTGGAGCCAGAGACTTTACAAATGTCGAATAATGGTCACACGGTCCTGGTGAAGATGACTTTCGGTGAGGACGAAATTCCAACGGTTAGGGGTGGCCCTTTGGCGGAGAAAACTCTTTTGGGCTACCAGTTTGAGCAGTTCCACTTCCATTGGGGCGAGAACGATACGATAGGCAGTGAGGATCGGATCAATAACAAAGCCTACCCCGCCGAGCTCCATGTGGTATTAAGGAATCTGGAATATCCTGACTTTGCTAGTGCTCTGGACAAGGATCATGGCATCGCTGTGATGGCGTTCTTCTTTCAGGTTGGAGTCTAATTTTTGCCGGTTTAATAATATATTTTAATTTTAAATATTTATATTTTCAGGTTGGCGACAAGACAACTGGCGGTTATGAGGGCTTCACGAATTTGCTAGCCCAAATTGACCGGAAGGGCAAAACCGTGAACATGACCGATCCACTTCCTCTAGGAGAATACATATCGAAGTATTTGGAGAGCTACTTCAGCTACACTGGCTCTCTGACAACTCCGCCATGTAGCGAGGAGGTAACCTGGATTGACTTCGTAACGCCCATTGACATTACAGAGAAGCAGGTAAATATTTTGTTTTGATTATTATTAAATTTTTATTTCTAATTGAATTTTAAATTTATTTCTTATCCAGTTAAATGCCTTCCGTCTGCTGACAGCACACGATGATCATCTGAAAAACAATTTCCGACCCATCCAGCCCCTTAACGATCGAATTTTGTACAAGAATATTGTAGAGACTCCGATATACAATATGGGTTCGATTCCGTTTGTTAATGCGGAAAATGCGGCGATTGGAAAATGGAAGCCCCATTCCCTGGCTTTCGTGCTACTCATTGTTGTCCTCGCAGCGCTATTAAGGACCTCCGTTTTTAATTAGAGTTCTGTGGCGGGGAATCGAAGGTTAAATCGTTAAATGCCTAGCATGCGCTTGGGCGTCCAATTAAGCGCTGTAATTTACATTTTCCGCTGTTTGTTGTTCTAACACGATTCCTGGTATATACATTTCCCCTTGGCATGGGGCACCCCAGCCGACAGGACATTCATCCATATATCTACGGACAAACAAACAGGCGGGAGAAAATATTAAACCCAAAACTGGGCGAGAAGCTTCAGCTGGCACACGATACCCTCACTCATCAATTATGCAGCACCTCGCACAGAGACTGTCAACCGAATCGTATCCGTCCAGAGAGCCGCCCAAGTCAGTCGTCGGTGCGAGGGGAATCCACTTGGTATTGCACATTGTGATTTTAAATGCTTGGCACAGGCGGAGCTTTTTATTCGTGTACCATAGACTTAAGATTTCTTAGCATTAAAGTTTAATAAAATGTATTTTTGCAATTTTTTTTGCTAACAGACTATTAAAGAGTTTATTAATATGAGAAAATTATATAAAGTGCCTTGGGTAATATATGTACTTTAAAAAGATGACATTTTTTGTATGATTTAACCTCCTACACATTGAGGTTTAAAATGTTATCATTTTGATTTAAATTGTATGAAAATTAATTCAATTTAATACAGCAAAAAAGCCGTTTTTATGACCTTTAAAGTAAACATGCCAATAAGGTGTTAACATGATCAAAGGAAATTGGTTTTTCTGATGTTTTTATTTCCTATACAGGTGTGATATTGCATTAAATTATGATTGATGATTATGTGTCAAAATAACATAGCAATATTTCCGCTTTCATCCCATTTATGGAATGGAATTTAAAATTATTTTGACAGAAAATGAAGCATACTTTGCGGCTAGGCTTACAAATATATTTCCCTCTTTAAATATCTTTTTTTATTCAGGATAAAAGTCGTCATTTATGTTAGCCTATATTGGTTTCCTTGCATTTATGACTTACTTAAAGCTTTGTAGTAATCATATCAGGCTGAGAGTCTTGTGCCGCCAGGGGAGTGTATTCTTGATGACCTAATGACCCCGGCTGTCAGCCGAAGCCGTATGAATTATTGCAAGCATGTGCACAAATCTATCAGCGAAATATCAACTTTTGAGTTTAAGTCGAAGAGTTCGTCTGGCGAAAGTCGACGTGATTTATTGATAATTACTTGAGGCCGTAGTAAGAACGGTGGAGCCTGCCTAAACTAAACTGCAATTATTCCAAGGAGAAAGTATGAGAGCACAGGTTGTCATAGGTAGAGAATACTGTATTTCGAAAAACGGATTGATCATTGTTGTTTGTCATTTGGGTCCATTATGCGTCTAATAGCCTTGTCCTGCCTAACCTTATGAACTTTACGTGTGACCCCTCCCTAATTATAGAATAATTTGTGGCTTTTTAATGAGCTTATCATTGTTGTTTGTTAATGTGATCGATCTGGCTGATATATTAAGACAGAGTGCAATATTTAGATTTGATGGGAAAATGTGAAATACTATAAATAACATTTATTGACTTTCAACTCTCTACGTTTCGTGATTGCATTCCACGGCACGTTCTTACTTAATTGATGACACCAGAGAATTGGCGTAAAATAAAAATATTATGAAACTTTTCCATTGCCGCCCAGCTTCCCCAATATAATATACTCTATGTGAAAACGATCCCCTAATAGGTGATAAGGTTTATTGACAACGATCGTTACAAACTGACCTTTCGATGGTGACGAACGGCGATACTGCGCCTCGGGAAACTTAGAACAAGCCCCTCCGGCCCAATTCTATATGGAACACCATCAGCAACCACATTCACATCCACATCTAAGTATTAGCGATCAGTCCGCCCCTTCGTGGGCAGTGTGAAATCTCAACTTGTAGTTCGCACTTGCGGCGTGTGTGAGTCCGGATCGGATCGCATCGACGTCATGTAGACGACTGATAACTTTTCTTTAGGCAATCCCCCCCTTGATGGCACATTAAGCTTTAGCTTGATGACTGTGTACCCAGATTGCGGGGTGTTATTGCTACTTTTAGACATTCGGATGATCGCTGGATCTGGAGCGTTGGCTTCTGGCTATGGACTGGCTGCCTTCCTGACGGTTGTTCAAGGTTAGACCAAGATCTATGGTAGGAATTTTTAGGGGGCCTAAGGCGTGACATTTGATCCCGGGGAAAATTGATTGTCCGTTCTCTAAGGCTGGTCATTAAGTCTTTTTAATGACATAGAAATGGAAAGTTAAAGAATTAATGCATAAACATATATTAAAACGAAGTTATTTAAGGGATTAAACAAGTTATATTGGTAGAAGGATCTATAAACCGAAATTGTATTAAGAAGTCTATTAACTTTTTGGTTTTAAATCCACATTTAATATCTGAAGTAAACATTTTAAAGAGATGCATTCCCATTAAGCTTATTTCATTCTTATCAGACCATTTCCCATAGTCTCACAGCATACATTTAAGAGTCCTCCGCACAACGACCCCGTCAATCAGTCTCATAATTCAATGCCATGGCCTTGCACTTGAACCAGATATACTCGTATGTAGAACAGATTTGTTATGTTATTTTATGGCCAGCCTTTCGGAGTTATCAGTCAAGTGCAGCTTCCAGTTTCATAAGTTAATGGAGCAAAAAATGTAATGCAGCTCCAGATAAGCAGAGCCTCCGATGTGTAGGCGTTCCAGACTCCTGATAAGGATTATTTTAACACAATGTAATGAGTTTAAATCCCTCATTTGAGCCTGGTTTCTGAAGTAATATTGATAGTGATTGGAAGACAGCTGCAGGGGTAGAGCGCGCAGGCGACTCTCGTGTTTTGAGAAATCACAAACATTCTATAAATCATTTTCGAGTATACTAGAATAGAAGAGAGAGTACTATATAGAATGTGATTGTGAATTCCGTTGAATTTCCGATGGACGACAGACTATAAAAGTCTGAGGTCTCAGCGTCCAGCGATTCAAAAGTGTTTCGCTTTCTCAAGTGCGCGGTTACTACCCAAAAATTTTTAAGTTCTTTAACATTAAATATTAATCATAATGAGAATCCTTGCGGAGGTAAAGAAACTCTATCTCAAAAGTGCTTCTTGGTGACTTATTTAATGGTGTTTTTAATTGATAGAACCACGTCCACCTTCTGGATCCTTCGGAGCTGATGCGGCCAGAGCCCACATTTGCCGACAAAAATCCATCCAAATTCCGGGACTACAGTGTGGACACCACTGATCCCTTGAAGGAACGTGTTCGTCAGACCTATCGTCAGATGCACTTGAACCAGACTGTGGATTTCGTCAAGGGTAAGTTAGTTAATTTAATTTAATAAAATATTAATAATTATTTTTGAAGTTGATGATCAATTTTAATAATAATTTCTTAACTTACCAGGTCGCCGCGATCGCTGGCTAAAGTTCAACACCATTAAGATGACAGTGCGTGAGGCTCTGGAGAAGCTAAACGATCTAGTGGACGAATCTGATCCCGATCTGGATTTGCCGAACATTATCCACGCCTTCCAAGCAGCCGAGCGTGCACGTGCCGAGTTCCCAGAGCACGATTGGCTACATCTTACAGCTCTCATTCACGATCTTGGCAAGATTATGGCCTTCTATGACGAGCCACAGTGGGCAGTGGTGGGTGACACCTTCGCTGTGGGTTGCCGTTGGGGCGATAGCATCGTCTACCGGGATGAGAGCTTTGAGGGAAATCCCGATGGAGATAATCCTGACTATAACACCGAGTTGGGAATCTACCAGCCCAACTGTGGTGTGGACAATCTGCTAATGTCCTGGGGACACGATGAATACATGTATTCAGTGCTGAAACACAACAAGACTAAGTTGCCCGATGTGGCATGCAACATCATTCGCTTCCATTCGTTCTATCCTTGGCACAATGGCGGTGACTACAAGCACCTGGAGGCACCCAAGGACGCGGAGACCAAGAAGTGGGTGCTAATCTTCAAGTGAGTTTACTTTAAAATCTTATATATTTTCAATTTAATAATCAATTTCCTTTGTAGTCGCTATGATTTGTATACTAAGAGCGAGGTGGTTCCTGATATTGAGGCTTTGTGGCCGTACTACCAGACCCTGATCGACAAATATTTGCCGGGAGTCGTGGAGTTCTAAGCAAATTTTGTTTTCTATACTTTACAATCCTATTTACCAGAAACCTTAAATATCCCCCAAATATTACATTTTATTTCTTAGATAACATATATACTTAAAATATAATATAATACATGTCTTTAACATATACTCAATATAAAAACATTCTACAAAAACTAAGAGTGCTAAAGATATTTATTTTAATTTTCAATTATTTAATTTAATGGCGCTAGCTGCACAAAACTGTGGTTTCCTCTGGCTTAAAATTATACAGAAAATGTTTTTAAAAGTTATCCAGAGTAATGGAAAGCACCTAAATAATTCTAAAAACTTTTTAACTTTTGTAATGTGTAATTCTTCTTTACATTCATCCCAAAAAGCTGTGCATACTTTTCGGCGGCGAACTATTAATAGAAATAAGTATTTTAAGAATTTTTCCTGCTATTTGTTTCTTAGTCTATTGCTGATTCTTAACCAATTATGATGCCGCCTTAGCGAGAATTTTAGGAAGTTCAGGCAAACCGATCATCCTCTTGTATTTTATTAATTGAGATCCAACATTTTCTTGAGTGTCGCTTATTCTGCCAATTTCCTTAATACTTTCTTATCAGTCATTAACAGTTTGCTAGAATTAATAGCACATTTGTTTTTATAATGAATTCACATTTTTACAGCTTACAGTTTTTAAATGCTTATCTGTAACTAGAGAAAAACTAGTGGAATTGGATAATTGAATATAGCTTCTGAAATAAATTTAAATATTTTTCCCATCCCAAAAATTCTGACCACATCCTTATCTCAGAGTAAATTTCAATCGCATTAAGCAACTTATTCGACTTTTAAACGGTTTAATTACAAAGTCTACTATCATAGCCATCTGTTTCAATGTATAAACAAAAATATAACATGCATATAAAGTAATTAATCAAGTTGACTTGCGAGCGATTGTATAATAAACAGCTCACTTGAAGTGGGATTGGCAATCTCAATTGGGATGCATGTCTTAGAAATAAATTTAAATCATATCATATATTGCAATGGGAGTGCATTTCTAACAATCTTAATTTGTATACGGTTATCGTATGGATGTCCACACAAGAGTTATGCCCAAATCAAAGCCAGGCATTAGAAATCTAATCTCATAGCGTGCCCAGATCTCAATTGGGACTGGTTGTTCAGGTGGCCGGCCGCCGATAAGCCAACAGATCGGAATAAAAGCGGCCGCAGTTTCCACTTCTCAAGATAGTTGCGGTCTGAATTTGGCGGAGTGAGCAGCAGCAATATGAACTGCGTGAGATTCATCTTTCTGCTAAGCTATTTTTGGCTTAGTTCGTTGGCTTGTGATCAAAGTGATCCCCTGGTGGTGGAGCTTCCTCAGGGCAAACTACGTGGCCGCGATAATGTCAACTACTACAGCTACGAATCGATTCCCTATGCTGAACCCCCAACGGGTGACCTGCGATTCGAAGCGCCTGAACCGTACAAACAAAAGTGGTCGGATACCTTCGATGCCACGAAACCACCAGTGGCTTGTCTGCAGTGGGATCAGTTTATTGTGCTAGACAACAAATTGACCGGAAAGGAGGACTGCTTAACTGTCAGCGTCTACAAGCCAAAGAATTCCAGCAGGAGCAGCTTTCCTGTGGTGGCCCATATTCATGGCGGTGCCTTCATGTTCGGCGGAGCAGATCAGAATGGACACGATGACGTGATGCAGGAAGGCAAATTCATTCTGGTGAAGATAAGCTATCGCTTGGGGCCATTGGGTTTCGCAAGCACCGGTGATAGGGATCTTCCCGGAAACTATGGACTGAAAGATCAACGTCTAGCCCTGCAGTGGATTAAGAAAAACATAGCGTGCTTTGGTGGAGAACCGGAGAACATTCTGCTCATTGGACATTCAGCTGGAGGAGCTTCAGTTCATCTGCAGATGCTTCGCGAAGATTTTGGTCAGTTGGCCAAGGCGGCGATCTCTTTCAGTGGAAATGCTTTAGATCCTTGGGTTGTCCAGCAGGGTAGCCGTGGACGAGCCTTTGAACTTGGACGCATTTTGGGATGTGGAATGGCTGCAGATTCGGCCACCCTCAAGAAATGTTTAAAGTCCAAGACAGCCAATGAAATAGTCACAGCTGTGCGAAACTTCCTAGTATTTTCCTATGTGCCCTTTGCACCGTTTAGTCCGGTAGTGGAGCCCGCGGATGCTCCAGGCGCCTTCCTTACCCAAGACCCAAGGGATGTTATCAAAAGCGGAAAGTTTGGACAAGTTCCATGGGCGGTGACCTATGTCACTGAGGATGGTGGCTATAATGCCGCCTTGCTTTTACGAGAATGGCATGGAACTGGGAGGACTTTCCTTGACGAACTTAACGATCGCTGGTTGGACTGGGCACCGTATTTACTATTCTACAGGGACTCAAAGAAAACCATCAAGGAAATGGATGATTACTCCCGGGCAATTAGACAAGAGTATGTGGGCAATGAGAGATTTAGTAGGAAAAACTATTTGGCATTGCAGCGGCTCTTTACGGATATCGTTTTCAAGAATAGCACACAGGAAGCTTTGGACCTTCATCGCAAGCATGGAAAAAATCCCGTCTACGCTTATGCATATGACAATCCAGCCGATAGAGGAATCGCTCATTTCCTAGCCATGAGCTTTGACTCTACTTTTGGTAAGTGAATTAAACTTACTAAATTGGCTTTATTACATTTTTCTATTTAACAGGAACCATACATGGTGATGACTACTTCTTGATATTTGGAAACCTTGTAAGAAATCCTCTGTTACGTTCGGATGAGAAACGTATTTCGAAAAATTTCATCAATATGTTAGCTGATTTTGCTGTTAGTAAGCAGGGCATTCTGAAATTCGGTGATTGCACTTTCGAAGATAATGTGGGCAGTGAAAAGTTCAACTTGTTATTCATAAACAGGGACGGATGTGAGAATAAACAATATGTGCAGTTTCCCTAATGTTTTCCAACGAAATAAATGTGTTATTGATTATAAAGTATTCCTCGTAATTCTATTGTTTTAAAGATAACAACGAAATGTTACTTGAATATATTTGGGCTTATTAATTTTAGCATTGTGGAAAATGTTATTGATATTCAGATAACTGTAAGTGATAAATTTTGGCAGATTAGGTCAATTTTGGATTATCAAATGACTAATACGACTATTTAGCTATTTTTTTCAGAATTTATCACGATTTATTTCTTTGACAAATTCTACAAAAATTTAGCTGTTAGAGATAAAATATATATTTTCAAAATTTAATTATAAAATTTTCTCTGTGTAACATTAAGTGAATGATGATAATTATAATGATAATTAGCTCATTCCCAATTGACCGCTTTAATATAGTATACGCCCTGAATATTCTAATAACCCGTTTGATTAAGTTATTTTACTTCGAAGGCTTGTGTTTAACAGCTATAAAATAAAAATCCACATTTGTTTGCTCGCAGTCGCGTAAATAATTCGTCGAAATTCACAACATGCTCGTCCTTAAAAACTTAATGTACTTGCTGATGCCGTGGATAACATTCGCTTATACTGGAGAGCCCCGTCAGATCCCTTAATAATCAACATACCTAATGGAAAACTCCGTGGAAAAGATAATGGGCATTACTACAGCTACGAATCGATTCCCTATGCCGAACCGCCAATTGGTGAACTAAGATTTGAGGCACCTCAACCGTATAATCATCAATGGACTGAGATTTTCAATGCCACTGAGACACCTGTATCCTGCGTACAATGGAACCAATTTCAGCGTGGAAGCGACAAGCTAATGGGCGAAGAAGACTGCTTAACCGTAAGCGTGTATAAGCCAAAGAATCCAAGTCGGGACCACTTTCCTGTTGTCGTTCTCCTGCATGGTGGTTCCTTTATGTTTGGTGGATCCAGAATATATGGACACAGTAACTTTATGCAGGAAGGAACTATGATTGTAGTAAAAATAAACTATCGCGTTGGACCTTTGGGTTTCGCCAGCACTGGTGATAAGGATTTGCCGGGGAATTATGGACTGAAGGATCAACGTCTAGCTCTACGATGGATTAAGGAAAACATTATACACTTTGGCGGTATGCCCGATAACATTGTGCTCATCGGCCACTCTGCTGGCGGGGCCTCAGCTCATTTCCATCTTCTGCATGAGGATTTTAGTCAATTGGCTAAGGCAGCCATTTCGGTGAGCGGTAATGCACTTGATCCCTGGGTTATCCATGAGAGTGGACGAGCCTTTGAACTGGGTCGAATAGTCGGTTGTGGTGAGACCACGGACTCTGCAAAACTTAAGAAATGTTTAAAGTCCAAGCCAGCCGGTGAATTGGTCTCCGCTGTTCGCAGCTTCCTCGTGTTTTCCTATGTGCCCTTTAGTCCCTTTGGACCTGTTATAGAGCCGAAAGATGCACCCGAGGCTTTCCTTACCCAACATCCCATAGACATCATCACAAGTGGTAAGTTCGCGCAAGTCCCTTGGGCTGTGACATATACCTCTGAGGATGGAGGCTATAATGCTGCGCAGTTGTTGGAAACAAATCAAACCACTGGAGAGACATGGATTGATACACTCAATGACCGATGGTTTGACTGGGCGCCTTACTTGCTATTCTCCCGGAATTCCATGAAAACTGTTAGGGATATGGATGAGTTCTCTAGGAACATTAGACAGCAGTATTTAGGAGATCGACGATTCAGCGAGGAAAGCTATTTGGATCTGCAGCGGATGTTCACTGATATTCTTTTCAAGAACAGCGTGCCAAAATTAATAGATCTTCACCGGAAATATGGCAAAAGTCCTGTCTATTCGTTTGTCTACGATAATCCATCTGATGTCGGAGTGGCGCAGCGGCTATCCAATCGCACTGATATACATTTCGGTGCGTATATATTTATATTTCTATAATAACTTTATCTAATCTTTTACTTATTAAAGGAACTGTCCATGGAGATGACTTTTTCTTGATATTTAACACCACGACATTTCGAAAAACCATTCGTCCAGATAAAGAGGATATTTCGAAAAAGTTCATTAAGATGCTGGAGGATTTTGCACTTAACGATAAGGGAACTTTGACATATGGCGAGTGCAATTTTCAAAATAATATGAACAGTACAAAATATGAGGTGCTTCGAATAACACGAACCGGTTGCAAGAACGAGCAATATGAACAGCTTCCCTAAGAAAAATAAACGTTTAAATATAAAAAAAATAGTAATTGACAATTAAAGAAACATTTTATTAAACCTTCAAGCTGCTTCCACTGTCAGAGGTTCCTCGATCAGTTCATCCTCTTCTTGCGGAGTATTTTCTTCGCCCAGAACATTGCCATAAAGATCAATTTTGCTGTCCAGGAATCGGAAATCCTTAAGGATGTGCAGCTTGTTGCTGAAGCCAGCAATGGACATGACCTTAATGGGTGAAGTTTGCCAAACCGCAGAGTAGCACGCGGTATGCTCCACGGGTATATTGGCTTGTAGGACTCCATTTAAAGTATAGGACTGCACGTGGTTGTGTTCTCCGCCAATAAAAACAGAATCGTCTACAAAATCGCAGAGATGCACGCGTCCGGGGAAGTCAAAAACACGGGTGCACTCCAGAGAGCGTAGATGGTAAATGGATGCCTTGGGTCCTCCGCCGCACAGCAGCCACTCGTCGTTGACAGCCACAGCTCCAATCCACTTGCCCCAATCTGGCCGCAATAGTTCCGGATTCTTGTACGGCTCCAGCATAGCAGTTTGCTCTTGCTGCTTAGTGCTCCACACTCGCACAGTACCATCTTCGGCTCCGGAAAATATCTGCCCGTCAGAATTACCCACCACACTATGGATGTAGTCCGTGTGACCGCGATATTCTCGCTGAATGCATCCATCCTCCAAACTCACTTGGTAGATCACGCCATCGCCGCAGCCGGCGAAGAGAATGCTGTTTTCCGAGTCCAGCCACATGGAGTTTACGTCTGGCACTTCCACAGCATCCACCTGCATGGGTATCTTTACCTCCCATGATCGTTTTGTGGCCAAGGATTCCTCCTCCTCGTCCCATTTCAATCCGTAAATAAGACCAACGGCACCTATTATCAGAAAATCACGATGAAAGGCCAGGTAATTGATATCCACATCGCTGCCCTGAGGGAAGATCTTTAGTTTGCCAGGCGGCTCTTCGGAACCTTTATCTAGTTCCTTAATGCTTTAAAAATAGAATAGAAAATATAATTTTAATATAATGAAGTTGCGCCAAAACATGGTTTCTCACCTGAGCACGAATATATCACCGAACAGATTACCCGCAAATAGGTGCTGATGAGAGCTGGATATAGCCTGTGCTAGTACATTATTGTAGGCACGTTTCAAATCCTTTTCTTTCATATTTTTTTTTATTAATTTGAGTAGTTTAAAGAATTGTTTACGCCGGCGAACTTAGTGTGGCTGTAGCTTAAAAAATACCAAAATATACCATTTCAAGTCAAAAATATGCTTCAGGTCACCCTACGTGTGAAAGCATTACGTCTTTTCTTACGCCAAAGCAACCCGTTAGTTAGCGTAACGTTTATTTTGAATTTTTTTAATAACCTGTTTTTAATCACTTGAAATTTGTTTGAATTTGAGGAAATACAACCAATTGTAAATGCAATTATCCGAACAAAATCGCTCGCTTCTGATTGCAATTTGCATTCCTAAATAAATAATGTTTTTCGCCATGTGTCCGACTTGAATTTATTGAATGACAGATGCATTGTGAAATAAGTGTACTTGCCGTAAATGTTTATTTACGATAAATGTCATTAATTGTAATCCTGACTGCCTTATGCGGTCTAAAATCGGAATTTCTGCTTTAATCAGACATAAAGTTCGATGGCATTTTATTTGCATTGTCACAGTGAGAGAAGACTTTTAAGAAAGTCTGAGACCTTCGAGACGGTCGAAATATTAGTTGACTAATCCGCCTAAAAATATGAATTTTGTAAAGCTACCATGACGTTTAATATCGATTCGGGTAAATTAGATTGTAAACGAGATGTGAATCATCATTAGATCGTGTGGAAAAGTCTTAAAATATGACGTCAATTTTGAGGAGCTCTTCGAATTTGAAGAGCGTGCTCAGATTCATGTTTGCCTATAAACGAATGATGATTGCCCACTTATGATTGGAAAACAATACTAGACAGCTTCAAATTAAATGGCTATCAACATCAGGTTTCCGTTGTTTACCAATCAAACATAACATAAATTGCCAGCGATTTTATTTACCAAATGAATTCTGCTATGTTACGGGTTCATCAAAAATTCGGTGTTTTCTGATTAAGCCATTGAAATTTCAATATTAATTTTCAATCTCTTAGGTTTTACATGTAAAATGTTTATAAGTTAGAAACATTTTAATCAATGAAAAAGTGTTATATACTTAAAATTGATAGAGGAATATAATTAGAATTATAAAACTGATTAATAATACAATTTTGAGCTTCTACATTTTTAAAGCTTAGAAGCTTAAACAGTCGGTAATACTTAAGAACTTATTAATAAATCAAAATTAAAATTAAACATTGCAACATCACAAGCTGAATACTCTTATCTGTTAAATAGAAAGATTAATACAGAAGTCACGTATCATCTTAGCTGGTGCTCTATTGTGCGTTGTTGATACAGATACAGATTTGGGGATGTTGTTCTCGAGCGTTCTAATCGTTCTAATTTATATGCAAATTCCAATGGCTTATTAATGTCGAGACAGTCGATTTATAATTAATTATTTCGGCGCCACTAAAGTTGTTCGAACTGTCGCAGCATAATTCACCTAGTCCGAAAGCCAACGCATAAATTCCAAAAAACCTTAAACCCAAAAATTCCCCGATTCCCATTAAAGTTGAGAACTACGCTTTATGGGCGTGATTCTTACGGGCGGTTAAAGGCGGTTTTCCGGCATAATCAATTCCTTATCTATTGGGTAAAAAAAATAAAAACATATCAAGTTTATAAGCGACTTGAGCTGCGCTTCATTTCATTCCATTTGGCAGCATATTAATGGCATGCAAATTTAATTTGACAACTTGACGTATTATGCGAATTGGATTTGAGATTCCAACGACGATTTGTTTTGACGACTTTCTTAGGTTTTTATTGGACCATTTGAATTTGGCATTTCGCACGTGTTTTTCGGGAATTCCAGTGTTGTCGGAACTGCAAAACGAGGAACTAGTTTTCAATGGATTTTTGATTTTTAATTTTCGAATATCCATATCGTTACTAAGCCAGCCGTCTGGATAACTGGCGCCAAAAAGTTTCTTTGCATTTTGGCTAACGGCTATCAAGCTATCAAGCGATCATCTTTCTTTCTCGACTAATGATAAATGCTTTTGATGAATTTCAGCAAAATTTTGTTTGCTACACAGCCGCGTCATGGGAGTTTGTTTTTGTGGCCCAGTATTTGGTTGTTTTTTGGGAAATCCCCAATAGCTATAAATTTCTTCTAAGCGGCTCTTTCTTTTTTGTTTGCTGTCTTTTTATATTATATTTTTTTTGGGTTCTCTCTTCTCTTGTTCGGTCTTCAGCATAAAATGAGGTCCAACCGGATCTAGTTTGTCCAAAAACTCTGGCCGAGAAACATTTCAAGATCGAGCCCTCGGGATGAGTGGAACTTTTACTGCCTGGCGAAAAGTGGTATGGCGACTACTGGTTCTACGCCATTGCATATTAAAAGCTCATTCGGTGAGATTTTTAATATATTTTTCGTTTTTGTGTTATTTTTTATAAATTAATTACTTTCTGAAAGGCCGTATGAAACAAATGGTGTTAGGCTGACGTCAATGGCCGATTGGATGTGCTAATTCCGATACGCCGACGCCAGAATCTTGGTCAATGCACTCTACATGCGCCTTAATTAGACATCCGATTTATCCAATCCAGCTTTCTAGCTGATATCTCTCTCCGATTCGAATCACTAATTCCGAATTCCGTCAAGGTCAGCTACTTTCTCGGGCAAGGTAAGCAACATTTATGGCGCCAGAGACGAGAGCCGCTGAACTTTGTGATCAAAAACAACGCTGTTTTTTTTTTGGGTGTTCCCGAGCCTTTATTTGCATCAATTTACATCTCGGATTCCCGGTCGCGTAATTTAAATTTTAATTGTCGAATAAATCTCGCCGGTTCTTCGAGGTAATTTATTCAAAGCATTCGGCGAAAAATGAAATATGCATTCAGTCGGTGGCACTAAAAACTCAAATTGGCCCGAAAAAGTCAGAAAGTAAAGTTTTATTTGATGCTTAGAAAGAGAACCTGTTCTATAAACTTTGACGATGTGCTGAAAACTAATTGGAAGATTAGCCCGTCCATCATTAAAAGACACCTCCCAAAACGGGAAGTTATATTCCCTACACGTGCTGTCTTAGTTTCTTTTTTTTTTTTTTAAGGGAGTAATTCTAAGTTCCTGATATTTAAGGATTTCACAACTCAATTACCAGGTGTTTCGCACCTTTATGTCCAATTAATTTTATTAGTGTTTGTATATATTTATAAACTTGAACCTGCAAATGAGTAATGCAAACATTACGCTCATTCGAGATTATAGATACCCGATTTCGGGATACTCTATCGGTGGTAGAAGCACGTGTAATTGCCTGGATTACTTAGTGAGACTCCTTTGCCCCTGCTTAAAAATTAACATATTATTTATGGGCTAAATTCCTTTTTAAAAACAAAGTCATTCGACTGGGTGTTTTTACAATTCGGCTGCTAATTAAGTAAATAAAATTAAAACGATCGCTAATCTCCGTTGTTTTCATTAAAAACACAACCGCCTGGCGCCAAGCAAATTAACTCCCATTTTCGAATGTTTGTTTTTATTGGATTTTTCGGAATTTTTGCGCAGATCGGAAAAGAAAACAGGAAAATGGAAAGAAAACAGTAGAACAAAAACATTGATTGAGTCAGCATTGTTGTGATTTTTTGATCTAGAGCGTAATTTACATATTAATTTGTTTTATTATAAACAAACAGAAAACTTGATTCATCGCCGTTCTCCCGAAATTTGGCCGAAAGTTTTGCTTGGAATTAGCAACATTTTTTCCGTGGACTTTGAGGCGTAAATGAATAACTTAGTTGATATGAATTCTTATGGCGCCACTGAATCAACGGAGTCCCCCGTTGTTTACGGATCTCCCCGAAAATGCCAGTGAAGATGCGCAAAAGCAACTTTCAAAAAAATGACAAAAAATTCCATCTTTTCTCAGTTGAATGAAACATTTCCAACTGATTGAATATATTGGCAAGCCAAATGGAAAACGACAGGCCAAACGAGTCTTTTTTTTAATCAGAATTCCTCTATCGTTTATACATAATTAAAATCGTATTTGTCACCCCGAAAAATTTCAACCCAGCGAATAAAATGGGCGGTGGTTTGATTTTGATGTCCAAACTCCATCTGGAATACCTGTTCTATTATCCGCCAAGCTAAAACAACTTGAATTTCGATTTTCTCTTGCCAAAAGTTTTGAGCTAATACAAATATTTTATGTTGAAATCATAAGAGAGAGCTGAAATACGAAATATGATATTTCGGGATCAAACGCAATACAACATAACCCAATTCCACTTCCGTTTCCCATTTCAAATTTGAACTTTGCTTGGCTACGCGCGCAAAATGAAAATCGGCCGACTATCTCTTAGGTCCGAGACTCCAGCTTTATAAACGAGATTTTACGACTTGTTTGCTGTCATAACAACAGGCTACCGGAGAAGAGTCCGAGTCTGCCGATCTGCCAAGATGAGCGGAGCAAAAACAAAAAACCAAAAAAAAAAAAAAATAAGAAACACCTGAGAGCCCGAGATAACCGGCGAAATATTTCGCTGAGCGCGAGCGACGAGGTATAAAATATCACGGCTCCATCAGAATGAATTTAGATTGAAGCGAACATTCAAAGCGCGCAGAACTCAGAGACAAAAACAAAAATTAATCGCAAAAAACCCAAAAGACTTAAATTCAAGATCCGTTAAAACGAGACAAATCAGTGACAAGTGCAGCCAAAAAAGATATAACAAAATGATCCATAACAGAATAGCCCACCTGCTGGGATTGGGAATGATCTTGTTGTTGATCTGGGAACCCACTCCCACGGAAAGCTATGCTTTGGGACAATCAAAATATGGAAGGATTGAGAAGTTCCCCTACCAGGTGATGCTCATTGGCAAACAACTTTGGCGCAAACGCATTTTGTGTGGAGGAACTTTGCTGGATAGACGTTGGATCCTCACCGCTGGACATTGCACCATGGGAGTGACCCATTACGATGTGTATTTGGGCACCAAGAGTGTGGAGGATACAGAGCAATCGGGAGGATTGGTTCTGAGATCCAACAAGTTCATCGTTCACGAGCATTTCAACCCGGAGACGGCGGCCAATGACATTGCCTTGGTCAAGCTGCCACAGGATATAGGATTCACCTCGCGGATTCAGCCTGCCTCGCTGCCCAGCAGATATCGACATGATCAGTTCGCGGGAATGAGTGTGGTAGCCAGTGGATGGGGCGCCATGGTGGAGATGACCAACTCAGATTCGATGCAGTACACCGAACTGAAGGTGATCTCGAATGCGGAGTGTGCACAGGAGTACGATGTGGTCACCGCGGGAGTGATCTGTGCCAAGGGTCTGAAGGATGAGACAGTGTGCACTGGTGACTCGGGTGGTCCTCTAGTACTTAAAGACACCCAAATGGTGGTTGGCATTACCAGTTTTGGGCCCGCCGATGGATGTGAAACCAATATTCCTGGAGGTTTCACCCGTGTAACTTACTATCTAGACTGGATAGAGAGCAAGATTGGTGGTCATAGTGCAGCACATCAGCAGTACCTGCGACCCCAGCAGCAGCAGCATCACCATCAGTACAGTGATAACAATCTCATTTAAGATGGGTCCCTTCCATTGCCCATCCCAACCACTGACTGAATCTTAATAGCTTTATGTTTTTAGAAGAAATTCTCCAATCTTGTGATATATCCCACTCATTGAAATCTGTACATTGTTTTTAGCATTAACTATTTAAACTATATCTATGTATTTATTTTAGTTTTAAGAGTGACTAAAAGTCGCAGAAAGATAAAAATCAAGCCTCAAACAAAAAGAAAGCACAAAAAAATGATGCAAAATATAAAAAGAAATTGTATATGAGCAAAAATAAAAACAAAAATAACAATAATAGCACGAAAACCTGCTTCGGCTTTTCTGTCTGTTTAGTCATGCTGATTTTTGGTTGAATTGGAATTCCCGCATTTGGGGATCTGATCTCGACCGGCGATAATCGCTACCCGATAAAAACTTTTACGTCGCCAAGTGATAATTTGCTGAGCGTTTAACTGTTTCGTTTTCTATCCATATTGTTTGATTATGTGGGTTTTCTTTACCCCCTTCCTCTTATGAATTTTACATAATTTACGAACCGCACAATTATTGGGCATCTTTCGAAAAACCACTTATTTTACATAATATTTGTGTGTTGACTTTACACTCGAGACGATCTCTAAGAACTTGAACCCACTCCAGTTCGAAGGGGAGCCTCCGAATGACGATGACGCTGAATGCTGATGCTTATGCTGATGTCTGTTCCAGTTGGTATTTAGTTCCGTGATAGATGGACGATTCTATTACTACCAGTTTCGATTTTTTTTTTTTAGAGAGGAGTCCGAAATTCCAAGATTTTCTTTTGGCCTTTTGTTATTCGAATTGTGTCAGATCTATTTTGCCTTTTAAGAACCCAACTTCATGACGCACTCCAATGGCTTGAAGATTCTTTTGATAGGAGATTTATCAAAAAATTGATATCATCTAATAGCCCGAAATACTTCTGATTTAACTGGGCTCAGAATACAAATCCCCCAACGGATTTGAAGCCAATTCAACTTAGCTCTCGAGGCAGTCGATCAATTAATCCGATGACTCGCTCTAATTTAAATTCGCTGGCAAAGCCATATAATTTATTATGACTGGAGCAGTTTATCGGGTGCAACTTGTTAATGTGTAGCAGCGATATATTCACAGATTTTGGAAAGTTCCTCAATAAAATTCTTATACAGTTCAAGTCATCATCGTTATTTAACCATTAACAAGTAAATGTATCGATCTATCTTTCTAAAAAAGTAGCCATAATCAATATTCATTTTGGGGCGAAACACCCATGTAAATGAGATATTTAGCAAAGTATTTAGTTAGATGGCGAGGTTAACTTTGTTCTACTCCCACAACTATTTAAATGCTGATAGCAAACTGGTTCAGTAAACTAAATGAGCTTGTAGTTTTCGATAATAAATCACGTGGCTCTCACAGCCGCATTCAAGGCAAATGTTTTCGAATGTTTTCCTTTCAAGCACACGCGCCCTTGGATCTTTCAATTAGTTTATGAATAATTGGCCAGAGACTTGCTAAATAAGATCCCTAAATCGTGCCTAGCTGAGATTAGCAATTCATAGGGTAACTTGTAAATATCAAATTACAGTCATTATTCAATTAATTATCTACGATCTCTCTGGCTAAAGTCTACAAATGCTAATAATATTGTTTTTTAAGTACATTCCATTTAAGTGTGTAAATTTATTAAAAGCACCACATCAATTATTGCTTGCAATTGATTGAAGGATAATGCCATTAAATATGGTAACATAATATAGATTTAGACTAATTTATTTGGTGTTTCGCTTTCATTTGTGCTCAGCTTTGAGATTGTGAGATTCGCGCTAAAAAAGTGCATTAAAAATTTTGCTTGCGTCTCTAACTTTGGTACCGGTTTCCGAATGGTTTCCCATTTCACTAGCACTGGCCGGCGGCTTTCTGCTGCTTCTTCTTCAGCACACAGTCAATGGCCTGGACGACTTCCAAAAAGATATCATCCACATCACGCTCGGCATTGATCTGCATTTAGAAATAATGACGTTAATTATTAGGGGGTTTTGTTTTTTGATACTCGTTTATATATATTTCACTAACTAACCGTCAGGGTCTTGGCTTCGTAAAGATCCAGAATGGCATTGGTGTTCTGCCTGAAGGTCTGCAGGCGAGCCCTGATGGTCTTCTCATTGTCATCTTCACGTTTTACAGGGGAAGCAGCAGCACGTGCCAGAATACGCTGCACCATCGTGTCCTCGGAACATTCAAAGTATAAAGCCAAGTCGGCAGGAGCAACACGGAGCTCGAACTCAACGCCCTGGTTCTTCTCCCGAGGATATCCGTCGATCAGGAATCCCTTTGAGTTTCCCTTGGCGCGAGCGATGGCATCATTCAGCAGCGACAGCACTTCATCATTGGACACCAAGCCACCGGTAGACATAATCTCCTGCAGATGACGACCCTTGTCCGATCCAGAGGCCACCTGTAAAAAGGGAGATCATTAGTATCTGAGTAATTTGTAAGCTGAGGTCTTTTATACAACTCATTTTTATTACTTTTTATACTCATAAACATACATGAATTAAGTGTTTATGGGCAGTAAAAATGAGTATTCAAACATAAAGTAATAACCAACTAATATCTCAATAAGCCAATGTATTCAGAGAAAGCAATTAATATAATTTCAAATCAGGAAGATTTAAGTAATAACCGATTAATATAAATGTTTATGAATCATAATTATGCCAAATTTATTGCATTTAAAATTGTAAACATCGCTCTGGAGGCAAAAACAATATACCCTTGCCATCTGCAAACAACAGATAGCTGAACTATTCCATTATTTCTGTCCAAATTACCTCATTGCGCAGCAAATCACCGCTACTCAGATGTGTGAATCCGTATTTTTCCACAATTTTGGCGCACTGAGTGCCCTTGCCGCAGCCGGGTCCACCCAAGATCCAGATGATGGGAATTTCAGACTGTAAAGACAGGATCTGGGTTAGCAAGGGACACAACATCGAAGCAAAGAAACATCTACAAAATTAGCTGAGTTAGTTAGTTGACGTGTACGCAAGCTTAGTTGGATTAAGAGGCGTGGAAGGGTTTTCAATGGAGGAGGTTTTGTTTTTCGATATAGGTTCTAAACACTTTTGTTTTTGTTTTTTTGGTGAAGCAGCCATGCCATACATCAAGTAATCCTAGTAGTGGATACAATCATTCCCGCCATCGATTTGGCATCCGAAAGGGGCTACTTACAGCGGCTCGTGCCCTACGGAGCTCCTCGGCTTTAAGCTTCTCCTCGGCCTCCTTCTTCATAACCCTTTGGTGACACATAAATAACTACACAATCGAGACAGTTGGTTGAGGATGGTTAGATATCTCAAAGTTATAGTGTTATTGAACTACATCTGCGATGTTCTTGGCTCTGGTTAATATGTAGTTATTAGTATTTTGGGCACGATGCCAGCAGCAAATAAACCTCAAATGTTTGCCGACAATAATGTTCACGCGCTATAGCCTAACAACAAAAAAAGTATGTATATATATATATATAGATATAAATATTACATTGGCCCATGACATTGATCTTGTACAGAAACCACTGCGTAGCACGTCATGGCTATACAAGATAATTCAAAGCAATTGCCACCTCTTCTCCATTCGCACAAATTGTGTTGTTAATGGTTTGAATTCATCAAAAAATAGGAAAAAAAAAGGAATTCCAATTACTATAAACAATTGAAATCGCTACCGTTGGTGGCCCGTGACTATATAGCGTGTGCGGATCAGCTTTTGATATAGTATTCGGCGGCCCCTGCCGATATTTGCCAGTTCCGCATTGTCGCACCCGTTGAAAATTTTGAGTGAAAAAATAAAAATCAAATTGAAAACCTAGAAAATGAATGAATATTTGCCCAGGTTGTTGGCTGCTGCTACCTTTAGCTTTTCCTTAGAGCATAAATTCTGTGTGCTTTTTATTTTCTCTGACGTTGTTTTTAGCTGTGGCTTTTCTTTTCTCACAACACACATTTCTACGCATTAAGTGTGTTGCGTGTGAGAATTTATGATTTTGTAGCTCATTTACGTAATTTGTATTTGATATATAAACTAGTTCAGTGACTTTTCAATGTCATATCCAAGGATTCGCCGTGGTTAATAATTCAACACTGACCTGTACATGGTAGTTTTCCACACTTGTTTAAGTTCCCAAGTCGTTAGTTTTAATAATGGAATTATAGCAGGAACCTCAAACACATGCTTTCTGCTCAAACGGAACTGAATAACTATCCAGCAAAGCTTAGAGGAATTTTTATGGAAGCCCGCCTCTTGATCTTGCTATTTCTTTTAAAAGGTTTTTTTTTTTTAAGTTTTTTTGTCTTTGTTTTGACAATTTAATAATGCGACGGCGACTAAGGCAAAAACCGGCATGACTGTCTAGTTCGAGTAGCGCCAATAAACACATTTTAACTGCTTTTGGCGACGAGGCTGGGGACTTGCTAATGAATCAAGCCCCGCCAGAAATTCCTGTGTGGCGGGCAACTGGTCATAAATTTATTCAAATCGGGATTTTGACGTCAAAATTCGATGTTGGTTTGGCTTGGAATGTGAAATTTCGGTTTTTATTTTTGTTTGTTTCGTTGAGTTGCTAATTTGTTTAGTTGTTTGTGTTTTTGTATTTCTTCTTTTGTTACGGGGAATTTCACAAATTCGTAATCGTTTCAAATTAGGAGAGCCTCTATTTATACCCAGAGCGGTAAACATGGAACAGCTGAGCTGGGGGATTCTCAAACTCAGTCTCAGTCTCCCTCTCCATCTCTGTCTCATTCTCGCGTCGCGAAAAGCTGAGCCAAGTAAGCTTGTGGTGGCCCCCCTAAGTTTCTTGATTGCATCGCTGGGCAAGGTCAAGTGCAATGCAAGTGGCTCAAGGTCGTGCTGCCTGCTCTTATAATTTACAAAAAAATTCACAGTGCCCGTTAGGAGGTTTAAATCAAAGTGAAACTTATTTTATGTGTAGGTTACATACAAAATAAAAAAGTATAAAATAAATTGGGCAATATAAGCAGAAACGAAAACACAAATCACAGCAGCTCACACCCGCACATAAAACACTCACCATGATGATGTATACTAGATATACACGTCGCTGTTGCGGGCCTGTCGCTGAAGAAATCGCGAGATTTTCGGTAGTTTGTTAGCCGGATGCCTTACTAGCCTTCCTTTTTAGCCAATTGTTGTTGTGGTCCGTGCTCCGTTCCGCCCGACAACGAGATTTTTCCTCCCACCCACTGTGCTGCGTGCGTTGAGAGTGACTGAATGAAGAAAAGGCTTTCGATTCGATGATTCGATCCGATTCGGCTAACGGTTTCACTGCGCATAGACGCGGAGCTTTCCTGCGAAGCTTTCCGACGACGTCGACCAGTGCTTTTGTTTTGGCCGTTCTACTTATAAACCAAACTTTTTCATTTCAAATTTTGAGTATAATATCTAAGGTGGTAGAGATGCAGGCTCACATGACCATCAACTCCGTAGTTTTATGGCGAATCTAAACAATATCAAATATTTGAAATATTTTATCTTTTGTTATCCATTATAGTCTGTCCTTATTTTTGTTGAAACATATTTTTATCCAGTGATTTATATTTGCTTTAAACTAAAACTCACTTTTCTTTTGCTTAATATCAGTTAGCAAACTTGTTTTAGATATATTTTTTTGGTAATACCAATATTTTGACATATTTTCCTTGTTTTTGGTGAGTTTTTCTCCGGCCGGAATTTCTTTTATAAACAATGTCTTGTAAACAAAATAATTCGTTCGTGATTTGCATATATTAACACGTACAATTTATTGAGGTGGCACATCCGTACTAATGGTAATCATCAACTAATATAGTACAGAAAGGCCTGTATTTGCTTGGACTCGCTAACGGATACGACGAGCAGTGGTGCGGAGTGATTTTGAAACTTGGAGATCTCATCATGGGTGGGAAATGCCCCCTGCGATGGGAGAATTATTACATTAAAGTTTGGTGGTTTTGGTGAACTTTTCTTAAAGCCCTCGTTGTGAAGATGCAGATCAAAAGTTATTTTTAGGGCAGACGGAACAGCGGTATCTTCTTTGGTATAATCTCGCCTCTTAAGTTGCACAATATCGAACTTTTCGAAGACCTTTTCAAATTTGGTATAAGAAAATTCAGTTTTTAATTGATCCACTAGACTTCTACCCACTGTGGAAAGTCTTTCCGTTTTACTGATAGGTTCTTCAGTTAGAATTTCATTAGTCTTGCGCTTTCTCGAGCCAAATTGTAAATCTATGGATTCTTCTGCGGTTTTGGGTTCTTCTATTTTTGGTGATATAATGAGATTCTTCATATCTTCCATACGCTTCTCTACAGCCGCATAAAAAGGTGAGGTTTTAATGTGCTCTGGTGTTGAATGATTTCCCAGTTTCTCTTTCAGCAGCGCCCAAATGCAATCTGCGTTAGTCACATCTTCAGGTGTTTTCTCAGGAGGTTTATGTCTGATAACTATATAGCCAGCACGGGATAAAGCCGAAAAGACTAGGTAGTTGGCGTACTTTTCGCTTTCCAACTCACCAAGAAGGAGCACATACGCCTGCTCTATTGAAACTACTGTTCCATAGTACTCCAGTTGTAAACGCCCCTGAAATATTAATTTCCTTAATCTGCCTAACATTTATAAGTAGATTTTAAATCTCACCAATTCCAAAAGGAACATAGCTTCGTAGTATTCCAAGTAGAGTTTCCCCTGCTCACTGTATCCGAAGTTTTCGAATTTCCCATCTTTGCGCTGGACTTCTGCCACTTGTTGCTCTTCATTCCAGATGGCGAGAGCTCTGCCTCCAAGTCTTTCTATACGGGGGACTGACAACTGAGCTCGTAAATGGTCTAAAATTGAATAGTTCATATTAATATATATTAAATCGATTTGCGTTATATATATGTACAAAATGCTAACCGTGTGCTCGTCTAAGCTCCTCAAGTTCCGATTCAGTTCCCTCATTTTGTGTTCGTTTTAATCCTCCACCGAAAGGTTCGAATTCCGAGTGACGATGTGCAATAAGCTCCTGGGCACTGGAATTACCTATTCTTAAGGCTGTTATTCAGATTTGATTCAGGGACTACCTTAAATAGTGTATTTTTGGTTTAATTTCCAAAAATTCCGAATCCAATGTTTTCGCGTCCATGTCAGTATGACCAAAACTAAACTGTTGATATATACCATTAAGCTTAGTGATGACAAAGTTAGCGATGAATCGATAAGTCTTTGGCGGTTTGTCATCGTATTCAAACCTTTAACGGAATTTCGAATGGTCATTTAAAAATGTATGCCCTGCTGAAACTTTGATTTAGGTTTGTCAATGCTAATGCTCAACAAATCCCAATAAATAAAATGCATCAGAAGTCTTCTCTATTTATAAATCTTTATTCTTTGTATAATTGTAGTTTTGTTAGTTTCGCATAACATACGCTTAACATTTTTGCTCTCTCATGCAATCGAGCTTTTCGAAATCTCGAACTCGTTTTAATTGATGTCATATAACATTTTACACCTTGAAAATACACTTAATGGTAGATTTATGAACATTTAATACACCACATTGTTGCTTTTAACTCTTATGCTGTTAACATTTCTTTATCCATCTCCTCGACAATTTCAACTTCACGTATATTGCAGGATATTTCTAGTTGGCTTTCTTTCTTTGTTTCTCCGGTTTTTTACTACACCGCAAATGTTTTTGTTTTCTTATTTGTTTTTTTCTTTTTTTCTCATTAAACTCTGAACTGCGAAACGACACCTGCTGTTTCGGCTGTTTGTAAAAACTTAAATACAAAAATTATACACTATAACTAACCGTACATTGTATATGTGTATCATTATGTATATGTACTTATAATTGATTTATATGTATGCGTCGTGTATTGTATAAACAGTTTCTCCATAGTATTGGTTTGCTCCATTATTTTGTCCTCGTTAATGCCCTCGAATTGTTAACATTGTTCACCACATTTGTATTATACATATGCATACATATATCCGTAAATGCTTTAGTTATTATCATCTACATATATGCATAGATATATCTTCCTTTTTCTTCATTTTTGTTTCTTGAATGCGTAACGCGTTAAGGTAATATTTTATCTGCCTTTTTCTAGGCCAATTCTCTATTTCTCCCCCCTGAACCACCTCATCACACATTTGCAGTTGTTAATCGAAATAAAAAAGTGCTTCAGGTAAAATAACGGACAAATTAATAATACTCTCCCCCCCTTGACATGATTATCTACACTTATGTACAGGACAAAAAAAGGACCGCTTAGACTATGGCCACGTTCGACGAAGTGGCAACCGGTTTGGCCGTCTTGACCAGGCACGACTGCGAATTGTTGCCCATGCTGGACCCATCTAGACTGTCCAGGTCCAAAGCCGTATCTATCATCGTGGTGTCGTGCAACATTCTCAGTCTCTCTGCCGATTTAACCTGCTCTGCTCCATCGCCCAGGGATTTCCTTTTGACATGACACGAAGCGCTAACCGGATCATCCAGGTCGAGATCATCGCAGAGCAGGGTGGAGGATAACACATTGTTGGCTTGCTCTTTCCGTTCATCAATGATATTGGAGTACACATGCAGGTTGGCATCGGCTGAACTGGCACTGTCCACATCGGGCACATTGCTGTACATGTTCTCCGTTTTGCCAGATATGGCAGCAGCTAATAGAGCTGCTCCCGCTGAGGGTTTCTCAGAGCTTGTGGCTCCTTCAGTTCGGATATGACTTTCCGCTAAAGAGGAGTTAACCAGGGCAGCTTCGAAGTCCGCATCGAAGAGGTTGCTATAGCTACCGCTGCGATTGCGCATTTCGCGTGCCTTGTTGGATGCTATGGCAGCCACGGCGGCCACCACTTCCGGACTGCCCAACACCACAACATCCGGATCATCCAATTCATCTTCGCTGCTGGCGGTGGCCAACTGATTTTCATAGCTAACCGTACCGCCATTGGAGATCTGACGCTGCTTATGATGACGATGGCGGTACTGGCGAGACTGGGTGGCCGTTTGATGGGTATACGCCGGAATGTCCATTTGGGCCAGCGGTATCTCATTGTCCACCAACTGAGCTAGACTATTGGAATTACCTGCAAACGAAATGGAAAACGGGAGGGGGAAAAGAGAGGATGTGATTAGTGAATGGTATTTAATTTGCTTCTTTTGTAATGTTTAATTAATGCATGTAAAATATTCAAATGCTCATTACAACAAATTTGCCAACTAATTTAAAATTCGAATTTCAATTTCGAGCATTTTTATCTAGTGGTTTTATTGCTCTTTTGCTAGTGGTCGTTGATGGTTTGTTTTGATTCGGTTTGTTTAGCTGTGGGAAAAATGGAAAATAAAACTATTTGAATATGCAAATAATCATAAATGCTGAAAAAGGGCGGCAAATTAAAATCGTAATTTAATTAAATAGGGTTTGTCAGCTTAAAATGAACCAATATACATGTGTAATTGAATTGCAGTCCTGGTTACAGTTCCGTCTCCTTCCGGAGGATGTGGAACACTCAGAACACTGCCAGGGGGGGCGGTGGTGGGAAATCAACTTAATTCGAAACTCATCAGTTGATAAGCTCTCTTAAACCAATAAACAACAGCAACAACAGCAACAACGATAACTGAATATTAAATGACAAACGGCGGAGTGTAGAGTCTGCGCAAATAAAGGCCGAAACTAGGCGCTAATTAATGGATAATGGATTCAGTGGGTAAGTCGGTGCCAATTGAACAATTTAAAGCATGCTTTCAAAATGTTGTGAGTACAATTAGTAGTGGAGCTTGCCAATAAATAATCGCTAAATACCATATTCAACTTTGATTTTCGGGTTGTGTTCTTGGAAGTGTTTTAAATTCGTGTTTTAGTGGCAATAATGATGATTCCTTTGGGTATAAAGTCTATTTAATGAATGCGAAACATAATATAATATCAAACAAATATCATAGTTTAGCTTTCTTGCACTGGCAGTTTAAGCAACAGGATAATCAACTCAAAGTTATATGGTTATATATATGTATGTTATGCGGTGTTGCTAAATGAAACTCTAAAGCTTTGGTTATAATTCAGTTTTACAACAATTAAATGTTTAGTTTGGCATTAGGCATTAGGAGTGAACTCACCCAATTAAGGCTTAACAATGCATTTTTACTCTAGTCTTTAAGCGGCCCTCGACAACTTTCGCTCAATTGCAGTTTTTGTTTTGGTTTGTTTTTAGTTTGTTCACAAAATAGTTACAGACACAAATTTGCAAGTATTGTTATTGGTTAGTTTTTTTTAATCCCAGAGTCAAGTTGAAAGATACAGAAAGAGTTTGACATTAGTGTGCGATAAATCAAGAATAAGAAGTAGGGTTGGATTATAGATGTGTGCGCGCTTTGCCAGTCAAAACCAAAATCAGGTAACCTAATGGAGTATGGAAAATGCACAGCACAGGAGAGCGAAGGAAACTAAAAAATCTCGGAAGCCTTCATGTGTGTTTGTGGGTGATTCGACGGGGGGATATATATATATATATATACGGTTCCAATAATCCATCAGGATTGCAAGTAGGTCTCGCAATCTACCTGAAAGTTTGCATTACGCTTCAACATCGGGATTAGTACTTATATATAGTTATAGATCCGCTGGCGATCCGCTAACACTTCATTCGGATTCAATTTGAAACATACGCTAGATACACTTTATTGCCCAACATTTAACCATACATATTGTGTATATATATATATAAGTATATAAATTTATGTTTCCATCAGTTAACACTCGCTTTCACGCTATGACTTAGCATGAAATATATATAATATATATATATATAATATATATAACTACCTACAACTTCAATTAGCTCGCTAATGCGTATTACAATTTGCAATTAATTATAAAAGGAACCCATAATATTGTTAATGCTCAAGATTTAAAGCCTTTTTAGACGGCATTCGAGCCGTAATTATATCTTCAAGCTGGCTTATACACCTAAATACGCTTTACGTTCGATTTTCACCTCCCCAAAAAGTCCAGCAAATCTCCTGCCCGACAAATCCTTCTCAACTTTACAACTAGGTATAAATATTCATCAATTTTCCACTTTTCATTTTTCATTTTCAATTTCAACGCATTTTTTTCAATATTTTTATTGCTAATTATTTGCAGCAGTCACTTGGCAATGTTCCAATATTCAAGATTAAGACATATTCAATATTTGATATTTCGATTGGCTTTTCTAACAATTTTCTTTTGGTTTTTCACTATTAGTTTTCGTTTTTTAAAATGCCTCTCTCTCGCTTAACACACTGATACATAGTTTATCAAATTCTTGTTGAATTCCATTTGTAGTTTTTACTTTTACATTTAATTTGTTTTTTTGTTTTCATTTTCATTGTAAAAATGAAAAAAGTCCTAACAAAATGTTGCTTCGATAAATGGCAGTTATTTTGGCTCATTAAGTGTTTTGCTAATTCTTCCCATTTTCTAATTGCAAATCGTTATTAATAATCTATGTTCGCGGTTGAAACCTTCCAAATAAATATCGAAAAAAGTTCAAATTAAGGCCCAAGTGACTGCGATCATTCAGCCGTGGGAATCTCACAAGGTTCCCTAACTAACAAAAATCAAAAACTTAAGCATTTTACTAGGCGAACAAAGTCAAACATGCTTGGTTGTTCTATATTCTTATTGGGATGTTGGTTTACTGGTTTAATGGTTATTTGGTTAGTAGGTATCTTTGGTTGGTTAGTTGGTTGGTTGGTTGGTTAGTTGGTTGGTTGGTTGGTTGCTTTGGTTGATGTCTTCACTATTGGAGGTGGCGGCGCTGGGACGTAGACCAAGGTGGTTACATATACATGGGTGGCATTTTTCGGCCCCTGGCGCCGAAGCTCCTCTATTGCAAACGCATTTTGCATCAGAAGAGATCCGACGCACCTAGCCTGGGAAGCAGGTGCTATATAAACGCAAAAGTTTCTATGAACCAAGTTTACTTTTTTTTTTTGTTGGGAGTGGGAACTGGGAGAGTCTACAGCGGGGTGGTGGGGGGGTGGTTTTCAAACATTAAACAAAAATCATACAAGTTCGACTTCTACAAAAGGAGGGGGGTGCACACAAACACAAATTTTCGGATTCGGATTCGGATTTCAGGCGGCCGCAAGGGGTAGTAGCAGTTACGTTGCACTAACACATCTAAGCGCATCACATGGAAGCCAAGTGAGTCTCACAAAATGTGCCACAATCAGACTCAGTGATAGATTTCCTCAAAGTTCAAATCAAGGCTGCAAACTTTGAAATTTATTCGCTCCGTTGGCTCACAGTTCGAGCATTCAGCTGAGCAAAATATTTACTTTGCAAATCGAAACCAAAGTACATTTCCTTTGATAAAGGCTCAATATCAAAAACAAAAAGGGAATTGATAACAAAATTATTAGATTATTGCTGTGCAATATTACAGAGAAAGCGATTTCAATTTCTAGTTTCTTACGGCAAGGCATACAGCAACATAAAGCTTAAGCTTCCAAAATAATACCTTTAGCTTATAGCATTTCGTGCATCTTAAAATTTCGAAAAACCCGAACTTTCTTCAAAAGAGTTCGGCTAAGAAGTAGTTTGCAGCCTTGATTAAAATATTTACATTGCCAGCTATTCAAAAACCCAATCAAAGCCTAGACAAGTTCTTAAGTTAAAACCTAAACAAAATCCTAAGTTAACTAACAATAATCAAATGGCTTCCCACGAGTCCAAAATTACAGAGAGAGAAGCCCCAAAAGAAGTGGGACAAATTCCGGAAACTGGACACATAGCAGGGGGTAATAGGATAACCTTAGCAAAAGCGTGGAAGCATTAGGATGCGGGCTGGCCAGGGCCCGGCCTTATGTACAGCGCCCAACAACCGATCGAGGAGGATGACTAGGAGACGGATCATCCCACCGAACCGGACGACAATAGAACGGACCAAGTGGGCATGGCCGTGGCCTAGGGCGGCGGAGCAGCGGACTGCTGCTGCGTACTATGACGAGTCACTGCCCGCCGCATCCTCGATGATCGAGTTGAGATCGATGTTGAATGAATACTCGTAGAGATTGGAGTAACGATCGCGCTCCTTCCATGGCGACCGGTGATTCATATAAAGATTTCGTTTACTAACACGAAAGATCTGGCTGTCCTTGATCGACTGATCGTCATCGCAGGGTTCACCGCCACCCCCAAAGTCGCACTCGCGAATGGTCAGCCGATTGGTCGGCGACTTCAGTTCAAACATCACCTCCTGGTGCTTGTAGGGTTTCCTCATTGGCAGCGGTTGATATCCGGCAATATTAACCTTCTGCGAATCCACCGACATCGTCGACTGTCGACGCATTCCACGTGCCGCCTTCGGGAATGGATAGTTCCTCATCAGATTCGAATCGGTGCTACGTTGCGGCGAGTAGTATTTGAAATCCGTTGGCGCCGGCGGTTGTGGCGCCGTGGTGTGTATGGTGGTCAGGGTGCTGTTGCTGGCGGAGATCGCTCCGCTGGCCTGCAGCTGCAACGTCGACGGGCGTCGTGGCGCCAGCGGCGGTGGTGCCGTGGCCAATGACACGGACACCGAAGTGGGTGCGGTGGTAGAGGATGAGGAACCACCCGTACCGGTACCGGTACCGCTGGCGCCTGATGCCACCGCCGCTGCTGCTGCTGCCACGCTGCCAATGGCGGTGGTCTGCTGGGCATGGACGTGATGATGCAACAGCGGGAGCGGCGAGTGACGGACATCGTCGTACGACGGTGTCAGCGGCAGGTGCAGCGATCGCTTAAGGTTCAACCGATACGAGGAGGACGTGGCCGGCGAGCGCAGAAGGGATGGGGAATTGGGACCAGGTCCTGGACCCTCGTGTTGCTGCAACTCGGCGGCCACCAGATGCTGCTTCAGTTGCTTGTGTTTATGTTTGCTGGCCTTAAATTGCTGCTGAGCGCTGGCTGGCAGCAGGGTTTGCAGGGAGCAGCGCTGCTGATGCTGCTTGCGGGACTTACCGTTTTGGACCAGGTCGTAACTGGGCGGCGGATGGTCGAAGCCGTTGCCATGGCCATTCCCATGGCCATTGATGGCACCTCCGTTGCCCTCCATTGTCGAGGAGGAGGGATTGGACTGGTTGGTTGGTTGGTTGATTGGTTGGTGTGATTGTGTCGATTGTGGTGTATGATTCAAGTAGTAGTAGTAGTAGTTTACCAAAAAGAACATTGCATAGAACACAAAAAGAAGAAGTATAAATTACAGATCGTCAAAATGATGTGCACAAAAGTTCATCGTACGAGAGTTTTGATTTTGATATATAATAGTATATATAAAGGAGATCAAGCAAGCAGAGTGCCCAGACATTTAGATATTTTTAGATTTTGGTGGTGAAAGGGTGCGCTTGGTTTGGCTCAATGTGGTTATTGGGTTGCCCGCTTACCTCGTCATAGAATCGGGGCTTTAGCTCCGCCCCACCAATGCTGATCCCGCCGCCGGCACCACCTATTCCACCGCCCATCATAGGCTGCGAGGTGGTGACCATATGCGAGGCACTCAGCACATCGCTTAGGGCGTGCCGCGGACTCGATTGGTGTTGCATCTGCTGGATGAACTCATCGGTGGCAATGCCGCGCCTAGTTGGTTAATATAGTTAAGAATTATGTTTAGAATGGCTGAAGGGTTACTGACCTATCGATCAGCGAGGGCGTCATGGGTCCACATAGGATGTGGCAGCAGTTCAGGCAGATGTTCCCCCGCGAATAGGGATTTTGATTGCGTGGTCCGCCTTTGGAGGAGAAGGATCCCTTGAGCTGTAAAGGGGAGTAGTTTATTAAGATTTTAGTTTAATAATATTAAACTTACATCCTCGTTCGTTGTCTGATCGCTAGTCGTCAGATAGGTATGGAAGCCGGCCAGGCCGATCACGGACCATATCGAGAAGAAGCAAATGAACACAACAATCACAGTGAAGGGCGCCGTCTTGATTACATTAAAGACCTCATGCTCCTTTTTCATCACTGCCGGGATAGTTTACACATTATTTTAGAAATTTTCAACTTAAAGATAGTCATTCTATATAGTACTTACATAAAACTAAATGCGTCACAGAGCACGAGAATATAAATACAGCTAAAAATGCCAATGAGACTAGAAACAAATAAAAGAACCGATAATTCCGCTTGCCCACGCAGTTTCCCACCTGTAAAGAGAGGATTAAACCGGGTTTATTATAAAGACACAACCGGCAACATAAAGTTGGTAACAAAACCTTTGTTGAACCCCATAACATAATAAGGTTAATTGCATTTTCACGAGATGTGTGTCATTACCAAAATTACGACCAAGAAATGCCTTAATTTCAACACCCCTTCCTCTCGGTTTTCCCACCCAAAACCCTTTGGCGCCGCGAACTGCAAAACGGCGTACGAAAAGCCCCAAAAGGCTCGAGTCGACCTTCAAGCCGTCAGATGCGATTGTGTTGGTACTTTCTCTCCTCCGGGGTTTAAATTACGCCGTAGCCCAAGTAAATGAAAGAGGGCGATAGCAAAGGCATGACAGCAACACTAACTGCTAGAGACTTTGATTTTCAGCAGACAGAGGAGGGTATACACTGTCTTTTAAGTAGATTTATCTGGCTAACTTTCTGAATTTTGATAAATATTTTTAGAGAGAGGAAATCAAATTGTATTCCCAATTAGTTTTCCTTTAAGTTAAGCAACTCTAATTACTTCACTCACCCACAGAGGTCTCAATGGCAGGGCAAAGAGTCAGCCAAAGCTGAATGAATGCTCAACTTAGTGTAAATATTTAATGACTAAACTGACCTTCCTAAAGTTAAATGACTCATCGGTCAATACAAATTGATTGTGAATTGCGGAGGCTAAAATCAAGGTGAAAATCATTTTGAAAAGACATTGCAAGTCAATATTGTCGTGGGAAATGGAAATAAAAAGACAAAGCAATCAATTAGAGAGCAAACAAGAAAATAGTTGAAGGGTTTTCGTTAAGATTAAAAACGAAATAGTGGGAGATCTATTGATGGGCAAAGCAATCAATTAGTGAATTTTAATAATTAAACAGCTGAGATTTATATGAAAGAACCATCCGAACTGGAAATGAATAGTACCTGATACTAATCCGTAAGGGTATGTGCGATGATTTGAGTCCCCGGGGGATATATTGCCTCCATCCCGAAATGTATGCTACACTCGTACACATCCCCGAAAACAGAACCATCACAAATATGAGTGTGGCTACTTAAGTCAGTGTATGTGTGTGTGTGTGTGTGGGTTTATGCAAGTGTGGTTTGTTTGCTTGGTCCTGTCCAAACACACAGACACACACCCACACACCCCCAACCACAGAGAGGCAGCCACATCTTGTTGCATCAGCGCGTCGCTGGCAGGGATTCACCAGCAGATGAAGAGGGGGGAAAAAAAAAGAAAACAAAAACCGGCAAAGGATTGGAGGGAGTCCGAGTGCGCTTTTTATACGTTCCAGCTTGAAAACGTGACGTGCGCTCGGCTGAAATTATTTTTGCTAAAAAATTAGCAACCTCAGCGGTTGCCGCTGGAATTGGGTTAAAGTCAGAGACGACGGAGAGGCTGCTGCTGCTGTTGGTTTTGTGGCCCACTTTTCGCCAGAGCCTCTAATGCGGCTCTTGGCTCAATGTCAGTTGGCCGTTGGATGGAGCTAGGGTGATATAGAGGGGGATACTTTGGGGACAGGCGAGGCGGCTGTTGGGAAGTGATTAAAAATTGCGCCACCGCTAACGAGGTGCCGGGTGGTGTCGTCCTTGTCAAGGACCCACTCAGCAACCAACTACTACTACTACGACTACTAGTCACTCACCCAGGGACAGTGATGATCGAAGCGGTCCACACAGTTGTCGCATAGGCTGCAGTGCGAAGCCCTCGGCGGCCGGAAGATCTTGCAGGTAAAGCAGTATTTCAGCTTGACCGTTTGGCCCTTGACCAGGACCTCCTTGGTCCTCGGTGGCGGTCGATATGTGGGGCTATTCAGCGAGTTTGGCACCTCTGCGGGATTTGGGTTAACCAAACACACGGAGCCATGCAGAGGATTCCAGAATTTATCCAGTACGACGACGTGGAGAAGGAAATGCGGCATCAGCATCAAGCGGCATCGACAGGCGAACGTTGTTGACATGCAAAGAGTAGGGGGGACGGGGGAGAGAAAGGGCAAAAGTTTTCTCATTTTAAATATTTTATACAAAGGCAACAACAGCAACTCATTAGTGCAAAGGCAACGCAGCTTTCGCCTTTGATGATTTTTATACGGAATATATATATATATATTTTTTTGCGAGCGCGCTTTATTTTTTCATTCTATGTCATGCCACGCTCATTACTTTTTACGTTACGTGCTCCTCAGTTCCTCATCCTCCTCCTCCTCCTTCTCCTTCTCCCTTCTTCCTCTCACACACATACAAACTTAATGAAGTGAAAACAAATATATACGCAAGTGTCGGTGTATGTGTTTGAGTGGGCGGCTGTTTGACAAGAGGCGTGCCAGTCGCTGAAGAAGGATGAGCAGGATGATTCAGGCAACAGGCAGCAGGCAGCAGGCAACGACCTTGGCCACGTTTCCTTTTGGATGGACGCAAGGACTTGCGAGTGTGCCGCTGCGATTGCTATTGCTTATGCGCTATTACCATTGCGACAACGGGGCGGATGAGTAACGTACCAATTTGCTTTTCGATATAGGCGGCCTCATCATTGGAGGCACGCGGTATGACGCCCGGATCCGTGAAGGTTGTGCGCAGCAAGGAGCTCATCGTGAAGAAGTACAGAACCGCTCCCACAATGGGTATGGCCGGATTTATGCTGTCCGCCAGAAAGGGACAGCTGTAATGTATAAGAAGAAGATGGAAAATATATATCATTAATCTAATGATGTTTCTGTCATTATGGCTGTGGCAACATCTTGATTTGCTCTGATTGTTTCACCAAATGAGGCAATAAACAACGGGCATGTCAATAAAATAAAATATTTACGTAAGGTTTCGCAGTAATTATGGTTATAAACTTGGCAGATGTCAAGAAATATGATAATGTTATTTATGGTTTATCAAATGGTAAATTAATCTACGTATCTTATTAGTATAACTTAGAAACTAAGTTAATTCAGGCGACTGTTAGTAAAAAACGGAGTCATCTCTTTAAATTTTGATTAAACAGCTTCAAAAAGCATAACTAGAAAGATTTCCCAATCCTACTAGGATACGATTATGTCCTTTTTGCCAAGCACCCATTGAAATTTGATTCCTTAAATCTCCGGTTCCTCATGCATCCTGCATGCAGCACTGCATCAAACGGCAGAATGCAGGCAACGCTTGCCATTGGATTCCCTGCACCAGTTTTGGGTGGGTGACAAGAGGCCATCCTGCCTTGGGTTGCCCTGCCCTGCCCTGCTCAAAAATGCATGCAAATGTCCCCGGTGATTTGGCAATGCCCCAAATGTGGAAGCCCGAACAAATATGCCCCCGATACGGGTCGTGAAGGGTGGACTATCCCAGCGGGGATAGCGGCGAAGGATGAGAACCACGAACTGGGGACTGGATTGATGGCGACAATGCTATGCCCGGCATTGTTACTTAATGCCCGATGCGTGTGGCAACGATTTGTGAATAGCAAAAGTCGCCGCATCCACCAGCAGCAGCAGCAACTTTCACTCGCCATCAACCCACAAAGGACCCGAGTGCTCAGTGACAATTATGTGTGACAAGTCCCAGATGGACGTGGGTGTGTGTTAGTAGGCTTCATTTCGGGGACAGTCAGCAGGAACCAACCAAAAATAGTTAAATACATTTGTCATGACAACGCTGAGTTTCTCCCTCCTCCCCCTAGCCATGCTAGCCAGGCAGTAAAGCTTAAATAGAAATGCATTCAAAAAATGCTTCTCTCGCATTCAACTGGCAAATCGCTGACAATGCCATAGAAAATAGAAAATGGGGAAATGGGAAATCCAAAGGAGGGCCCCTCATGCATTGTGTGTGCTACCTTTTAGCGATTTGCATTGCCGGAGAGCGTCGAACGAAACACAATTTGAGTTTGCCCACACATCACCAGGCAGACTTACATGCAAAAAAATGTATATCTTTTTGGGTAAATCCAACCATGACAAATCAAATTTTGATATATACATTTTCATTTTTTATTATTTGATTCAATGAAAGATGAAATGGCATGTTGTCAACCTGTAAGGCCTATAAACAAAAGAGGAAAAGGAATAACTTTTGGTGGTCTTAAAATGTAATCTTTAAAAATGATTCTTTGCTAACCAAAATTCAGGTTAGATTTACCACATCTTTTCTGTGTGTGCACTCGGAGGATGTGTGGGAATATCTGCAGGAATAACTATGCGAGCACTCAAAGGCATTGCAGATATTGTAATGCCCATCCATACTAGGAACGCCTCCTTCCACTCGACTGTGCGCTAATGTAAAGCAAGCAATGAAAATAAAATCGCGCTGCAGTGCCGCTTTTCAGCGGCGAATAAATTTGGAGCGCATGAGGAGGAGCCAAGAGCTGTAGGTACATCGTTCCTAGGCTTGGGAATTCCAATTTCTTTGTGGCAACCAACAACCAGCAACCTCCAACCACCTCCACTCATCCAATTCCTTTTCAGCGCGGTGCCGAAATGATTTCGTGCAAAAAATGTTGAGCATAATTTTGTCTAATCGCACTGTGTGGGAAGCTAGCGAATGCAGCTTTAACATGGCTGTTCCATTTGTATTTGCACTACGTGACGTATGCGTTATTTTGGCCAGGACGGACACCGACACGGACAAGGCCACGTGCAAACTAAATTGAATCTAGTTAAACGTTTTGCGGGTTGTGGCATTTCCATACGAGCACGCCTGTCACATATTTATTTAGTTGCAGCCTCTTTAGTGCCAAATCGATTGGACGTTGGTATTATTATGGAAGCAACGTGATAGCAGTGACCAATGGTAGAGTTCCTGGAAATTCCTTTCTCTCTCTATTTTTCCTTTCCACATAAGAAAACCTTTTTATATTTTCTTCTTTTTTATATCAGACAAAGTTTCCATTCGAAAGAGCTGCCCTTTCTGTTGCCACTATAATCTTCTTTCAGAGAAACATAAAAAATCTTTTGACTACTTATCAGCACAAAGGAAAGGACCTTTGTTCATCATATTCACTACTTACTATGTGAGTTGTTGAAACGAAAAATACAAAAAGAAGAAGAATAAGGAGAAGCTTAAATGAAAGAGCATGCATAGGTCGGAATTACTGATGAGCATTAATAATTCAAAAACTTTAATTTTCCACCATTAAAAACCAGCAGCACAGTTTAATAGCGGAAAAGTTTAGCAACAGGAAATAGAAATGTGTCCCGGATGAACGAGTTTGAAATGAAAATTCTGTTTAAAACTAAACCCAAGGGTGGGGGTTACACTTTCCTGTGGTTTGCCACTCTCGGTTGGAGTAGCCATGGCCATGGCATGCACATATTTGAATGCCGGACAACCATTGGAGGGATTGACAAATCAAAAGCTGAAACTATTTGTCTACCCCTCCGACTTGGCCAATCCACACGGATAGTCGTAATTCAACGGATTCAACAGGGACAGAGACATCAAGCTGAAAAAGTAGTAGTAGTAGTAGTAGGAGTAGCAAAGCAGCTAGGATAGCGATGTCCTTTGCCAGGCCAAGCATAACGCATACGCCACGTTGCACAGCAATAATTACATGCCATTGGATACGGAGACGGACGACAGACGATAGCAACGAGAGACGAAACCGGATGAGAAACCTCGTTGAAACCGATGAAACCAGAGCAAGAGTCCAAAGTCAGAGACCATTAATGTGGGCGTAATTGGAAATCAAGCATGACCCGGTGGCATGGAGTCGGTGGTGGCCGGGAAATCAGGGATCCGGTGTGCCCCGGAAGGGTTACTGGGCAATGCTTAATTAGCAACGTATACATTTTGCACACAATGCAACTAAAGGGAGGAACAGCCTCACCCAGACACCCATAAAATGTCACACGGCAAGAAAGAAAGGCGTCTTTCTAATCTTAAATTAGTCATTTTTTATCTTATCTGATTTATTATTAATAGCTAAGATATTTTAACCATGTTTTTGAGCCTACAATTATCAGGTAAAAGCCAATTTAAGTAAGTGCTATCTTATCTTTCTTTTATTTATAGATCATTTCTTTTTTTTTTTTAGACTTTCCCCTTTAACTTTTCTGAGTCATTTTAAGAAAGTTTATAGATCTAACCATTATCTTATAACTTCGGAATAAATCTTTCCTATAAATGCATTAAGCATTTCAGTATAACTAACTATAAAATTGTTCTCTGTGCACTGACAAATGAGCACGGGGCGTATACTCACTCGAAGGCAAAGAAGAGCGCACTGGTGCCGGTAATCAGGATGCACGTCAAGTAGAAGACGCCTGTGTGCGGTGCGGACATTAGCAATCCATCGCAGTAGAATTTATTGCGTCCGGCAAACAGTTCCCATTTGCGTGTGACGCGCTGGTTTGGTGCCATGTTACTGCAACAACAGCAGCACAGCAGATTCATCGGGGCGGTCCTGGGCGAAGGATATGGGTTGCGTTGCTATTCCTGACTCCTGCCTCTACTCCTGTTCCTGTTACTGTTCCTGTTCCTTGATTCCTGGATCTGATACTTTTCCTTTTGCTGACAACAGTTGCTGACTGTGACAGCGACGCCTTTCCTGCTCCTGCTTCTGCTGCTGCTGCTGATGATGATGATGATGTGGGTTGGATTTTGGGTTCTAAGGGGGGGAAAAATGGTGGGTTATGCTCTCTGCCGACGACAGTTCACCCGGCTGCCGTTGACGAAATTATGCCGTTTTGCTGGGGTCCCGACTTCGCCGCCCGTCTCCGCCACACCTCCTGTCACAGGGACGTGTTCATGTGTGGCTGTTGCAATGCCTGCGGCACGCAAAACCGACATCCACAAGATGCCTCCTGCTGATGGTGATGTGGGTGCTGTTGCTGCTGCTGCTGCTTCTTCTCCTGTTTGCTAGCTCCAAGGAATTTCATGCACACCCACAAACCCCGGTTGGCTGCTTCAAATATTCGCTTAAAATGTGCTGCTTTGCGTTTTTTGGCTAATATTTCACTCAGTCGTTTGTTGCCTGTTGTTTGATTGCGAATGTTCAGGTGAATTTAATCAAAATTAATGTCCTCCCCTGCTGCTGCTGCTACTACAGTTACAGCTACTGTTACTATCCAGTGCTATCCTCGCCTGTTCCAAAAGCAATTTCGTCCACTTTGTTGCGTTGTCCACGGTCCGCGGCATCAGCCACATTGCGTTTCAATTTCCTCCTTTTATTGCAGCGCACACTTTCGGGCCTCACGCCCACACACCGCCCCACGTCCCGGCTTTAATTAAAGCAGGACGGCTGTCATTTCCCTGCAGCCGCCGTTGCCGCCGCCTTCTTTGCAATGTGCCACTCCCCCTTGTTACTCTCCGCCGGAAATGGTGTGGAGGGAGGTCGACTGAATGAGTGAGGCGGGACTGGGAGCGGGAGTAGCAAGAGAAGCAAGAGGACTTTAGACCACGTTCCGTGCACACTATACAGCAATTATTTGCTCGGCTTTGTTGATCCTGAATCCTGGGATCCTTTCGTTGGCCCGTCCGTGTCCTTTATGATTCAATTATTCGCTATTCGCTGCTGGCGCCACCAACAGTAGTTAAAATTGGCGTTGGCGTCGATTCGGTTTGGTTTGGCTGAGTTTGAGTTTGGGTATGGGTTCGGGGGGTTCGGGTTTTTGGGGGTTTTAGTCCAGTCGAGTTCAGTTGAAGTGGAGACCCATTCGTTCTTCTGGAAGAGAGGAAAAGAAAAGAAAAAGGGAAACTTGTGAAAAGGAGTGAGCAACTGTGGAATTGGAATTGCAAGCAAATATAATCATTAAGTTATTTTGATTAAGAACTTTTGTGCGGGCGCCGACAAGCAGAAAGGCGGAAACTTCTCTACCAGGGATTCCTTTATGCCCTCTTTATTATCGAATTTTAATCGCATTCGCGCGGAGAATTGTCAGTTGGCCAAAAGCGAAAACGACCGCAATGGGCCAGCCAATTCATAAGATAAATTTTATCACTTTTTTTATGCGAAACACAATCGAATTATTATGCCTTGGCTGATAAATATTCATCCATAATTGTCCAAGGCAAACCGAAAGAAGTTAAGCTCTTTATGGCGGGAAAGTAAATTTCGGTTTATTAACTTTTCCTTTGGCAAATAAAAACAAGTTTATGATTGCAAAACGAAGGCTGTATGACTTAAAACTTAATTGATTGAGTTACTCAGTTAATTTGTTTTAATTGATGTTTGTCAAGCAAATTCCTTGTGGCCGTTGATTGATTAATTAAAGTAATTTATTTGAATAAGAGAAAGAAATATTTATTCAAATTAATTTGGAACTGAAACTGAACTAATCCTGATTCTAAGTCTTAGTTATTCGTTCCTAAGCTTAAAATCTTTAAAAATCTAACATAATATCATCAATTGCAAGACATTTTTCCCTATTTAAAATCAGTTTCATTTCCAGAGAGAGCTGCCGAAAATTTGATATTCACAACGTCCATAAATCCTGATCGTTTATAATTTATGCCGCGGCATAAACCGTCTAAAGGATTAAGTCGGCATAGATTATTAACAGCTGAAAATGCGCTAATTTGCGGTTTTAGGCGAGACGCCGCCTGTCGCCTAATTGGCGCTAATCAAGTTAAGCATACGCACTGTATGCCGCCGCCCCGGCGACAGGAAGTTGTTACTCCCTCTGTTCTTCTGCAGCATGGTGACTGTGTTGCAACATGGTTCCAGAACCATGGTCCCGTTATCTAAGGCAAACAGGCGCGCTTTGGATGGCAATAAACCAGAACACACAAACTCACAGGGCCCACCGAAAACGAGTGAATGGCTTTTGCATTCGCAATTTGCGTTAATTGGGCACACGCCGCCCATTTAAAGCGGGCCTCTCCATGGCAGATGTTGTGGAGGTCGGCTTTCTCAGGCGGTGAAAATGTTTATGCAAATTGTGTTGCAATTATAGCGCCAACTACGAATGTTCTAATATATACACTGACTCCAAATTATTTGCATGCATTTCGCTGGCTGGAAATGGTAATGGACTTGACAGAGAGCGAGAGAGAGGCGCTCAATTAACATTAACAACAGCTGATGACATGCGCCAAGAAGTGCCAATTAAAGGCACACAAGCATTTCGCCGTGCTGCCGCCTGCCATTCAATAAACTCATAAATTGCCTGAAATGACGCAAAGTGCCAGCAACAATGACAGCGTTTCTCTCTCTCTCTCTCAGTCTCTCTCTTTCTGGCAAAAACAATAACCATAAAGTAGCGACAGCAAAAACAACAAAGGTCCCAAGTTTGAAGTGTGCCACTCGGCACAAATATGTAAATAAATGGCCACTTACGGCAATTCAATAGAGGATATGCGTGTGTGTGTGTGTGATAGTTGGTTAAAGAGTGAAAGTGAAAGAGTGGCCTCTAGTCTTTGGTAATTATGGCATATAATATCAATATGCCTGGGAAAGAAAACAAAGCCAAGCATGTGTTGGTATTAATAAAATGCAGTTGCCTAACGCACAGTCCAGCACTTGAACCTCATTTCTTCCATGTTCTTGGTTTATGCGGGAGAATTCATGAATTCATAATTTGAAAATATAAGAATCTTAAACGAGTAACTGAAGAAATTCTAGCACGAAAATATATTAAAGATATGTAGAGTGAAATTCTAGAATAATAATACAAATTCATGAATTCACCAATTCATGAAATCCTTCCCGCATAAACTACACAGCAATCGCACTCACTTAGCGGACACTCAGTGAGCGAGCGAGAGAGTGAACAAGAAATACCTAACCGACACTTGGCATTGTAATTGTAGGCTGCGGTTGCGTATACGTAACGTATTTTGTAATACATCAAACACTTGAACACCAGTGCTCTTGACACTCTGCCCCCTTCTCTTGCGCCCGCATTAACCGTAGCCACAACTGCCACTGCCATGCCCATACCACTCATCATCCTCCACTCCTCTGACCACCCACTTCAGCCCATTCACCCACACTCTCACTATCGTTACTCATACGCATGCATGGCGAGCACACACTTAGCATTCAAGAGCGAGGCGGTCGGTGGGGCGTGGCAAGTGCTCCGCCAGCCATGCGTGCAGGGAGCTTGCTACACGGAAACATAAAACCATTAACTTGGTTAATGAGTTCTTATTGTTATTAAGGTGTTGCATAAAAATTCTTTTTGAAAAAATGATATTTGGATCCTTATTTTAGGAGCCACAAATATCAAGTTTAAAAATAACTTTGTTTAGGACTTACCTAACCAATTTCAAGCAACAAAGTCTCGTAAGATATACCAAAGCATTGAATAAACAATATATAATTGACCTTTGATCTTATTTTCCTTTCAGTGCAGGCTTAAGTCGCGTCCCCAGCTAGCCCACCATGAAAGTCGGCTCAGTTCAACGCAACTCGACTGGGATCATTCATTTACGCAAACGCCCCGCTTGCATTCACATTCGCATTCGCACTCGCCCACTCGTTCAGCAAACAAACAAACAAACGAACAAACAGACAAACAACAAGCCAGCAGACACACTCTCACAGCACGAGTGCCGGACTGCATATGAATAGTGAGTGAGTGAGTGAGTGTGTGGGGAGAGAGATCTTGTATAAATTTGAGGATGGTTTGGTTACTTTGGCTTACTCCAGAGGATGTTCATGGGTCCAGATTAAGGAGATGGAAGTATCTCTAGGTAGGTATTAATATCTTATGTATGAGTGCTTCTTGGAACTTGGAATTAAACTAGCATGTGTTTCGTTTTCAGTAATATGTTCTACGGAGACTATTAGATTCAATGTTCATATTGCAATTTTATGAATATTTATTGCTTTGAGTTCATTCTCTTTAACTTTTTATATTAACATTCAACAACAATGCAGGGCAAACAATTTTCAAACCAATAAGCTAGATATTTGTTTACTACCTTATTGACCTGGAAACTTTCCATTAACTATAATGTCACAACCATAATTTCCGGCTCATATTCCAATTAATATCGCTTTGAAAAGAACGGCCAGCAGCATTGTAATAACCATCGACAATGGCACATTCTACGTACTCTTTCAAAAGTCAATACAATTTAATGTTTTAAAAGAGTCGCCCAACTAATAGACCACATATATGGCTTGGTAGAGCAATCGGGAAACAGAAATACATTTGCAGCAGTGCGCTGCCGTTACAGCTATACGAACATTTCCTCAAACATCCGACATGGCGTCCATTTCCGTTATGGCAACAATGCTAGACACGCACACATCCTTGGTACATGTGTATGTGTGTGTGTGTTTGTTTGTTGTGTTCTCTGTTTGCTTAGCGTTTCCCTTTGCCTCTGTCGGTGTAATTGTTGCCGTCACATTTACAGTCGCCAACGCCGCCGTCGAGGCCGTCAAGTCGCCGTCGCCGTCGCTGTGACAGTCAAACCTAAAGTCGCCATCAACGATTGCTAGGCGATTCAACTCCATTTTATTACAAACACTGAGAGAAAATAAGGTGGTTACCTTACTTATACAATTTCCTTAACTGGTTTTTAAATATTTAAAAACAAAGTTTATAGAGTCTTTATTGGGTTAGATACCTTATAAAATCTGCAATAATGATAATCAAAACCTAATCTATATCTCACCTATAATCAGACTTTCTAAAAAACATCTAAAAATCCCTAACTGAATAAAAACTATTTTTGCCTTGTGCAATGTAAAGGAAAAACATTCGAACGGGGAAAAACTATCGTTGACTATTGTCGTTGGGAATGCGAGTTTTATAGGTTGCTTGTGTCGGTAACTGTTGTTAATCTTTGCTCATTGTTTCGGTTTAATTTATAAATTCCTGTCCATTTGGCAGATGGCAACTTTTGTTTTTCTATTTGCCATCCGCTGCTGCTGCTTTTGTGTATTTTTGTATGCTTTCGTTTCGTTGTTTGGTTTCCCTCTCAGATTCCGATTCAGTTTCTGTTTCTGTTTCTGTTTCAGGTTTTACCATTTCTATTTTCTATTTTCATTTGCATTTCTATTTTTGTTTCGGTCTGAGCGGTGTTTTGGTTTGTTTTCATTTGGTTAGTGTGTGCAGAAACTGTTCTGTTTGGGTTTCTGCTGATGAACTGACTCAGCATTTGGTTTTTTTTTTATTTGTGGCAAGTCGACTTAGATGCGACCACCGTCCACTAGAGCGGGCAGAATTAATTGTCGTTTGCTTTGCCATTTGCCATGTTTGCACAGATGCACCAGCATTCCATTCTCTGGACAATAATAATTTGCACAGTTTGAGCTGAGCCACAACCTAGCTGACAATTATTATGACAATCTGCTATAAGTGTTGGCCTAAAAAGTATCTGTCATCTGTCATGGAGTAAACAATATTTTAAGTGCTCAGCAATTGACTTCTTTTGTTTTAGTTTAACTTTTAGAGTAACTTTAAGCTATAGATGGGGTTATCTATCAATGGGTTACCTTTAAAATTCGTAAACTTTTAGTCCATAATTTGTTGTTTATAATCCTTAGGAAATATCAAACCCATCTTATAAAAGAAATACTTTATTCATGTGAGATTAATGGGCAGAACCCGATTACAGATAACAGATTCTTTATGACTGCCTCAACAATAAGGAAAACAAGGCAGTCCCAGCGAAAGAGGGGCAAAAACGTATTTGCCACCCGCATTCAATACACCGAGAACGCCCCGCACTGAAACTGCTTATGATGTATAAATGAGAAACAGTTGGCCG